AGTTGATAAGCCTCAGTCTCTCAAGAAATCCTCCCATTAATGAGTCAGTCAACGATAGTTCAGGAACTTTTTAGTCAAACGCACCTCTGATGGTTACCTCTAATGATGTGTTCGGCGGTGGTTGTTTTATGTATTGGGTTTCTTTAGGCACTCTTCCCCATTTGCAAAGGCCAAATCTCTATCTAGCACAGATCCTGCTGTGGTGACACCCACTGCTCTCGTAGGGAGGGATTGGACAGCCATGAGCGGCCTTGGAGTCACCAGCTGTTTTTCTAAACTGACAGCGAGGAGCTTTCCCAGGGGGGTGCTGCACATTTGGAGGTACAAAGAATCTCCATACAGATGTCCTGACCAACCAGTAGGAGTCACCAGTGCAGACACAAGGAACACTGCCAATTGGGTTTTATGGGGCCTGAAACAATGGAGGCCAGGATTAAAGCTAAAAGCTGCTGTGATGGGGTGTATTATCCCTCTGCATACCCACAAACGTTAAATAGCTGATGCTTTTTGCATATTTTGGACTCACAACACAGCACCGTTTGATGACATCTCTGATGACCAGCCAATTTAGGATTCAAATGTGGATATGAATGCTAGGAACAAAAAATATTTGAACAGCATCCTGTGGTCTGAAGAAATTACAGAACCCAGACATGTAAAAGCTGCATGCTTAAATAAAACGCTCTCCACAGTTTGTGGACTGTCTGCTCAGTGTGTGAATTAATCAAAATCTGAACACAAATGGAAACGGTTATGGAATAATAAAGTTAGATAGAGCGGATTGTCGTCTACAAATAACATATCACAAATCACATATTGTTTCATATACCATAGGTGAAAGCAGTTGTGCTTAGAAATATCAATAAATATAAAACACACACACACACACACACACACACATGTATATATGTATATATATGTATATATAAACCCAAGGACAAGAGGCCAGGTTCATTCATGCATTAATGAGAGACTGACAGAGGAGTCTCAACCTAGAATAGGGGTGCCCTTTGTCTTGAACCTGAGCTCAGTAGCTGTCCACAAAGGGCATCCAAGGCCATTTGTAGTCCTTTGAATTTATTCTGTTGCAGTGAGACTAGGTTTTTTAAAGCTCCAGTGAAGAGCTTCCAGTCATTTTTGGTTTTGTTGCCCCCTGTCTACAAAGTGGCACCTCTTACCGTGTAAATAGTGTAAAAAGGTCATTTCGTGTTTTTCCAACAGTTAAATGTGTCACTCACTAAGACAGTAATCCATAAAACAAGTAAAACAGTAATGTTTCTGAAGCTAGGTGTAAATAACTTTGTCTGAAACCTATCCCATACTAGCACTGAAAGTAACAATAAAAGACGTGGCTGATTTCATGACTGATGCTCCTTTTTGCTTCCATGGGTCATGTAAAGGTGTAGGTGTTTATTTTAGTACATTTTTTAACCAATAAAACACTCCTAAAGTTCTGCTGCTTTTATAATTTTAATATATATTCTCCTTTAATCATCACAGTGTTAAGAAATCGTCCATCCTAACAACCATGTACAGAAAAACACTGAAAAATATTTCTTACTTATTTACCTTTATTTGTTGATCATTGCATCCTTAAAATGTTCAATGTTATGTTTCACTCGGATGTTTGCCTGGGGGATAAACAAACTAATAGACAAACTTACAAACTGTTTTTCTTTATTTATAGGACCACCAGCTTATCATCAGTTTAGTTTAATCCAGACCTGATAAACTATTTTGTGTTGACTTGTGCAGTTTCTCAGTCTCATTAAAATGAATCAATACACTGATAAAGGATTTCCTTGACAATACTTCTTTTTCGATCCATAGATGATTTACCCTCAATATATGTAATATAATACAATATAGTGTAAAAGAATGCAATACATAACAATGCAGTGTCCCGTTAACTACCACAATTTTGGCATAAATGTTCATCCACCTGCTAACTAGAGAAGATAAACCCTGTTACACTTGAAGTTTTTGTGTTGTAGGATCACAAGAAAGTTTGTGTTTAATAGTTTTTGCACTAAAGAAAATAATAACCTGAAGCTAGTTAGAGCAAGATCACAGAATAATTATCCAGTGATCATGAGCAAATCAAACCTCGAAATAATTACACCCATGGCAGCTCCACTCCCACAGAGACAGACGTTTTATTAGATGTTAAAGTTTCTAACTCCTTTGCTCTTGTCTCCAAAAAGAGGCAAAAATGAAGATTTCATCCTGTTGTGTTAGGAAGCAAAGGGGGGGAGCGAATGAATAATTCTTGCTGGTGAGGCCTGCACTGCTCTGAGCTATAGGCTGTGAATCATCATCATCATAAGATAAAAGGCAACATCTTTTCATCTATTTTTCACTCTTTTCATTTCGCCTGCTCCGCTAACACTCCTGTGAGCGGTTTTCAAATCCAAAAAGGCATATCATATAATTATTTGTTTTCTTATAGATCATATCTGAGATTTTTTTTTTTTTTCATTTGGGAGTAAATTGAATTCCTGCAGAGGTTTGAGCCTAGTGGATAATGCAGCATGGTCGAAATGTCCTAATTGGAAATGATGCTGCAGAAGCGTCACCATTTAATATCAATTATATCAAGGCCTTATCTCAAACACTACAGCTCCCCTTGTTGCCAAAAATGATTGTTCTTTATGGGTTTGGTTTGAAATGATGCATGATTAGCTGAGTTCACACTGAGAAGCAGCATGTTCTGTAAATTACAAAGCAAATGACTCCTTTGGTAGGCTTCAATTAATTGTTTTATGCAATATTTTCACAAATCCAGCATCACAGGAGGCCTCTTATTTCCACTCAAATGACTATCAGTGTCTAATATTCAGGTGTGATGATGAGACTTTGTGGAAATAATAGACCAGATGAGTCAGTGGGTCACAGTTTGACATTGCTCATTATGACATCAGCTGTTGGGGTCATGCAAACGGACATATGAGGACCCTGATGGTGGAGACTGCGCAGGATCGATGTGAATCATCCCAGATTCATCCCCAGAGAGCCACTGAGGTGTGGGGATCGAGATCAACTTTGACCCCGTTTGGAAAAGAAATCTCCCTCTCTGATGATGAGGTCAGACCACAGAATCACACGATTGACAAGAATGATCAGCGGCACCGCTCCAGGCACATGATCCCACTTACAGTTAGTGAGGGAAATAAATGTGAGCTAATCATTCCTCTGTTTATACATGAGTTTGCTGTTCCAGTGTCCTCTTCGTGACATTTCATTTGCCTTTAAATGCCTTAAAGTTTCCAGCATGGACACACACTCTGTCCTCATCTGTTTAAAGGACCTCAGTGCTCTGCAGTATCAATAGCGGAAGCCTTAGCTGTTTGCAATGCAATTAAAAACTCAATTTTCAAAGCGCTTTGCTGAGGGTGATAAATGGGCCAGTAATCCCTTAATTGTCCTCTGTTAGGCACAATCACAGGAATGATAGATGTTTCATTAGGGGCACAGGCAAACTTAAAGTAAATAAAAATGAGATGCAGATGTTTCCGACGGACGGCTGATTAAGGACAAACCTACAGAGTGAGGTATAATGCATCAGATGCATCAGATTTCATATCAAGGTAACTTTATTGATACCTGTAGGTAGATTTGTTCTGCAGTCTAGCAAGAGGCATTCCAAGCGTTATGCACAAGCATTAAAAACACAGGACACATGCAGCAGACAGGTTAAAAACAGCACAGACCAAAGACATTGACAGGTATTCCCAGTGGCTCACTGATCGTGGTCAAGAGACTGAAATACATAAATAAAATAAACAAAATAAACAAAAGTCGTTGGATATCACTAAAATGCCAGTATGACCCTGTTAAGAGCATGCTAAAATCATAAAAGCATGATACAAAGGACAGTAACTACTAATAAACAAAATAATAAATAAAATAAAGAACAAAGTTAAGACCACGTTAGAAAAAGACAGACCACACAAATGAAAGTGGAGTGTGTCAAGACTTATTTAAAAGAGAAACAGCCACAGGAACAATGCTGTTTCTCGAGTGAGTGGTCTTAACTCATATAGCGCTTTATCAGAGACCCTCTAAGCGCTTTACATTAGATACATCATTCATTCTCTCACAGTCACACCTTGGTGGTGGTAAACTACCTTAGTACTCACAGCTGCCCTGTGGCAGACTGACGGAAACTGCCAGTTTGCACCACGACCACACAACAATCACATTCATACACCAGTGGAGGACACACACTGGGAGCAAGGTGGGTTAAGTGTCTTGCCCAAGGACACAATGGACGGACTCGGGATAGGGGGGAATCGAACCGCTAACCTCCTGAGCTACTATAGGTATGCATCTAAATAAATCAAAGTTTTTCACTTCTGAAGCAATAACAGGAAATACAAAACGAATCACTGCTGCTTAGGCAGTTTCAGGACCATAGACAGCTCTGTGTCCTTATTTCCATCCATCCTCATTCATGCGTGTGCGTGCGCGCGTGCACCTATATACAAATTCATTTTTTCCCAAAACTTTTAATCAGGTATTGATCTTCTCTTTCTCAGTTTGCTCGAACACGCTGGAGATTCAGGTGGACAGCACTTGACTGCAGATTAAATGAAAAGACACAACTTGGACACTGGCCCACACAAACTTTTCAGACCCTGTGGAAAATCCCCGCAGCTCTCCTCTTTTGCCTCACATGGTGCACACACGCAGCCTCTCCGTCGGATCCCGGAGATACCGCAGCAGCTGGAGGTGGCCTGGCCATTTATTCAGAGTCACTGGCCACCTGAGATTGCAGTGTTTCTATTGATTTGGCCAGCAGAAGGCTAATATTGACAAGTGCAGCTTGTATGCCGAGCCGTCGTCTGATCCGGCGTGCTGAGGCTTTTTTAATTTCACGTCACATCAAGTTTGACCAACATTGGCACGCGGCGACGGGGTCCAATCGGAGTTCAGATCTGCTCCTTCTCCCCCTCCGCCGCTAGCCCACCCTCCTCACTCTCCCTCTCTCTCTCTCCCTCCCCTCTCTCTCTCTCTTAGTTGCTCTGCAGCTGGGCTGCACCTCAATGAACCTAATTGGTGCACTGTGAGCGACCATCATCTTTCCACTGGATTTTCATCGCGCCCGGCTTCCATCCAGAACATATGAATCTGCCCAGACAGACCTCTTTGAGGAGTTGAACAGATAGGTTGGAGAAAAATGGCACAACGCGTGGTTTTGTTCCTACTGTGGCTCTTTGACAGATCCTCCGCAGGATTCCCCAATCAGATTAATATCGGTAAGTGATCAGTTGTGTTCGGATAATGTGGATTGCTTCGGTTTGTGTGGAGAAAACATATGCAAGATTGCAGTTTTACAGCGAAGATATCCGGACGGAGCGCGAGCTCTGCGCAATTAGGAGACTAACTTGATTTTTCATTTGCTGCAAGACAAAAGCCGCTGATTCCGGCAAACCGTGTCGATTAAAGCTGCATACAGTGTTAGATGTGACAGGATCAAGATTTTCTGAAAACACGTAGAGTTTTAAATAAAGGATGAGGCGGACGGTCACTTCCCCTGCTAGATCTGGAGAGTTAGAGACAGGCGCACGGGCGAGAATTCACCATAGTTCTCTCAGATAACAACCAAGCTCCTTTGTATTCCAGCGGGATACACAGAGTTGTTCCTCACTAAATAAAATCAGGTTCAGAGCTGACATAAGATGAAAAGAAACAGAGTTGTCCGTAAATGATTTGTCTGATCTTGTTTCTTCATTTCTTTAAGGGGGACTGTTCATGCGTTCCACGGTGCAGGAGCACAGCGCGTTCAGGTTCGCTGTCCAACTCTACAACACCAACCAAAACACCACTGAGAAGCCTTTCCACCTCAACTACAACGTCGACAACCTCGAGTCCTCCAACAGCTTTTCGGTCACCCATGCGTGTAAGTGTGCTTCTATTTCAGTCATGTCCACATTCTCAGCACTGCTGTCCACGCAGAATGAGCAGAATTATTTATGTCCAACTCATCCGGTATGTGGAGCTTATAGAGGCTACATCTCAATCCAGGGAGGCAGTCAAGTTCATCCTGCTGCACTCTGCCTCACACAATCCCAATGGGGATTATAGAAACATGAATAAAATCAATGTAACAGTGCTCTCCTTTAATTTTAAGCAAAGCATTTTCTCAAGTTTCTACCTCACTCTCTTTTCTAAAAGCATTTTTACACAGGGATGCCTCACAAACACTAACTCCAGCACAGTGCTGTTACCACATTTGCAGCTTGGCAGCCTGTCTGAGTTTGACAGTGGTCATATTTCTTAAAAAATTCTAATGCCACACGAGTTCTCCTGTCAGAGTACTGGCGTTGGCAAGAAAAAGCAGCCAGCTACATAGGCTGTCTGCCTGAGGTGTTTGTATCCTGTATCGTGGAACAAAGTTGTGGGAGCTTTTGGATTTAAAGCTTGAGTGTGTGTAATTTATGATTTCCATCAAGGAAATATATTCCACAACTGTCGATAATTTTCTCCTTAAGAATTTTGGGTCTTATTTTGCGTTAATGGTCAATCCAATGTCGCAAACACTGCAGTAGCTGACCCTACAAATAGCCTTCAACTCTACGTCCCACTCAGCTGCAGCTTTTTTGAATCACGTTGGACATGAGTGAAGGGAATAGAGTGCAGAATACCATTTTACAATTTCACTTTAAATGATGAGTCCAACTAAGCTGAGTGCCCAACTTCGCAAACCCACGTCTCTGTCTGCCCGGTGCGTCCAAGTCCCACTAACCTCAGTGTGGCACGCTTATAATGGCCCCTCTGACTCTCCCTGAGCCAGAGCATCCCCGCCTGCTCCGTCCTCCTGCTCCCCCCTGTCTTGCAGAGCGTCTCCCCCAGCATTGCAGAGTCAGCTCATTAGCACCCAGCCCTCATAGCACCTCACTGTGCCGTCATTGGGTGAAAGGGGGAGAGAGAAAAAAAAAATCCATAGCTCCCCAACCAGCCAGCCTCGGCAAATGAGCCGGGCTCAGACCTGCAGAGGAGGTGGGTCTGAGCGGTGAGGGAGATGAAGAGGAGCGTCATATCACAGGCAGCAGAGCAGCAAGCGCCCTAACGAAGGAGGCATCCACGAGAAACAATAAGCAAATGAGAGTGAATAAATAATAGATAGTGCCGTGCAATTTCACGCATGTTGAAGAGGAAGGGAAGCATAGGAGGGAGAGGCTTGATATCAGAATCTAATTAAATCCAGGGGCAGACAGAGCTGTAGTGAGAGGAAGGGGATCCTGTGGGAGCTGTGGCCCCGTTTCTTCTTTCTTTGCTGCCATGTCTCAGCATCTCCATCATAAGCTCTGTCACTGGACTGAAGTGAACTTCGTACGCGAGAAACCTGTGCCGTTAGAAGCCAGAGGATAAAAAGTGTGGAAGCGACAGTGAAATAATGTTAATATGTTTGGTCGATGCGTCTCTTTCGCTTTGATGTGCGTGTTAATCTGCTCTGATGGAATCTCTTTTGTTCTTGGGAAGTTTTATTCTTTACACATTCTCAGTCCTCCACTCGATTGTAAAACAATCATCAAACTCTGAGCAGAAGCAGCTTTCAAAAGAGCCTGAGCTGCAGTTTCTTTCCAATCTGGTTTGTGTAACGTACGATCTGAGCCTTTTTTTTATTCAAGGTAGTGCCCTGAGACACTCGTCAAGCTGAGCTCGCAAACGGCAGACAGCTCATGCTGAGCTCACAACAGTCCACAAGCACCTCAGATTGTCTCTCCCAATGTAGCCAACAAAACGGAGATGACGGTTATTAAATATCACTTATCTGCTGACTTCCAGGCCGCTGAGACTTTGCCTCTGGTGAGTGAGGACCTCCTGTGTGCGGACTTTTGGATTTGTCAGCGCTGTTGTTTGTTCTGCAAGCTGTCACAATTATTTAGTGGACATTCAAATTTACTTTGTCATCAATAGCCCCATGTGGATGACTCACACCTTTGTCAGCAATAACACAGCATTTTATGATGTAGCAATGTGGACCACGATTTTATGAAAGTGGCATTTATGCGAGTTTGGGGAGTAAATCTATTCTCGGGCAGGTTCTGTTGCTTTGATGAAGATGAGTTGTGGCTGCTGAAGGCTTTTCAGATTTTTATGAAATGACAGCACTTGTTTAGTTTTCTTCCTTTTTTCAGCCTTTTTCTTTGCCTCTTATTTGCTGAACAACCTTTAAATTCAATAATATAGAAGCAGAGGAACAACAAAAGCACAAACAATAATTCATATTAACTTGCTGGGATTTGTTTTTCTTTATAGAACAGAAATATGGAGCTCCTTTAGGTGAGATGAAGGCTCTGTCTTATGTGAGGACCATTTCTTTTAAGTCACTTTAAATCCATATGCCAATAATTGAATTAGTGACCGGCAGCAAAACAATGTGTGTCTTCAGTAATCCTTAAGGCTGGGCTTTGTACTGCCGAGGCATGGTGAGTCCTTTGGTGGCAAAAGACTGTTGTTGCTTTGAAGTGACATCAGAAATTGTGAAATGTGTAATTACCGGTGCGGGGTCCGTAATGGCTCTGGGAACTGGGAGCCAGGTATGCTAACAGAGAGGACCGAAGCAGTTCAAAGAAAGAAGGTACCAGTTTGAAGAAAGCAAAGCAGACAGCATTAATGTTCCTGATGGTCACGGCTAGCCAGCTTAATGACACTGCTATCTTTTTTCCTCTGCTGTTTACCCTTCTTCTTCTCCTTCCTTTACCTGAGGGGGAAAAACATCAGGCCCCCCTCCGCCTCTCCTTGCCACGCTATTTATTAAATTACTCGCCTTGATTCCTGTTAAAGGCAAATCTTGCAATGCTTGGCTTTTGAATCTCATCTCCCTATTCCTCATTCCTCATTCTGTCATTAAGCTAATGGTCTGTGTCCCCTCTGCCAGCCTTTTTACATGTGCCTGCCCCTCTTTTATTGAATCCTCCAGGTCTTTAAAACCTGGCTGTACTGGATGCTGCTTTGGCTACGCGGTGCAGCCACTGTCTTCTGCTGCCGCTGGCTACTGTAGGCAAACCAGCTCTGCTCCAAGAGTATGGGGGAAAAACAGGAGGAAATTAAAGCCACTGTTAGGTCTTTTTCCATTTCTAAAGACAAGAAAAAAAAGAGAAACAAAAGTGAGAAACTTTAGCTAAGCGTGTCATTTAACAAATAGAGAGAAACACAGGTTTAATGGCTATAGTCTCACGAGTGTAGGTGGAGAGGACTGACACAACTGCATCTGCTGCATTATAGATATGGTGCTGAAGCCAGTTTCTTGTTAGCCTAATTTAGCACAAAAACTGTGAACAAGGAGGGAGCTGGATATGAGCACTACTCCCTTTTGCAAGTCTGTGGTCACAAGTCAAGCCTCGGGTCTCTAATGTCAAGTCCAGGAAGTTGATGGCTTCACTTCAGGAATTTGGTGACTCGTCTTTTACATCGCCTCAGGTTCCATAGTTAACTTTTTGACTCCCCTGCCAAAGTGGCGGGTAGATGAAAATATCTTACTGGCACAACACATCCTTTGCTATTTGAGAAATAGGCTAATAAAAAAGAGTTTTAGAGCTCCATGCAAGGAGTACTTTTCTTTGGAATAATGACATGTTAAGTAGAAACTGAAAAAGAGGGTTAGAGGAAAAATTGAAGCAAAGCTGCTGTTACTGATCAAATATTAAAGCTTGCTGAAGCCTGATAACAACTCATATAAAGTCTTGATACTGGAAAAAAAAAAGAAAAAACAAGTTGCTGAAAGTTAGCCATTGTTACAGTACACCGTAAATTTGCAATGCATGGGCTGGCATTTTCATAACCGTATGCATGTGTTTGTGTTAGCCTGCAGCTCTGACATGCAGACAGCAGAACTGCAGAAATAAGAAGTTGTAGAAACATGAAAATTAGATTTGTTTTTTTAGGGAGGTTTGCACACCTGAAAGTCTGGACCAAGGCCCAAACTAGAGTCAGTGTTTTTGTTACATTGTACACATTTGCTTCGGTCTGTTTAGGTTTCACACTGTCATTATTGCAAACATACAAACAAACTTTACATGACAAACCTATGTGATATCGTCATCAACTACGTGCTTTGCGTGTCTCTGTAGTTTACATTGATTGGTCATTAGGCCGGCGGGCATCTGACGTCAACACGTTGAAAAGCGCGGGTCTTGAATGGTGTACACAAGAATAAAATCGTCATTCCCACCATCGTACCATTTTTGCATTTTTGATTTTCTACCTCCAACAGCGACAACTTAGAAGAGTTGTACATGAGGCTTATCCTAGGAAGTCTCATGAATTTGATCATTAGACGACAACTTTATCGATGTCGACAGGAAAGGAAAAGAAAGTATGCAATCCTGCGAGTCATTGCAACACCGGCTCCGGAGAAAAGTATGTATAATAGAACTCTTGAAAAGATCAGCTTGTGATAGTGAAGTCTAACTTTATCTACAATATTATAAAATTTCCTGTTCTTGGACAATCTCCATTTAACATAATAACAGACACGTCTACTCCTTGCGTCATTTCCTGTCTTTGGTAGGAAGGTCAGAACCTTTTAAAATAATGCTTTTACACTGAGTATGAACCAGACCGTGGTTCAGTTTGGTCCAGATCTAGACCACCTCTTTTGGTCAGTTTTAGGTCCGACTGTTTGGTCTGGACCAAAGGGTTTTTTTTCACAATTTTTGTTCAAACTGAACAGAAAAGTCTGAATGTCAGGACCAAATGACATAGGTGTGAAAGCCCCCTTAAAATCATGACCATTTAAGTGCAAAAAGTGGTACCAGATAAGTGGCCCATAGTCCTGCATAGTTCCTTTAAAGCTCCTGTGAGGTGATTTTTGACATTGATTATACACACTGAAATTCATATTAACGCCTTCTCACAAAGGAAAACAAGACCATCAGCAACAAGATTTATGATTTTTTTTACTTTTACTGCCATTATTATTGCATGAAATTGGTGCAAGGGGGGTAGGAGTCAGAGGTGCTGTTGAGGAGAAATTCCCCTTTTTAGATTTTCAACATTAAATATATAGTCAGCAGGATGACATGTATTATCAGAAGACACAACTTAAATCTTTAAAAATGTTAGTTTTGTTTTAAAAAGGTTAAATAAAGTATGTTATTTAAATTTTTGAGCTGCAGATGTGCTTGCAAATGTAAATTTAGGCCACCATGTTTGTCCTCTCTCCTCTGGGCCGGGTTAGTTGTAACCGTTACTTCCAGTAATTGAGCTAGGCTAAGCTAACCCGCCAGTAGCTGGAGCCGTATGTGTACTGCAATCACGTTATAGTGTTTCCTCTCTTCTACATCTTGGCAAAAACAATCCAAGAGCTTCAGACTCAAAAAGTGAGCAGAAAGTAAGCAGACAAACTTGTACTTTTTTTTTTTTGAAGCAATGTCATTTTGGCTGATGGTCCATGATCAGAAAATGTGAGAAGCTATGTCTGTCACTGTGGTTAGGGTAGGAAACTCCAGTACATGCTTGAATCAATATAATTTGGAATACTAAAGTGTCATAAAAACTCATCTAACCATGAACACCAGTAGTTCTCTAGACACCACATATCTACAGGAGCATCTTCTTCACTGACCTTTATGCCCACCCAGGGAGTGCTAGCTTTGTTTATGCTGCCCTGAAACACCAACAGTGACCGGCGGCCCTCGCTCTGACTGAGCACATGTGGCAAATGACATATGTTGTGAAGCAGTGACAAAGGCCTCTTACCAAATCTCTGCTGCACATTCTTGAGTGTAGCTATTGGGGAGGTGGTTGTTGGTGCTGTGTGAAAAGACGGTAACCAAAACGACAGGGAGAGATGTTTTTTTTTGCAGCGTGTGTCCTGACAGAGATGGGATGTGGGCGAGAAAAACTCCTCAGGTGATTGTAGTAGTGCCACACTTGTGTGCCTTGCAGGCTGTAACTCAGCTTGAAAGGTGTGACCTGGGAAACATGGCAGGGGAAGCTGGGAGAAAGATGGGGGGGAAAGAGAGAGGTGGGAGGATATACTTGGACTGCTGTATGAGAAAGCAAGAGGAGAAGTAATCTGATTAAAGAGGGTTTTCAAGCCTTCTTTTTTAGAGTGTGTGTGAGTGTGTGTGTTTGTGGATATGTGGGAGTCTTCTGCAGGCGATGGGGGTTGTACCAGGACATGCCAGCACAGTCCAGCTGTGTTAGAGGCACAGATGGAGGTTTGTTTGTGGCATGTGCATATGCATGCATGTGCGTGCACATATGCACAAAGTCACAAACACACATATAAACACTGAGAGCATATTCAGTCCTGCATGCATCAACTGACATATCCTGTCTCCGGCCTCACATTCGTTACAGAGTAAATCTCTCTGTTTTGTTCTACAGCTCCCATGACACACTTCATCATTTCTCCAAAGTAAAGGTCATGGTGGAAATATTGCAGGCTCACCCTGTGTCTGTTTTCTGCAACCAGCAGACATGATTTTGGGAAATACCATTTTTGAAATATGCGCAGGGAGGATTTATCACAAATGCGAAGACTGAGCGGTATCAAGTCTCTTTGATTAGCACCATGACAGTGCAAAAAAATAATAAAATAACAGTCGCATGAGCCAGAGAAATGTAATATTATGGTTTGGTTTTGAGGCCAGCATGCCGTGTGGTCTCTGAGGCCTGATAAGGTGTCTGGACATGGGTCTTAGTCAGATGAGTGGTACAGTAACATGAGGCCACATGCTCGGGGAACTGCAGGTCCTCTGGGAGAGAGAGGGGAGGGGGGATGATTGACAGCTTAGTTGTGATGAAGCAGAGAAGGGTGGAGCTTTTTGTCAGATACAGTCACATGCTATAAAGTCAAGCAGAGTTATTATTATCTTTGAAAAACTGCAGCTGAAGTCAAAATTACCATAAAACTAAAATGTCTAGTTATTACAAGTGCTGCACTAACTGCTCCCACAAAACGGAAACAGTAGTTACTCTGCCAAGTGAAGCACTGATGAAATATTTTGAACTTATCCCACTTTCCCTGCACTTTTCTTGCCTCGCTGGTGCTATTACCATCACTGATGCCATTGGTCTTGGTTGTGTAAGGTTATATCTATCTTTCACAACAAACTCACAATAAAAAAAGTTGAATAAATTCCAGAGGCCACTCCCTAAGGGACATTATTTGACCCATTTTCTGCCCATGAGATGCCTTCTGATGTATATATATTTATTTATTTATCTATTTATTTATCTAGCCGGGCACAAGGCTGGAGAAGTAATGAGATGCAGAAAACATAGAACCCACTCCAAGGCAGATTCAACACAATGAATTTTTAATCAGTATATCAAAAGATCCTCATAAACCCAACCTGAGGAGAAGTGTTGCTGTCGGAGTGTTATTTGTCTTGGAATCAATGACGCTGGCAGATGTTGTTTGATAAAACAACAGCTTTTCCTCCCTCGCTGCTGTGGTGGCTCCAAATCTCCCTATACCTTTCACAAACGCTGCAGCAGCTATGGATTATCAAGAAAAAAAAACATGTATAGGGTACGGGGGACGGGGGAGACGGGGTGCCTTTTTTATCCGAATGATCAGTAAATCACATTAAAGATTTACATCAGTACTTTTAAACATCCCTCCAGCCCCCTAGTGTTATCAGTCTTCTGTGTTGTCCTTAATGCAGCTGTTGGGATATTGGGATCGTTAAATTTGTTATTGATTTCCTTTATCTATCTGCTCAGTTTGCTGGTGCAGATTTTTTTTAAATTGCAAGTGAGAAAAGAGATTAAGGATAAGTGAAAGTGAACAGATTGTTATTGCGTCTTAAAGGTTTCATCACCCTCTAGGTGCAGCATAAAGCAACTATAGGGTCTCTGTGTATACTGTAGGACAGTATCAAAATAATAACTGCTGCTCTCTTTAATATGTTGTGCAGTAGTTCCAGGATAACCAAACTATAAAAAACAATGTTTGCCTCAGATGAGAAATAAAAATCCTGATGCTCCCATTAGCCAGAAAACTAAGAACTGGTCACTCAATAACTTACGTTTACAGCCGACCAATGAAGACGAGGAGTGGATGAAGCCCTCTTCTCTTCAGCAGACACGACGCGACATGACAGCCCATCCAGGCCCCACACATCTGTTCGGCATTGTTCAAATAATGGGCGGTTTCTGAACTATAAGTCAACAATGACAGGCTAAGTCTGTGTTGTGTTATTGAAGATGTTATCAGCGCTGCGTTGTGATGAACAAGAGGAGCCGGCTGACCATATAAAAGAAGCGATAAACCCCTGCGAGGGACCGCACAGAAGGAGACACACAAAATCTTAGCCCTGCATTAGACACATGGGTGGCTGTGCTCTGTGTGAGGAAAAACTGGTTGTGATAAGAAAAAGGCGAAGCATGTGCTGCATTTTAAAGCAAATGAACAGAGGGGGGAAACTGCTTTTGTGAACTATTCATCTCAGGTGCATCGAGGATGTGTCTGCCAGCTCTCTGCACCGTGTGATGGCTGCTTCCAGTTTTGTTTTCTCAATAAGCAAAACCTCTCAAGGAGAGTGGAAAAGAGATTATTTTTCATTCGCAAAAATGTCATTTACCTTTCTGCACCAGTTATGAAAAGGCAGCGAGAGAGTAGGCAAAGGAGAGGAAGAAAGGAGGAGCATTTTTTAAAACTTATCACTTGTAAAGATCTCTGACACTGCAGTCAGCATTTTTGCTTTTACTTCCCCCTCCCTGTCTTTCTCATTTCTATCTCTTTTTATATATATATTTAATCTCCCCACAAAGCCCATTACAGCTATGTTCCCGCAGCCGTTGCAGTCACACTCAGCTAGCTATTGGCCATTCACTAGACTCCCTTACAATACCCATAATCACTGAATCAGTAATCCCCTACTTGAGCTGGAATAGCACATCCGCATCGTGGCTCATTGGAAGTTGCTGCATTGGCCTGGCTTCTCTTGGTCCAGAAGAAAAAAAAAAGAACTCTGTAGTCCTTCTTAAAGGAGCTGCTGACTGCATTGTCCTAACCAAGGTCAGGCAGCTTATGAAAGAGACACTTTTGAGCCTTTTATTGCCCAGAGGATTCTGGAGAAAAGCTCTAATTGGCACCTATGTGGTGCCTAATCTTATGGGTCCACTTGGCAAAGCATTCAGCTATTTATTGTTTTTTTTTTTTCTCTTTATGTGATGTGGAGTTTATCTCCTGTCAAACTAGAGAGGACATGAGTCTGTTGTTGCGATGAATATAAAACATCAACAGGGAGTGTCACGATTCTCTCTCCAAACTAGTAAATATTGGATCACGGTGTGACAGAGCTTCCAGCTTCCAGCTCTCTTCCCCCTCGTCTGTCGAGCGAGCAGATTGATCCACACGTTTTTGGCCCGTATCAAAAGAAAGCAGTCGCTAGCAGAGCCCCGCCAAAGCTGCATGTCTGTGCAGAAACAAGGGCTCCATCATAACTGATTGCTTGTGACAGTTCACAGTCGCTGGGGCCACTGAAGCATCATAACCTTGTGAAACTAGTGTACGGGCACTCTAGCATACAAGCTGAAGGAGAGGAGAGTGAAAGGGGAAAAAATGATATTAGCATATTCCTCACAGTGATACAGGGACGCAAACAAGGCCAGGCCTGCCATGAATGACCTCCGTGGTTAGAATCAAATACATCTTATGTGATTAAAGACATAATTTGAGCCAGCATGGTTGGAGTCAGGCTAGATTTATTGACAGCTGTAGCGACTGAACAGGCACATGTGGATTGATGTGACTGAAATATCTTCCTGCATGCCTGAGGAGAAAATCCAAGCTATTCACGTCACTTTATGTGCATTGTCACAATAACAAGCACCAATTTGGTTCTGTTTGTTCACTGGTTCACATTGAGTTCACTCGAAAAATCGAATTTGCACATAAGAGTGGAGCGATAATCACGCCATGTTGTTCTCCTGACTCATCTGCTGCTTGTCAGAAGGAAAGAGGTGCATTGCTGTCAATTGAAATCTCCAAACTAGGACTAAAACCATGAACTAACAGGTGTGGCAGAGTTAGATTGTGACGCAGCGGTGCAGTCTGACATTACCGCAGAGCTCCTGTCCTTAGCGCTCACTATCCCCATGAGTGAGAATTAAGTGAACATGATGTGCCCGTTCAACCATGAGCCTCCTCTGTTTCTTCCTCCAATGGTTAATTCAGAGAGTGCCGTTGTGTGGCTCTTGCTATTTCACACATGGCTACATAAAACCTGTGGGCGGTTGCTCCCAGGCCACTGTCCGTGTTTGTGTGTCCATGCATGACTGTGAGATGAAATATTGAAATGTTCCATCATCAAGCATCGGGCCGCCGCCGGCACAATTCCCATTCCTTAATTTTATTTTTCCTTCCCTTCTTTATCTCGTTGGCTTGGTGGTGTTACTTTTACTTTCTCCTCGGCGTGGCGTGCAGATCAGGAAGGCAAACCTCATCTGGACCCATGACAGAGCTAATCCATCGCAGCTGCAGAATGAAAAGGGGCCGTTTGGAGGGAATCCATTCCAAAAAGGGCCTCAATGGGGAAGCTTCTCTCAGATGCCGGTGCCCTTCGCAGCCCTGACAGTGCGAGAATATGATGAAAAAGCACTTGGGAGAGTTCACTGGCTTAGCTATGTTTATGAGAGGAGGCAAAAGATGGGGAGAGAGAGCTGAAGGGCAGAAGATGGGGAGATGAAGTGACCACACACCGGGTTTGTATATGCCTGTGTGTGTGTGTGTAAAGTGTACAGGATTATAAGTACAAAGCAGAGTATCTCTTACCTCATCTTTCCACCTCCCTGTCTACTAAACTGAACTGAAGGCGGCTGAATGTCTGTAATATACTGTCAAAGGATGTGTGCAGTTTTGTAAGAGTCAGTAGATGAGCAGTGCACCTTTAACAGCCCACCCACAACAACTCTGAAGGAGACAGTGTCCTTGAAGTGGCTGTACGTCCACCAGGAATTAACTCACCACAAACAAATATACAATATGGTTGAAGCTGAAAAGCCCTTCACTCGTGTATTATAAATGGACTGCGCGACTGTAAAACATACCTTTCTTCGAGAAGTCAAGGACACAGAAATCAAATCACTTTTTGCTTTTCTTTTCAACACTCACGACATTACATTTTTTTCCTCTGCCCATTGTGGCTGCTGCTGCTGCTGCTATATTCTCGTCTCTAAGCTGTAAGGGGATAGACTTTGGCTCTTTTATGCATAAAGAAGCTTAAGTTTGGAATTCGCTCTCAAGTGGCCAAAGTCTGAAAAAGTCAGTGAACATCTCTCTCCCAATTTTGGAGATTTTTTTCAGGGCAAACCTTTTGACCTTTTGATCAAATGCTAAGCTACTATATCAAGTACTGGTGCAGAATTTTGTTGCAGTTTGAATTTCCCATTGGAGAGGTCGTAAATAAAGCTATTCAAGGCGTGTTTCCACTGAGCAGTTTGGTTCAGTTTAGGTCACTATGAAATTATTTGCGTCTTCCCTGCTAAAAGTCGGGTACTAACTGTGTCATTGTACTTTTTTGGCACCCTCTCCCTGAGCACCACAGGTACCTTTTTGACCCTAAAAATTGGGACTAGACACACCACAACTGGACTATGCTCTCAAATGAATTATGACTATTCTTGTGTTTGTTCTCTGTGGGGAATGCTTTCAGGCATCAAGATTGGTCTTATTTGGAGACAATCTGGTTTGAGAACTGTTGCTTATGTACACACAGACTTCAACTGAGCTAATACAGGGGCACACAAGAAATATCCTTTAATCTTGTGTTTTTAATCGATTGATTAATTAACAAAGTTTACATGCGGCCAACCTGATTATTGCCACTTTTTTTCCTACATAAGTTCTCTGTATTCCTGAATAATGAAAATAAAAACAAACTGCAAATTACCTTTTTTTTTCTTTTACTAAGTACATTTCCTGGACACAATTTCAAAATAAAAGCTTTGTATCAAAATAAGAGGTGTGTCTCCACAGAAAAAAAAGGTTGAGAATTTGTTTTGAAAAACATTCTAGGAGTTTTTCAATTCTGTATTTTTCAAGCCTCTGACAAAACCTGAATCAGAGTCAGGATACTTTATTTTTTCCAGGGAGGTAAAAAAAAAAGTAGCCTACTCAAAACCAATACAGACCCCAGCTTATTATTTACTTAATAAGTAAACAGGTAAATTTACTTAAAATAGTAAATAAATACTGATTTATTGATTTTCAGTGGTCTGATCTGTTAACATACATGCCAAAATGAAAGTATAGCCTTTCTGGAGCCACCATGCAGCCAGCATGATACCTGTGTGAATCCCCTAAGGTCACAGGTCTAGAAACACAAGCAAGATCAGGGTTTACTGTACCAAATGTACAAAACTATGCTTGACAAAACCAGACCACTTGGTAGAAACACACCATTAGACACATAATCTACATCTCAAAGTGACAATTTACCCCCTACAATACAACACAATGAAGCCTGGGAATGCTCCATTAGGTCAGGTTTGTGAGTCTGCCCAACTTTTGCCTCCACCCCAGCACTGAGAGGAGAAGCTGAATTTTATTTTTTAGTCTGGATAACAAACAAAACACACTATTAAAGAAAAACAATGTATTTTGACATTTGAGTTGTTTTCTTATTCCGGTTCATCTGTTGTGTTACATTAGTTGTGCACTTAGCAAAATAAAAGCTTTGAATGGGGCAACACCTGCCTTAGGGGCTGCATCCACTGACAGTGTTTTCACTTTTGTCTTGTTTTTTTTTGTGCTGGCAGCGCCCACAACCTACATTTTACAGCAATTCTCCCTGGCGCCTTCTGGTCTTAGGTTGCAAAAGCCATCTCACAGCTATTCTGTTTCCCTCTGTATTGATGCAAAGTTTGCTTTGAATTGTTCTTAATGTTTATGAGTTGCCAATATTAAGGGACATTTTGCGATGTAAATGTAAAAAGCAATGGGGAGGAATTGTTCCTGGCATTAGCAGCAGCTCGAGAACTGGAAACTGGGCCTTGCAAAATAAGTCTGATGAGCTTTTTCTACACTATTGCCACTGACAAAGATGAGATCATAAGTCCCACCCCTTTTTAATTCTGATTGGTTTGTGAGGGAGGTGACATTGATGGATGTAGGGGTGTTCCAACCATTCGTGCAGTGACACTAAAGCTTACTCTGAAGGTGCATCAGGATGCTGAACAACAAAACACTGATTTTATTTAGATGACAGACACCACACGCACAAAAAAAAAATGTTAATGAACACAGGCCCTTACTGTTTGTTTACCTAACACAAATTATGTCCGCCAGTCTTTCTTGACCGTTCACTTCTCAGAGTTTGTACAACCATGGAAGGTTTTGATGTATCTTAAGAACATGTACGGTAGCAGAAACTTTTGGCTGTTTCAAAATCTGTTATTTTAATAATAGGGGTTAATTATGTTAAATCATGTGTGTGGTTGAGATAACAGCAGGGTTCAATGAGAAAATATTCTTCATTGTAAGTTGAATCAACCAACCTGCAAATTAAAGTCAATACTCTATTATTTTCTGTTATTTTGCTTTGCATTATTTTCTTCTGTTTATCAGTCAACCCGGACAATCTCATTGATTTGTGGGTGTCTTTATAAAGTTGCCAGGAGACTGACATCTATAGAGCTGGGACTCTTTGTGACTGCAGCACGCTGACCTTATCGCGCAAGATATCAGTCTGGCACCAAATTAGACTGAAATTTTCTTATTGGCGTCACTGCCCTGCACTTATCCAGACGATGAAAGGTCCAGTGAGACTAAAATGAGGCACTTCTTTTCATCTAATGCTAGAAACTTTTTGCTGTTATTCCTCCAAATGGCTGTAAGAAATGGCTCTAAAGTGAAGCTCAGAGCTGGAAATCTTTATTGGCTTTTATGGTAAAATTTGCTTTCGTAAGGAAAGGTGAGGACAGCATTTATTAAGGGTTCATATGCTTGGCTCTCATATATAAAGCATTCATGTTCACTCGCTATCACTGCCTTTTGTTTCTACTTTCTCTCTTCCACCTTTAGCATTATCATTCAAGGACTGACTTCATCTCAGAAAGGGCACTAATAAGATGAAGAGTGGTGCTGGACTCTACATACTTATGGAAGCCTGTGAAGGACAGGGGGATATCTTTAAGTAATATCTTGCAAGGTTAAACAACTGGTCCCATCTCACGTCCTCATTGACTTATTCTGTTATTCTCTAGAGAAAGGCTCAGAGTGCTCGGGTCCTGGAGTGGTGTCATTTTGAAATTCCGCCCCGTGATCAAGCTTCACGATGCAAATTCCTCGATGGATCAGTTTGTGTTGTTCCATCGCCATAGGATATAAATTGTGACATGTAACATGATTAGCGATACTGGGGGCAAAGGCTTAGTTTACATGTGTAGGCAGTGGACCTCATGATAGTGTCAGATAGTCATTCCTGCTCTGCGGCACACTCTTGGCTTACATGTGCATAAAAGATCTGACTTCTCCCTGAAGGACAGAAACGGCCAGTCAGGAAGCATTAAACTCAAATAGTCCCACACTCTAACTCGAATATGGAAATTTTAAGACCTTTTGCTCCCCTGCATTGAAGACGAGGAAACGGAAAAAAAGACAAATGGAAATAATTTTCGCACGGCTGACGAAAAAGGTTGGAATGAGATATACAGGAGGGCAAGAGAGACAATCCAGAGTCTTGACAGTGATGGAAAAATATACGTGCCTGCCTGCCTGACATCCATAAAGTTTTCTGTGCTTGTTTTGTTTTCAATCATCCAAATAAGAACAGGAGCAAGAGAGGTTTTCAGCTGGCAGGTTCATCCCCTGCTGTGTACAATTGGATTCAAAACAAGTCAGTCAGGTGCGGCACACTTTACCTAAAATATCACCACAAATCTTTACCCAGGCGGGCCCGGCTCTCCTGCAGTCAGATTGAATAATTTCAATGCATTTTCTCCCAGGACCCCCTCGGATGTGGCGGGGAGTTTTCTCCTTGTGTCTCCTTTTCTTAAAGGCATCTGACAAGGAACCCAAAGTGAACTGTTTCCTGTGATGCAGCAGAGCTAATCCCCCCGTTTGTTGTGAAGGCAGAGCTCCTGACCACTTCTGACAGCGGCAGTTTGAATGTTTGCTGTTGTGGTCTGACATGTTGAACCCTCCTGTCTCCATCGCTCCTTTTCGCAGCTGTACCCGGACACCCTGGCTCCTCTTCATCGTCTGCTTCACAGCACAGTGATGCTGATTAGACATTGTGTGTGTGAGTGTGGACACGTTGGCACGACTTTAGTGGCTGTCCATCTTCATGCAGTCATGCTGCAATCCAAACCCCTCTCCATGTGCAATCCCCTTCGTGTTCTGTTCACTCCCCTTCCCTTCTTCCATACTCATCTGTGAAGAAGACGAGGGCGCGCTTTAGGCCTGCAGTGCTGATTGGGAGGATTAGTGGTGTGTGAGGGACTTTGTCACCAGCTTTCTTGGAAATCCAATTACAGAATATCATAAGCCTTACATGTTTCATACTCGGCTGAATCCTCCTTAAAAATGCGGGCAGTAACACTCAAAGGGTCAGTGTTTAGTAGAGCTCCCTGCTGTGTGTTGTGTTGTGGTGACATCTCCCTGAAGGTGAGAGAGGTGATCATCTCTGAGAGGACAAGACAAGTCCGATGGCACTACTCTCGCCTCTGCATTGCAGCAAATGGTGGACTGTGTGGCACTGAGGAAAAGAAGGGATCTGTATTTGTTCAGTGTGACTAGCTGGGATCTTGGAGCATGACTCCAAAGGTTTAGGCTTGTTATCTGCTGGCATAGATAGTCCTCAGTTGCAAACATCAAGGAAATTGCATGCAGGAAAGGGAGGTAGGAAGGGTAAGATTTCTGCAAGTACAGCTTGAGGCCTCTCAAACGGATTTTCCCCAGAGTTTTAGCAAGCAAACTGTTCGATCTTGTAGCCACGGCACAACGCTGTTATCTGTGCTATTTAAATGGCTAACATATCGAACATTTGAACAGCGCTCTTGCTCAATCCTGCTGCGCTTTTGCTCTGCATCACCAGTCCGGTTGGTCAAACAGGGGGCACAGCCGCGATAAAGACGACTTTACAGCCGTTGCAGGACTTTGAGCCCTGTGTGTGTGGCTCTGTGTTCAAACAAGAGCACAAAGCTAAGACCTTGAAGTTGAAAATATCTGTCGGAAGGAGATGGAGTTAAGAGTCATTGATTCCCTTGGCAATTGCTCACCAGCCACTCTCACAAGTACAGGACTATATCATCAAGATAGCAGGAAGAGAGGAGAAGGAGCAGGAGCTGCCGGTTGAAGGGCTGCAGTGAAAAACAAGAGAGGAAAGAGAATATTTAATGAGCTCTAGAGATAGGGAAGTACGTGCTTGTGGGCCTCATCTGACCTCAGAATCTCCCATCCCAGGATCACTCTCTCCAGCCTACCATATATGTTGTAATTACAGCGTCAGTCCTTTTGATGTGTCAGGTATTATTAATGACGAAACGTTAGTCTGCTGTGCAAACGTCGATTTCTTTCATTCTTGAATTTTTTACAAGGTTCTAAGAGAGAAAAAAAGGAAAATATGTACACAGGGGCAATGTGGTTTCAGATCTGAAGAATTATAAATAACGTTTTGTTCAGAAGCCCTTTTCAAGCCGACAGTTCTCTGCAGTGGTTATTTTGGCGTACAGTTGAAGTATTTGTTATATTGATAAATATCATTCATATAATTGAACCATGATTACTCGAGTCACTAGTCTTATTTTTCAGTATATTAGAATATTGGCTCTGATTTGAAATGCAAACAATTCCTGTTTGCAGACGTAATCCTCCTTCGCCATATTTGGCAAACACGCAAAGATCTGACAAACAGAAACCACGTCACGTAATTCAGATTTCCCTTTAATTCTGCCTCTCCTTGTAGCGGAACAGAGGTCCACTCTCATTTTAATGGGACTGACTGATGTTTTAGATCATATATAAGACCTCCATCACAATACTCAGACACGGTATGGGATCAGATAAGTGTTGTTTTTTTTTCCTATGGAAGCCTTTCAGGTTAATTTCTTGGAGCATCAAAGAGAATGTAAATCAAGTTAACCAGAGTTTGATTTTATGCTTTCATGTGGATTTCCATAATCTACTTCTCAATTGAAATCTCTTGTCTGCATTAAGCTTGAAAGAAGGCAAAACCTCATAAGAAACTTTGCCTTTACACTTTCTCATCTAAAAGACACCTGCCACACGGACATGTCTGTGGGCATGTTTTCTGTAGGTTTAACATGGCACTCTCTAGGTTTTGTTGGTTGGATTGCAGTTTATTCTGTGTGTAATGTCATTGAATGCGACGCCAATCAGCTTTACAAGACATTTTGTAACAAGTCATCTGAGTTGGGCGACCTACTTGTGAAAGATAAAAAGCTGATCTACAAATACAGGAAAAAAAAATCAAATGTAGTTTGCCATCAAATGCTTTTGTATGTTACCTTAAATAATGAAGTTGACAGGAAACACTTGCTGTAAAACTGCATATTGCCAAGAAACAGGAGATGGATCAAGTGTGCTGTAGTTTGCTGTTTATGAGTTATCAGCAGTTGTTAGCAGACTGAACTGGTGACGGTTAACTCTGCAGCAGTTGGTTATGTTAGTGTATTTATGAATTCATATGTGCACCCCGGGTTTGTCCTTGGATGTCTGCATAATCACCACCCATAGCCTGTGTATTGGTATGGACACACCTCTCGGCTCCTCTCTTTCTAAGATGTGCAGCCAAAATACTGCCTGGATGGGTGCTGATATATTGTGCAAGTGAAGTAGAGGCAGTTAGAGCCGAAGGATTCACATCACAGTCCTTCTGTAAACCAAAACATGCAATTAAGTCACCAATAAAAGGTCATGGACCCCTTTAGGTTGGTCAGTCAACAGCAAGACAGTCATACAAGTCTCTTGTATCAGTGTTAATTATGTTTTGTCTTGCTCCTTCCTTACTTTACTATTCTCACAAAGGCTATTGCAGGGTGTGCAGATGGCCCAGCGGGTTAGCATGCCCCATATATGGGGCCCACGATTCCCACAGCAATTGCAGGTTCGAGTCCGGACCTGACCATGTGCTACATGTCCTCCACACTCTCTCTGTATTTCCCTACATTTCACCCTGTCCTATCAATAAAAGACAAAAATTGCCCAAAGAAATAATTATAAAAAAACAGCCATTACAAGAATTTCCTGTCAACAAAGGTGTAAATCATCTCTTTACATCGAATAACTCATTAAAACCAATGTGCTCCATGAATTAACCCATGGACATGATCAAATGAGACTTTTAATTTTATTTTTTATTTCTTTATCAATAGAGGAGGTGGGCTTCAAGACACTGCAGCCAGTCACTGGAGGGAGTTCAAAGGATTTGGCCTCATTTATGGGAGCTGTTGTTCTGTACTTGTTTTTATACAGCCTATGTCAGCAGCAGCTTGGATGCCTCATGCATCAGCTGGAGGATTAAATAAGAGCACTGAAATGCACATCCATATGTTAGAGACATGTTTGATTTTCAACTCCAGAGCCCTCTGCTCATCTACATCTTTAATGTGGGAAAATGTGGCTTGCATGCACACTAGCTCAGGACTTAATTAAAACCACAGCTAAGCTACCAAAAAGCTATTCGGTTCATAAATCAGGAACTCTTATACCAAGCCATCGAGAAATGATGTGAAACTTGCATTCTTGCCTGATGTTACAATTCAGTTTGCTTGTTCAAAAGACCCATGTTGTATGTCATAAAAATATGCGTGCAGTTCATCTGTTATACTTCAAATTTGCGGCAGGGCTTTAAAAAAGCTACCTTTGTTTATTTTGATGTTAAATCCTAGCCATAAATTGAGAGAAGCTTGTGCCATATGTCACAACAAAGCACGAAACTTAAGAGAAAACCTCTCAAACATGCAATCTTCACTTTAAAAGAGGAGCATGATTCATCTAAAAGCTGTGTTATTTGCCATCCACCCAGGCAACAGACAAACAGAAATTGATATGCAGCTTCTTTGTGTAGAGGCAGCATTAAAGGCTGCAGTTCGGCCGGCTATCCCTCCTGAGAAACACTCATTTAAACCATAAAAGTTACTGGCCTGTAACCTTATTTGATGTGACTTTTACCCATGTATCTAGCAGAGAAGGAAATGTGTTAGCTCTTCACTATCTGTGGTTGTTGTATAGATGAGACAGATATAATAAAACTCAGACATCCATTTCCAATCACCAGATCTACTTGTGCTGTAATCCTGCTTCACATGGCTTCAGCTCAGTATATGAACATTAACATGAAATTTCAATTAGTCACCAACATGTAAAAGATCGAACAGATATGTAGGGTTAGGGTTGAAGGTAATCTTTGTAGCAGGAGCTGGCGATGCTTATCTGTTGGTGGGCGAGCTCAGGGCTAACAGGTCCTGGTGTTAGAGCATCTACAGGCCAGCTTCCTTATCCCCCTTCATCCATCATGCACTCCAACAGTCAGACACACGAGCACATGCAGAAAGACACACGTTCACACACACACATTCATGCACCTCTGAACTCCTCAGAGGATTTGCTTGCACTATTTTTTTTTTTTTTGTCCAAACAGCAGATGAGGTTTTTAGCAGTGGGGGATTCCCAAACTGGCAGAGAGAGCAGCAGGCAGGAGAGAAATGTGGAGGTCATAAAGAGAGCCACTGAAGTTTGGCTGTTATCATCAGTCACACAGCTACTTTACTTTAGATTAGAGGTGTGTGTGATGATTCATTTTTCCTGTTCACTTCCATCTTACTCACTTCAACTCATCAAGATATTTCATAAATCACAGTATTTTCATCTTATTTGCAGTTTTTCACTTACTTAACTGCCATTATTGATCGATACCCATTAGGGGTGGGAGAAAAAATCGATACAGCATAGTATCGCGATATATGGTCTGATACATCATATCGTCTCATTTACCAAGTATTGATTTTTCAAATTGATTGCTAATATGAAGTCAAATCTATGATAATGGAAAAATAAAATCAACTGTTGGTCCAGTGAGGTGACATCGTAGAGCAGGAGAAAGTTAGTACAACACAAATATATATAAGGTTTGCAAGATGTGCTACATGAGAATAAAATACAGCGTAAATGAGACAAACATAAAGGAAAGCCAAATGGTAAATTAGCTAAACAGTTGAAAAAATGGTATAAATTGCAATATATTGTATCACAATACTAACTGTATTATAAAATGTTAAAAATCGCGATAGTATCGTATCATGGCCCAAGTATTGTGATAATGTTGTGTTGTGGGGCCACTTGTGATTTCCACCCCTAATACCTATAGTTTTATAGTTTATTCAAAAATTGTCAAATGAAATTGTCTTTATTAAAAATTTAAAAATGAACAATTTTTAAAATTTAGTTTTCTTAAAAAACAAGTTTCTCCTGAAGGCCAGTATCAGTAAGTTCATCATATTTTTCCTCCATATTTTTGTGTTAAAAAAGACAATCTTCATGTGTAGTTTATGCAGATCTGATGTTCAGAAGGGTTAAGAAGTCATGAGCAGAGATGGAAATAAACAAGTGCTATGCTGACTAATTCTGACACATTTTAATGAGTGAAATACAAAAAAGTAACAACTAACACACTTTGGCCTTTAAGGACTTTTTTGCCAAAGAAACTGCATGACACTCTTTGACAATCTGTGAAATCTGACATCTATTTACTGAAGAATTTAACTGACATACATTAAATCATAGATGCAGGCAAATAAAAGTGCCTTTCAGAAATTCAAATGTGTCCCCGAATTGAAAATGAGAACCTTGTAGAAGTTTTCGTCCTGCCACTGGGCTTTCAAGCCAAGCATACTTACTTGACATATGTCAGAAGTCTACATGTTTGTGGTGAATGTTTTATCACTGATGTTGATCAGACTGTGAATTATGTGAAGAGAACACATTAAATAGTAACGTCGACTCTGTAGTTTGGTTCAAAAGGTGCCATGAGCTGTCCAAATCCTTTCTGTTAAATCACAGAAGTAGGTCGGTCATCTCATATCGTAACTTTGGGGACTTTGCCATTCATTACTTACATCTTTCAGCTGTCTCTGGTAAATTTCCAGTTGACAAATATTGAATATTGACCCAGAAGTGATCACTTCAGTTTAAAAAAGGTGACCAAGCCTTTGTGGCTCTGGAACAACCTGCCCTTGTACATCCACTCTGCAGAATCGATTGAGGTTTTTAAATCCTCCTTGAAGACTCACCTCTTCTCTCTGGCTTTTAATTGAGTTTAAGAGGACTAAATTTTAACTGAATTTAAATTCATTTTATTTCTTTTTTTTTATTTCAGTCCATTTTATAGAACAGTGTTTATGTATTTTAGTACTCATTTTATTTATTGTAACTGCTGATGGGTCACTTTATCATCCCTGCTGCTTTTACTCTGTACAGCACTTTGGTCAACCCTGATTGTTTTAAATGTGCTTAATAAATAAAGTTTGAGTCAAGTTAAAATTTTATCTCCGTCACAAGGCTGTGTTCTTGCAGCAGTCAAGTGACACAAAAATGATATCAATAATCTTTTAAGAATAAATATACACATTAAGAGCTGTAAACACAGAAACGAATTAATAAAAGGAAATAAAATAAAATGACACTCATAATTAGCAAGGACAATATTTAAGGTACTGGGTAAGAGCTGGGCAGTAAGTCTTAAGGTGCTTCATTTCCCTGTATTTCCAGTGTTTCTTCCTTCACTGTCACAATGTAACAAAGACATAAAATCACCCCAAAAAATAAAGATAAAGAAAGAAATGTCATCACCAATTCTCCAATATTAAAACATAGTATATAATATTGAAAAAGTTTACAAAATGGTGACATCAGAATATATAGCAATCCTGCTGTGATGGAAACTGCACGTAATATTCGTGTGTGTATGTTTGTATGTGTGTGCCATTTAACCCAGGAGTTAATATGAAGTGTAAATAGATGTTGATGTAGAAGGACGACTAGCAGCCTCCTTTGAACGCTTCATGGCAGCGTCTGAGCCGAGTCGTTCTTGAATCTGGGTCTCCCATTTGAGTTAACAGTTTGAAGCACTTCACATCTCTATATGACAAGAGCTGATGCATTCCCCCAGGGTACTTACCAGCTATCTCCCTGTGACAGCATCCCTTATTCAGAGTAGGCTCGGTCCTGATGTAGGCTGGTAATGCAGGGGAGGAGGGTGGTAAGGAGAGGGTGGTGGTAGCAGGACGAGGAGTTATGATGAGGAGAAGGAGACAGAGACCCAAGCAGGCAGGAAATGGGGCTCCAAAAAACTGAGAGGGGAGACAACAAAGGAAGAAAGGGAGAATGTGGGTTTTATAGAAAAGGAGATGAGTAAAACAGCTTAAAAGATACAATCATAGTTGACATTTAACGTTCCCGACCTCCCTTCCCAAGGCAGTGCAAAGCTCTGGCTCATGGGCCGCCAAACAACATGGAAGTCCAAACAGTGCGAGTGCATGAAAAGGCTTTTTTTTCTTCTCTTTCTGAATTATCCCAGCATGCCTGCAGGATAGCACATATCCCTCTTAACTAGCATTCCAGGCCAGCCATCTCAAGTGATGCATCAGAAATGTAACATCCCCGTAGCACAGCCAAGTGTCCTGATTATAGACGGGAATGAGGGCGGCACACTGTGTGTGTTTGACCAGTGAACTGGAGATGGGATGCATGGTTCCCTGCAGCAGAGTGGAGGAGGAGGAGGAGGAGGAGGAGGGGCAGGGACGGTTAACTGCAGAGGAGGGAAAAAAAAAAGAGATTGAAGAGGAAGAGAAAAGAGAAAGGGGCAGATGAGAGAGAATTATCTGTCTGTTGTTTACCACTCGCTCTTCATGCAGGGTCCTATAATGACTCTGTGTATATGCACATGGATGTCTGAGGACTTGTGAGTAAATTACCATTATTGAAATTCAAGGTGACACTCACACAGTCATTGAATTATATTAACTGATGTGTTATTTCTGCAGAGTTGGAGACAGACTCGACCACCTTATTTCCACCTTCAGCGCGACATTTATTTCATTCTTATTTAATTACTGACAAGGATGAGACTGAGGCATCCCTCTAAAGCAGCTTTCTCTCTTGACTCCACTCTGGACTCATTTCTTTCCCTATTTTTTTGCTCACTGAAGTCCAAGACTAATGTCTGCTCCACTGATAGAGCAGAGCGATATTATGGGGGGAAACAATATGAGAGAGGGAAAGAAGAGGCACTCAGGTGAAGAGAGATACTGACACGCTTGAGGTGGATGTATGCTTGGGGGGACGGCCAGATGGCAGAGGAGGAAGACAGGCAACAAAAGGAGAGGTCAAATAAAGAGGTGATAGTCGAGGAGAGTGGTGAGACAACTTTGGGATAAATTATGAAAGCATTGGAATACAAACATGTATAAAGGATGATTCTTTTGGGGTTGAAATCTTGCAGTTTTGGTGAAACAGTCCAACTCATAACGACAGAAAAATGAGGACACAGCAGACTCTCTGATTCTACTCACTCAACTCAAATCCTGCCTTGTTTCTTTATACACTGATGGACTTCTTAATCCTCTATTCAGCTTGGTCAGAAATTTCCTACTTACTGCTATTTTGTTTGCTATTTCCTATTAATAAACATGCCAGCGAATGTGCTCTGCTCATTTGTTCTGCCGTCGTGCCTTGACTGATAGAATTAGAGTTCATTAAAATTTTAATTTACATGCACCTCAAATTAACAAGATAGCAAATGGGTGCAGCATGTAACAATAAGCTTGAATAATTAGAAAGTTATGACAATCTTTAACAAAAGTGTTGGATTTAGGGTGGTAGTTTTAAAAATTGCTCCTCCTCACAGGTGATGCAGGCTGTTTGTGATAACAGGCAACACTTCTTTTGTTTTCGTGCATTAGCACTGGGTTGAAAAGCAAATTGTTTCCCTTTCCCCCCCCTGTAAAAATGATGATTGCTCTGCTGCTTTCCAGCCTGCTGATAGAGGAGTCATTTTTACAGATGAGATGACGCATTTGCTTAATCAGTCATGATCAACAGCACAGCTAGCTTCACCTGAAAGTTCCCCGAGCTTCAACTTTGACTCTCTCCTCCAGGCTACAGTGTATAAACACCTCCAGAACCAACAAAACCTCCACATGTGTGTGTGGCTTGTTAGCCTCTGACCACAAAAGTGGGCTAATAGTGATTAAGAGTGAGAAAACAAGAGGTTTCTGCAGAGCACAGCAAATGGCACTGCATTGAAAATCAATAACACAGCTTCCATTAACTGTATGTAGTGTTAGACAAAGTGCATCGGGTCTATTTATGGTAAAGACATGAATTCGGCTGAGAATGCAAGTCTTTAAAAGTCATGTGTGGTACAGGTGGAGGAGTAGTAGTGCAGATGGGAGTGTTGTGTTTCTGTCTGAAGGGGAAGAGATGCAGCATGCCGGCAATAATCTTAAATGATGTTTCTTGCGGCAGTATGGGTTTCGCATCTTCGTCTTCTTGTAAAACTGACAGTATGTTGAGTTTTATGCTTAATGTGTGCAACATATGTGCTTTTTTGTTTATCCCTGTATTTTTTGTGTCTTTATTGTTTTTATTCATAGACGCCTAAATATCTCTATCACGTTGTACCCCATCATATTGTATTATATTATATTGTATCATCATGTCTTGACATACTATACATCATATTATACCCAACTGTAACGGACCATTTGGTATTGTTCAGTATTGTATAATTTCCTTTGGTGTCATATAGCATCACATTGTATCATATCATATTGTGTGGTCTAGTATCATGTAACATCCTACCATATATTATCATATTTTATGGTATGGTATGGTATCCTATAGTCCTACGATATCCTGTGGTATGGCATGGTATAGTATAGTATGGCAGTCTGGTTTTGTATTGTATCGTATAGTGTACTGTCATGTCATGTCATGTCGTATTGTATCCTATCACATCGTATTTTATGGGATTATACCATATCATAAATTGTATCTCAGTGTGTCCATTTCATCTCAATATATTTCATCATATTATGGCGTTTTGTGCCTGACTATATCGTATCTAACCGAATCATATATGAATTATACTTAAAGTACTTACTTACTGCAGCCTCATATGGTGAAATGTGAATATTTCTAACAAATAAATAATGAAGCAATAGGTTATTAAACTTATATTGATAATGGTTGTGTTAGCAATATCAATTAATGTTGAATAACTGAAATAATGAATACAATTACTTAAGTTAAATAATTTGATGCTGACAGAATGAATGGCAGTGAGACTTCACCATGTGCAAGTTAATTAAAATACAGAAGGGATTAATTGGGATTAGGTAGAGAAAAAGAAATTTTTTTTTTTTTTATCATTATTATTATTATTATTTTTTTTTAATTTTGTAATGTCTAGACATCTACCCTTTATTGCACCAACCATTACAATTGGCACAGTCATCCACCTCCATGGATTGCAGGCTGGCATTGGCATCAGGAGTGAAACAATTTCTGAACTATTGAAAACCAAGAGGCCAAAAAGGCTTTTCTGATACAGAAAAGCTCTGGTGGCCCGTGCAAGTTAGCTTGTTTACCCCAAAAAAACAAAAGAAAGAAAGAAAGAAAGAAAAAAAGAAAGAAAGAAAGAAAGAAAGAAAATTCAACAATTAAGCTTGATAGCCTGTCTACAGCAATTGAGAAAAGTTACCCTGAATGTATAAAAGACAGAGTCTAGTCTAAGGTATACGTTTCAAACAAGGGAAAAAAATAACTAAATGGTTGAATTTTAAGGGGTCACATATGCTTGGAGTAGATTGATTCTCCTGGCTAAGAAGTTAATCGATGTAATTATTTTACATTGAGGTAAAGCATTTATTTAATCTCACTACAATGCTGTAGATAATATAATGCCTGGAAATCAATCAATCAATCAATCAAATTTTATTTATATAGCGCCAATTCACAACAGTCGTCATCTCAAGACGCTTTTCAAAGAACAAGAGCAGGTCTAGACCACGCTCATAGTTTGATGATCAAGAACCAACCTAAGATGGGTTTTGGCCCATCTCAACTAACATGAGTAGCAGTGGCAAGGAAAAACTTCCTTTTAACAGGCAGAAACCTTGGGCAGGACCAGCCTCATGTTAGACAGCCACCATGCCGCTGCTGGGTTGGGGAGGAATGTAGAGAGAAGAGGGGAGAGGGGGAGAGAGAGAGAAACCTTGCTTATGTTTTCAATGCTCACAAGCAAGGACTAGCCGAACTATCAATCAAATCCAAAGTAACCATTTGTACTATATCAGGCACGCCTACAACAAACAGGTCAGTGCTTAACTCGCGGGATCTCTGCAACATACAAACTTTACCCTGCAACAGAAAAATGGCTCCAAAAAGGCTGCAGCATTGGGGACAAGAGCCATGTTCACACTGCAACTCCTTAAAAAGTTCTGCCAACATTTCATCTTTGCACTTCAACAGTATAATATTGGTGTCCCAGCGCATGATTACACATGGCATTATGGCATTACAGAAGTGCAGGAGGCACAGCTTGTAAACACACTCCAGGATCAACACAAACACACACAATCTGACATGCACAAACACAACCCTAATGTGCCCTGCCAGCTCAAACACGACTCATCCTCACCTTCTTCCCCATTCTGCCTCTGTTACTACCTCCCTGCAAGGATCAGAGGAAGAACAACTTTGCCCGACCGTTGCACCTTCATGTGTTACACACTGCAGACCAGACGTCACAGGGGCGTAAATATCTCACTTTTAAGAGGCAGCATAAGAGCCGATTGTATCACTAAAGGGGACAAGAGGACTAGGAGACTAGGAGATGGATGAGAGGCTTGTGTGGATGTCGCCGTTATTGAACTAGGGCTCAGTCAAAGCTGAACCTAATAAGCAGAGGACAGCTGAGCAGAGAGAAAGAGGCTGCCAGATCTGCTCCCCCAGGACAGGTTCTGTGTCAGTACTGGCCCAAATTAAGAGAGAGTGCGGCAAAACTGGGCCTCGATGAGGGGCTGGAACTCCTACTGGCTCCTATTCAGTGTGGGAGATTGCAGCACTCACCCTGCAGCACTTACCCACAATACTGCTGTCCATCTGTTGATTCACTTATCAGACAGCAGTGTTTGTGTGTGTGCACGCTTAATTTTCTGCAGCCGTGTGTGAGTGGCCTTGCTTTCCTCCCATGTGTGTGTTTTTGAGTGTGTGTTTGTGGCTGAGGATGGATGCTTACACCTTGGAAGTGGTGTCTGTACCCGGATAGATAGGAAGGGAATAGAATTAAAAGGATGAAGCAAACCCGGACAGTGACTAGATCTCTTACTCACACCGCAATTGTGCTTAAGAGGCAAGTACGTGAGCTTTATCATGGTGTCCTTGGAGTGTGAGAGGTTGATATATATACTGTTGCATGGTTCTGCACAAAGACCATTACATTCTTACAGTAAAAAGCAAAAAAAAAAAAAAAAAGAAAAGATGATGGTAAAGTAGCAATTAAGCAAGCAATATACTGTACCCAACCAGTTGAATATTACATTTCTGTCAGCCAACAAGAGACAAAAATTTAACCTAGCCGTTACGCAAGACTGCATGGAGCTTTCCCTCCTGTCAGCCAAACATTGTGCTGGAATATTCAGAGTATTTACGGATGTTAAGAATGCTTGATTACCCAGCGGGAACACTTGAGAGTCAATCAGAATAAGTGAGCAGCCATTCATGATAGGGTAGGAAAGGCAAAACACATCTGTAGCTCCCAATGTTAGTTTACACATTAATGGCTTCTGACTGAAGGGAAGTCGCTCCTGCTTGACAATTTGTGCTGTCCCACTAGAGTGCGTGATGAATGCACAAACAAATGGAAACACTTTTTTCTTGCCTCCCAAAAACTGTCATCTGATGCGCACTGATAAAAAGAAATTCTTGAATTGCTGAGATGTTCATTCCCAAAAGTGCATGTTGCAGATTTGTTACAGTAGAAACATTTCTCCAGTTGTGTAACTGTTTATTTTCCTCTACCTTTGGTTTCCTCAGACAGAAATTTCTCTAAACACTGTCTAGTTTTTTTGGCAGCTTGTTGAAAGGGTTGTTTTTTTCTTGAAAATAACCCCCTGGGCCAGTAGTGACTAAAAATGAATCTCTGCTGAATCTCTCTGTGTTAGTAACACATTTTTTTTGCCTTTTTGATTTGATTTTGACCCCCATTAGATCTCAATTATCGTTAATACTGTGCAAAAATTCAAAGTAAGCAGCTGTGACTGGCAGAGTAGCATTCACAAATCCAAATGTGCTGGGAAAAAGGTTAGAAATTAAACTAAAATCTCCCTTTTAAAGGGACCCAGAGTTGTCTTTTTCACCTCATTCGTAGGAGGTAAAAGAGACCCTGACTGTAGAGTTCACAGCAGCTGTTAATGCTGCACATAGTCCAGTGAGCCGGGCAATAACTGGTGGGAGCTCCTGGTGGGAGCTGGAGACCTTCAGTGAATGCTGTAACATTTCTGTCCTTTGGCTGCCGCTTCTACCAATATGCGCACACACACACACAAACCCCCCCACACACAAAACCCTGGACCACTTGCATTTATATTGTCAGGATTTTTGCTACCCTGCTACCTCCAGGCTGCCATTACCAGCTCTGCTCACTACCTGATGCAACGTATATGCATGTACTTTGAACACTGTGTATTAGATACTTTTCCTCTTCTCAGATCCAAATATGGATAGTTCATTTTGTACAAGTGTCAATCTTCAGACTATAAATTGGTATAGTTACATACAGCGTCTTCAATATGTATCCCTCTTCTGGCCACTCTGAAAGATTTTTTACTGCACTTTCTGAAAGATGGAGTATTAAAGAGGCCATCACAGAAAGGATGCCCTAAATCCAAGCCACATAAGATGCATCATTTTCACTTTTTGTCCTTCAAGTGGATCAAACCCATTAACATTGCTTCTGACACTTTTCATAAAGCCACTTAATACTATTTTTCACCAGGTCCTTACCACCTTGAAACCCTCTTCCTTTAACACAACAAGGCAACTCCTTAAAGGGATTTCTGGTCGACACTTAAGATTAAAACCTGATGATTTTCTCTTGCTAATATATGGGTCAATGATTTTTTAAATTATTTTTGGGGGGTGGGGAGGTGGGGGTGAAACTTTGAAAAACAATCTCTGATCTCTGATAAGACAAAGCTGAACAAATAAAGGTTAAATAAATAAAAATAATGTCTGATTTCATTTCAGATCATTATCTCTTCCTAAAGGGCATGGAGCAAATTTCACAGGCTTCCTGTGAATTATAAGTAAAACTACTATAAAAATTTTCAGTGTAATGTCCCTTTAATTAGCACATTGTTCTATTAAGATAAACGAGATTTAATTTGACGAAGCTTTTCTGATGTTATATCTGTTGTACAGTATTTACAGCAATTTCATTCTTCTCAACAGGCCAGCAGTACTGACTGTAATGTGTACAGTTAATGCTTTGTCAACCACACCAGGGGTCATTCAGGGTCACATGAGCCTTAATTGGCAAGTCTTCAGGGTCTACAGAGTTAATCGATCGGTCAAAAGTGATGATAAAGACTTCTGTGAATGTACTAAATACCCACAATCTGCTGAATCAGGTGTAAGTTCATGTGAACTATTGTCCTCCTCTCTCCCTGCAGTTTGCTCCCAGTTCTCCCGCGGAGTCTACGCCATCTTCGGATTCTACGACAAGAAGTCAATGAACACCTTGACCTCCTTCTGCGGCGCTCTCCACACCTCCTTCGTCACACCCAGTTACCCCACTGATAATGAGGTGCAGTTTGTCATTCAGATGCGGCCCGCCCTTCGCGGCGCCGTCCTCAGCCTCCTCTCTCACTACAAGTGGCAGAAGTTCGTCTACCTCTACGACACCGAGCGAGGTAAGTGTCAGTGTGGGCCTTGAGTTAAAGCTCGGAGCTTGAATTACAGCAGGAACTGCAGGAAATGTTACAGTAACTCAGAGTGGAAGCAGCACACCAGGGTTAGCGGAGGATAGATTTACTCTGTAATACTTTCTGAAAGCTCTGTAAATGCTTGAACTGTTAACACTCCACTATTTAATACAGTAGTTTGGTGTTATGTAAATGTGAAATATATTCACCAGCACCTCGTAATACTTGTAAAAACACATTAGACTTTTAGAAACAGCATATCTTATGAGCTATAACCTTTAGATTCCTTCATCAGGCGGCTGGTTGGAGTCAGTTAATCTTCTGTTTAATCATGTTGTTGATATTGGCTCGTCTTTCATTCGAAATGAGGTATGTCACAGCTGCTGCTAAAATGCTTTCTACAGGAATCACAGTCTCTGCCTGCCCGTGGGGGCTGCTTATTGTGTCGCATCAATGAGGGTTTTTTTTTTTTTGTGTAGTTCCCAGATTGCGCTGGATTGTTGACAATAGAGCACAGTGTGTATGACGACCTGTCAACATGGTGAAGTGTTCATTTCTGGATGTTCTAATGTCAAACCAGCAAATGAGCTCATTATCTCTCGATAGAATAATGATCCCTTCTTCCTACAGAAACTTCAATTTGTTCAAGCAGCACCTGGGCATGAGGGAAGGATATGTTCAGGAAGTGACAGACAAAGACACAATATGTCTCCCTCTTGGTGCCAAAAAAGGGTGACTGCAAATTCCTGCACCACCTCACACAGCAGCTTGGATTTGCTTTGTTTATTTGCCCATTATAGAAAGGTCCTGACCTCCAGATATGCTTCAAGCAATGTGTCTCTGCTGCATGCGCTCTGTGCTCTGAATGTCTCTTATTTCTGGTCCAGCCTCACGCCTCTGTGTGTTACTTTAAGGCAGAATTTGAAGTGTGCTGTGGCGCATGCAGAGTCCTCTGCCTGTGGGTCTCCTGGCCTTAAAGGGTCCTGAGCTGAGGGCCTTAATCCTGCACACTGCCCGCAGATAATACGTGGTTAATTAGGGTCACTCTGACTGGAACACTCATTGGATCTTCCCTGCGGATGCTTGCAACCCACACGTCCTTCAGTACAACCAGTACTGCCCAACTACTGGTCCCCAACCCTCTGCTTTTCTTCCTTTGTCTGACAAGTGAGGCTGTCTGGGGCACAGTCAGACTCATAGCGGAGGAGGGTAAAAGAGCCTTTAACACAAATACAGACGAGGTGTTGGAGAGAGAGAGAGACAGAGTGATGACAAATAGACGTTTACTTTGAAGAGAAAAGAGGGGGACAGAGAGCAACAGAAAGAATGCGGGAAAGTGAGGAGGAGGAGGAAACCAACAGCGATTCAGTGCAGCAATTAAGGCAACAGCAGGCGTGTGTGATTTACACCCTGTTACCTGTGTACAGACAATTCCCTGTCTACAGTACATCCTCGTGCTGAGGCCCATGCCAAGCCACTTTTACCTCTTTCCTCACTGCCAGTGGTGTAAGAGGATCCCTTATTAGCGGGAGGACATTGGCCCCAGGAGGGGATTAAAGTCGTTTATTGATGCACTCCATCCAGGACTTTGGGGGGCTTTGACACTTGGCTCATCAAGCAGACAGATGTGTCAGAGAGCTTCTACCCCTGCTTATCAGGTAGTGCTGCTCCCTTGGCAATATGGACACTGACTGCAGGCTAAACCAGGAAAACTGACAAGGGAAAATAGTCCTCAAGGGGTACAGGTTGCGTTTTTTTTTTTTTACCTGGAGGCCCTGAGGCAGAAAAACAGAAACAAAACTGTTTTTATCTAAATCATTGAAGTGGTTTAATTACGTGGTTTCTGGTGATTTTTGTGTGACATATCGTCATAGTTCTCCTGGGCTAAAGTAAAGAGTTGGGCGATAAATGGTGTTAAAATTTAAATGATGGCTCCTCGTGATCAAAACAACATGATAAAAGAGGCTGAATGATATTATGCCACCTGCTGTGTCCCACTCGAAGTATATGGTGAATGAAGCGCTCCCTCACTTTCCTCCTTAAAAGCAGAGTGTGTGCCCCGCCCCTCCCCTCAAACAGCCTTCACCTTTACTTCATCGCAAATGGCTCAGATCTGTATGCAACACAGCCAGAGGAAGTCGCTGACTTAAATATGGGCCGCTGTGTCTTCAGCATGTTTTACTGCAGCAGTACACACCATTATGCAGCCGCAGAGGAGCAGGAAGAGGCAGGTGTGTGTTTCTGTGCATGACACGAGAGAGAGGCTGTGGTGATCACAACCATGCTTGAGCGCTACTAATAAGTATTATGACCAAAGTCAAGCCTGAGCTCTCAAAGGGGAGTGAAGAATTGATGCTTTAAGTAGTATAAGATATGACTTCTTAAAAATGCTATATCATCCAGTCAGATGGACTTGCTTCAATAAACAAAAATGTAGATTTCTATTTATTGTTTTTTATTTATTTATTTTTAATTAAAAATTTTAAATGATTTTTAAGTTTTAAAGAGGTTTTAAGTTGACTGTGATGCAGACTTTAGATCAGAGGTAATCATGTATATGATCATGATATAATTATCGACTAAAATATTAGTGATTTTGATTTTTGCTGTAATTGAGAAGCCCTAGCTTAGGTCCTGATATTTTATTAGTCCAACTTAAGCCCCACCATAGAAAAACAACAAAAAACTACAGATCAAAATAAGACCTTACACTAACCTGAGCTCATGAGCAGATCTGTCATTTAGTATCCTCACTGGTATTAAACATTTGTCACTGTCCAGAGCCTAGATATCAGTGGTTTGGACATAGATCTAATTACAGGGTGAGTTTTTGTGAGTCTTTATTTCTCTCCTGTCATGTAACACCCGATGTACAAGCTATGGGGTTGCGTGTTTATGATACATTGAAATTCTGGCTTTAATTGAAGCTGCCCACCTTCAGCTGGTTGTGCCTCATCATGTATCAACCAAACAAAAAATCTGGCACTATAATTGTACCCATCACAATTTCAATGCGTCTGTTGATGTGGAAGCAATGTTTAAGAGACTAGAGGTGCAATACTTCAAACTGTTGTTGATGTTGTCTTGCTTATGTTAGGATTTGTATCACTATCAACTAAAGAAGTAGGTCCCATGGCTTTGGTTGACACAAGTTTCTGCACTCCATCTATTTTATTTAACAGAGTATTTGAATGTTTGCTGTTGTTTACTTGAAATAATCACAATCAATTTAACATTTTCCCCATACCTTCAAGTTTACTATTACATAAGGATGAGTGCTAACTCCTCCTACAGTTTTTGCTAACCTGTTGACAGTTCATTAGATGCTAAACGCTAATGGTTGAACTGTCTTCCATGTACTTTTAGCTGGTGTATCAACTGTCTATTTAATCTGTTTCTTTGTTTCTTTAGCTGCTAGGCTAGTGCTGATAAGATGCTTTCATATATATTTTTTTTAGTTCACTATGTCAAAAGCTTAGCTTGTTAATTGGAAACACGTTTCTTGCACTTTGGACATAAGACTGAGTTACATATATTTTTAATGTTTAGCATACTGCTCATTATTAAAAATAGTTCTCGTATTTTAATTTTCCCTTCTGAGAACAAAGATACAGCTGTGTATTTTTTTTTAACCAACAGACCTTCTTACACAGTCCCTCTATGCCTTCTTTCTTACCACTGCACACGAAGAACACACCCAGAGGTAAACATAGTGCTGCTTAGGAATCACTCATCTAATAAATTCTTTGTTCACTTTCCTGACGCTGCCTTGGGTCACCTGATTGAGAGTCGATACCAGATCATTGGCTTGCAGTTCATAGTGTTATTGCTCTATTGGGGTTTTCTTAGCTACCATCATTTGAAGAAGACAGCTGACATATTTTGAGAAAGCTGCTTAAATGTAAATTATGCACATATAAAACAGCAAAAAAATAACAACACATCTCTCCTGTTGGGTGTTTTATACTTATTTAGCTGTAGATTAAATACAAATGAACAAATTAAAGCAACAACTGCAATATTTTCTTGCAATATTGTCCTGAGTGCCTTTCTACCTCATGATTTCAGTTTGATAAAAGCATTTATTTCACTGCACTACTAGAAGCAACTTTGCAATTACTCTCCAAACTCTCCTATTAAGGAGAGAAAACACTGCACATTCACTGGCTGAGCTCCACAAAGAGGTTTTATTCAGTCAATAGAAAAGATTAATTACAACCACACTATTCATTTTGCTCTGTTACCGGCTTGCAAAAAAATGCTTTTAAGCCTTAGTGCAGAGCTTTCAGGCAGAGAGTGATGGTCCATATGCTTCCAGCTCAGATGTATTGGAGGGAAATGGAGGGAAATTTGTACCCTAAATGCCAATATGAGACATCTGAAAGAAGACGCTAGGGTGGAGGAATTGCACAGGAAGCAAATGGAACCTCTAAATTAATAATGTCATGTAAAGGCAGGTGTTCCTGTGTCAAGACATATGCACAGGAGAGAGTCCAGCAAACCTATGAACGCTGGCTCTCTGAATCAGACTGTCCCTGCAGCACACCTCTCTTAACTAAGTTTCACACTGTTATTTTTTTATGTTTGCATCAGCCGAGGAATTTCCCCTTAAACTGTCCAGCTGTGTAGGGTGGAGGGAGATGGATCTAGCTCTTTCTGTCAGGTGGTCAGGTATGGGCAGATAATTGCCAGGTCTGTGCAGCAGAGACAGATGATTACAGGCTTTATTGTCTCTCCCAGGCACAATCAACCCTGATTCAGCAATCTCACCTCTACTTGATTTATGAGTCGCTTTTCCTATCTCTTTCTCTCTCTCTTTCTCACGCTGCTCTACCCCTCCATATATGCTTTAAGCTTCCTCTTATGTCCTCTTCCTGGGTGCCTATGTAGATACTGGTAGTCCCTGTTGTACAGCAGTAATAATATTTCCTTCATTGGGTTGGAAGTGGTAAAGAAAAGATGACTAACGATTTAAATAACTATTAGCTTTGCTTTGCTAGCATCTGCGGAAAGCCACAGTATAGTAATATGTTGTCTTTAAATGTAATGTCAAATAGAGGACCCAAGCCAATTGTTGTCTCCTCTAAAGATATTTGATGAAATAATCAGCTAAGTTCAGTTTTATTCAAGTCTCTGCCCTCATTTATTAAATTGTGGTGTTTTGTCAAATGCAGAAAAAATAGCAATAATGTGATACCGCCATGATATATTGGCCACATTATCAATATTAGTATAGACCATTCAAAAAGTGATAGTGATCACCCACTACTTTGTTTTACACATTTGCATCTCCTGTTAGTGGGCACGAAGTGGGGAAAATATGCATTGAGCATTTACATAACTAATATTGAAATAAAGGTCCTTTCACACTGGGAGCGTTTTCCTCGTGCGATTATTTTGGACGTCAATATTTTTTTTCGAACCTGTATCCTGTCAATACAAGCGTTCACATCAGCAACGTTCTCCCGTCCTAGTTATTGCTGCATTTATTTTTTCGTATCATGGTCGATTTTTCTGAAGTTTCACATACTGTGTGTCCACTTCTGACCAATCAGATTGCGTGTTGTTGTGACGTCTGATTCACCGGTATATCCAACATGGCCGACCGGCAGAATGCTTTTTGATAAAAGACACAAACATTACAAAGATAACGACCTGAAGGACAACTTGTGGAGCGTCATAGCGTTGGATCTCTCTTATGACGATGGTTTGTGTGCTTTAACAGTTTGATAAACGTCTTTGTTTTAACTTTCATCTGTGCTAAGTAACTTACAGATACAACATACCATATGTATTTTCACTGTCTCAAACTCAATCACAGCGTTGCTGTCACAGCACCATTAGGTCTTGGTTGTTATCTTACGTTTATGGATTATAGTTTAATGTGCCTATCTGGTACTGGCCCCGACTCAGTACATGCTATCATGACAGACAGACATCTCAACACTAGTGTCTAATAAAAGCTGAAAAATAGTCAGTCTGGTGTTCTGTCAGTCTCCTCGCTTCCATCCGGGACGATTCTTTTTTTCCCCCTGAAAGTGGCCGAAGAATATTTCGTAATATTCCGTCGTAGATTTGCGTCGGTCCCAGTGTGTAAGGACCTTAAGAACGAGCATCTTTGAGCTAATATTCAGTTTCTTTGTTGATCTGGTGTTCTCTTCACAACATTATGACCTTCCTGAACCTTAAGATAATTCCTTAAAGCTGTTTTTTTAAACCACTGGCTTGGCTCCCTTTATTTAATGAAGCTGATAGCTTGTTTACAGCTTTACCCAACAAAATCATTATGTCGTAATGTGATGGCAGTCACACCAAGGTCTCCATCAAGTAGATACATATACTGAGTGCGAGAGCAGTGATTGTCTGAAAAATAAGTTTTCGAATTCATGGTGCTGAAGTGATGACACTGTGATTTATAACGCAGCCCAATTAAAGGTAAGGGCTCCTTGGTATAAAAGAAGACAATTTAACTTCTCCTGTCAAAACCTTATTGCCTGTTTAATTCACATATTCACACATTTTATAGTACAAAATTCCAAAAAAAGGCCAAAAGATGAGGCATAAGCATAAAGCATAATGATGTCTAATATATTTCGCCCAGATCCATTGTGTTTTAGATTAAACAGATGTTTTGCTAAACTCTGATGGTACTGGGACTATTCACCCTGTGCCCTAATACAATATAGTGGATTTATTGTTTGATTGTGCACATTCAACTGTTCTGCAACTGAACGAATAATTTGCTCCTCATTTAATTTACTTTCAATGCTGATAACTCCTCTCAATCTAAAACTTGACAAGCCTGCTGCGTCCAGTTACAGCTGCTCGACGATGATTAGACAATTACTCATTGGGGGAGGGGTTAGAGAGGGGGTCAGCTGCGTGTCATTCTTTCCTTTGTTGCTCCTGAGCCTTTTTTGCACAATTGTTTCTGTCATTTTGTGGAGAAATTCCAGTTAGCCTTATATTGGGCAGCAAGACAAAGAAAGAGAGAGATCTGAATGGAGCTATCAATATGACTGATAGGGCCATCTGACACTGCAAAAGCACTTACATTTTCATTGACATTTTATGAATACCAATCGACAGAGAGCAATACTAGTGACATTTGGTGGTTAGACCGGGAGCAGCTAACTCTTTAGCTCCATGATGGTGTTGTGAGAGTCAGGATTTTGGCGTGCTTTGGTATATACAAAGATGCTGGTGACAAATTAAGAGCAATGACAGTCCTCCTGTTGTCTCTTTCCATCATTTTCTTCACCAATCAATATTCACAATGGGATATTGTTTCAGGGGAAATGATCCAACACACATCTGCTGCATGGAAAGCGCAGAGCTATTTTACTTTTGTCATTTAACTGCTGACAGTTTAAAACTAAGGTTGAAAAAATGTTGGATGTCAAAGTCTCATTATAACACCAGGAAGTCAAATGTTCTTTGAATAAAAATCTGCCAGGTGAAAGCTGTTTTCCAGCCTTCACTCCCAAAATACCTTGGGGGCATTTCTTTCATTCATTCCATCAATATTTGCAATGACCCCAGCCGCTGCAGAGCCAATTCAGCAGACTCATCGAGAACAATAAGGCACATGTACAGTATTGATCATTAAAGGCTGCAGCAGCGTGTAACCACAAAGGAAAGAGCTAATAGTAAAATGCAAATATGTGCAAATTCTGACCTACTATATTCTCTGTATGCATGCATTTATATAAAATATGTATTAGACTCAGTGTTGCTCAGAATTAATGCTAAACGTCAATATAGAGTTTGAATGCTTCAAAAATGAAAAGGTTGAAAAATGGTTGTACATCACTAAACCGTCCCCAGGAGGAATAAATCAACTTCCCAAAAAGAAAAGTTACTCGCTCCTTCATTTTCACTGAGGCAGCTGTCGCCCCGACAACAGTCTGAGACTAAGCCTAAATCAAACAGCTAATTTGGGTTTCTCACGGTGCATAAGCATGATCACTTCTGTTGTTTTGAAATACAAATAAACTGATGAAAAAGGAGGAGAAACCAAATGCAGAAATGCAAAGATGGAATTCTAGTATTCCCAGAGTCAAGTATTTAGGTGCAGTATTCAACATTCTCTTTTTGAAATGTTATCAAATGCAGCTCAGCCCTAAAGGGTGAAAATGTGAAATCAACTCCAAATTAACAGACATCCTGGCAATTTCTGAAAATATTTTAACCTATAACATGTATTTTTTTACGCAAAATTCAAAGACAAATTTATTTACAAGTCTGTCATCAGCTAATTTGCAGTTCAGGGCAACAAATTCAAACAAATAGCCACTGAAATGATGTTTTTTTCCTCACTTTTGAGGCCTGACTGAGGGCCTGTTGGCTCTGTCAAAGGATGTTGACTGTATGTGACAAATATGACTGAGTGGAGCCAGTGTGAGACTGACAGTAGCAATGCACCCACTGCTGACATGCTGCTTCTGTGATGCGTGTTCATGTCAGGCAGCATTTGAGTCATATGAGGAAACAGTGAAGATAAATTCCTCTCAAATTCACCCTTTGCTTATCAGATATTGAAGGCCCAAATTATACATGTCAATGGCAGATAAAGCATTTTAATACTCAGCTGTGTTTAATACTTTATTCTGATCTAGGTGAAACCAACTGTGATTAATTCCCCTCTGCCTGTTGACACTGTGGCAAAAATGTTTGTGTTTAAATCAATAAGCTGAACAACATGCTGGCTATTTTTAAGCAGAACAAAGTTGGTGATTGCTATGAAATATCCTAAACAGTGTAAAGTTCTGACATTTGTGTCATTTGTCAGGGAAGTTCAATATTCAATATATTATTATATACCGTATTTTTCGCACTAAAAGGCCCACTTAAAATTATTTTTCTCAAAAATCCTCAGTGCCTTATAATTAGTTGTGCCTTATGTATGAATTCTGGTTGTGTTTACTGACCTCGAACCGATTTTATGTGGTACACAGCACTCAAAAATCTGTCAAAATGTTTTGTTACGACTTTGATAAGCTACAAAGCCGCAGAGCCTGATGGCTTGTTGGAGCACTCTGTTTGGCTTAACGCGCTTTATAATCCTGTGCGCCTTATGTATGAAAATAGACACAGATAGACGCGTTCATTGATGGTGCACCTTATAATCAGGTGCGCCATATAGTGCGAAAATTACAGTATTTTATTATATATTCAAATTCAAAATTCCTGTTCACCTTGTCTGATGTTGCCTTAAATATAAATGTTCATTTGAATGAGAATCATAATAAATAAGAAAGCCTGTGCATTTCACTTGACCCTGAATTGAGACGATCAGTTTTATGTTAATTTGTTTGGTAAGGAGGCTGATAAGAATTTAACCTGCATAACCACCAGCTCATTATACATTAACCCTTATCTGATAAAATCATGCACCTTTAAAATTTTGTGCTCAGAATATTTTTTTCTTTAGACAGCATTGTATTATCAGCAAGTATAAGTAAGAGAGTGGGAATTTTGTTGACGTATGGGAGTGGATAGAGCCTCTAAAGGCTGATAATTCTAGCTGATGGGGTGATAAAATTATTTGCAAGCCAGCTTTAATACAAATAATCAACTACCAGATTGCTAATGCTGTGGTTGCATCAGTCAAAGACCACTTGGCTCTGCATTAAAGACTATCAACCCACCACAGACTCCGTTGATCAGCTGTTACACAGGCAGACAAGATAACTCCAGCCTGGCACAGTTGGCAGCGTGATGTGCCAGCAGGGCCAAGAGGCCTGTGAATGGGAGGATTGGATGACCGCACATAGTTAGCCTCGTTCCTTCTAAATCCTGCCAAGCTACTGTAGATAAAAAGATACAAAGACAGATATGAAGAGGAGGGGGGCTTTAGGGGGGCAATCAGGCTGCGTCAGATACACTGTTATGAAAGTGAACCTTGCTCCCTATTCTTCAGCAATCCCTCTAATTGGCCATCCAGAGACGGTTCCCTTTGTTCCATAAAAGAGTCAAATAATTAATGCCTCCTGCTGCTCTCCTGGATGCCTTTGATGGCAAACCAAATCAAGTCTGTCCTTTAGTTTGATTGTAGTTGTTTGGCGATGCTCTTACCGTTGTAAACAACATAACAAATCAAGCGATGTGATACACTACCAATGCAGTAAGGATAGCCCAAACTGTGATTAAATACATGAAGACAGGCATGATGAGGCTCTTGCTTTCTTCTTCTGCATAACCATCAAGAATGAAGGTATGGCGTCACGTTTTCATGTGCGGTGTCTCTGTACTTTTTACTTTTCAACCTTCATTACAGCTGGAAAAAACAGCAAAAAATAATTTATTCCTGCGACTCTGAAAATCATCAGCTGCTTCTTTGCCTTTCAATTTGTTAGACAAGTCATTTTTCTGCCTATCTGACACATTTCACACACATAATGCCTAGTCAAGAGAAATATTGTCACCCACAATTGTTGATTTATTCTCTCTGCACACAATGTGAGATAATAAGTGTGAATGCCAACTCCCTGCTGCAGCCATGTCTATATCATAGACTGCAGCTTGTTTCCTTGGCTTTGTGGTCTCATCACAGCCGATATAATGGCACATCAGCTGCACCCAGCTGGGACTTTATACTCACACATATGCCTCTTGTGCTTTAGTGGCCTTCTCCTTCACGCCAGCTTCATAACAACTAAATTATGCATGCGTCAGGAGAGTAAATCAGCTTGGACACGCTGACAAGAAAGGGCGCATCAGAGAAGCCGTAAAATGCTCGAGAAAAATAATACTGAAGAAATATAGATGAAGCTATGCATCAGTGGCGTTTTTCTCTCTTTTTTTATTTGGCACGCGTAAACCGGTATCACTGCCAAAGTGACATCCCAATATACAAACCTGCACAGGCACCCTCTGTAATTCAGTAACCACAAGTCAAGCACCTGTGCCTTTAAAAAAACTGATATGAGAGCCATCGTCTGTCACAATAAGCACACAATAAACCTCGGTGCTCTCTCATAGTGTCCTCTTTTAAGTGAACCTGGAATAAAGCCATTTTACCACCTACCCACTGCTGGCTTCAGCAGCCATGAAATTACTGCTGGGAGCTTTTTTTTTTCTTTTTCATTATAACAAAATGTCCTGGCCTTTGCTTCAAGCAGCCATTGTAGAGGTTGATTGCTTTGATGTTGCAGCATGTCACAGGGCAAATTTGTTTGCAGAAACAACAAATAAAATGTATATGTCATTTTCAAGAGTAACCACCAGGGTAAAATAATATTTGAACCTTCTTTATCATGAAAGAGGACTCTCTCTCTGTTTGCCATTTTCCTTCGGTGTCAGCTGATCAGCCAAAGCTGCCTGCAGAGTCTTATGCAGCACTTGATCAGTCCCTTCAGGAGCGCACACACACAAAACTCTGTGTGTGTAATTGCATGTGCCCCGCTACGTATATGTGCTGATATTTCACAGTATGCAATGTGAATGAGGACAGACAGGGAGAGACGGAGAGGCTCTGAAATGTCTGTGGGTGGATTTTCACAGTGGAAAAGCACCACTCTCCTCCCTCCTGTGTGTGTGCACTTCTAAAGATACAGACAGCATGCTGCTTCTGTTTGATTTGACATGCGCTGTCTTTATGATTAGGACAACGCTTGGCAGGGAAACTGTTTTGGTTAAAGGCCTGCAACGCCACATCAAAGCCTTAGCTACACACGTTTGGGCTACTTTGGCATTCACTTTCCTGCTGAATGCTACGTCTCAACCGGTGAGGTAGAAGTGTGGAGCCTTTTTTCCCTGTGGGTATACGGACAAGTGGAGGAACTCTGGCTGGTTTAGCAAACACTATAACATTTCTTTCCTCTTCTAAATAGCTCCTTGAGTGGACCTGTTTTATAGTGTTGATTTATTTTCTTCCTTGTTTAGTGGTCAGGAGTTAAACACTTTTCTCAAAGGCACCTCAATCACCACAGATGCTTAGAGATTCTCATCTTGACTTTCAGCAGACATCAGACTTGGTCTGCACTTTGCCTGTTTGGTACCTCTGAATAACAATTTGCAAAGGCAATTAGTCTGGAACCCTGTCAGTTCATTTTCCATTTCAGAGGGGCTTTATCAACAGGTGCAGACTAAAATGCTCCTAGACGCTACAAATTATCAGAATAACAAAACAATGCGGCAACTTCAGGTGCTCAAAATGAAGCCAATGCAGAAGTGAAAAAAGACCTGCTGCTTTGAGAGTGCCCACTCGAAGCTGGCTGCAAAAATATCCCCATTGGGTTCAACGTTAAATCTCTCATGTTTTCCGAAATAAACACGATAAAAGAAGGATACTTGAAAGTTTTAAGGTCTATATTCTTGATCTCACAGTGGTTTTGTCCATTACTTGTACGGACTACAAATGAAACGTGAATTTGCAGTATGGATGCTGGGCTAGGTAGCAAGGATCGTATTTTGGGCTTTTTCATGCCTCTATTGAGAGAAGGGACAGTGACAGGAAAGTGGAAAGAGAGGACAAGGAGTGACATGCTATAAAGGGCTGCAGCGGTTGACTTTTATCCTCAGGTCGACAACTGTGAGGACCATAACCTGCCCTGATGCAAACAGCAAACTCCAGTGGAATCAGCTGGAGTTTTAGATAGATGTATCTATCTAAATGAAATATTATGTTTTAAAATGATCCATATGAGTGACAGCTATGTTGACAGTTTCATTATTTACAAATGACCTTGACAGCACTTAAAACTTGAGATAAAACAACGAATCAGCCGAACGATTATTGGCCTTTTGACATTTTCTGCCTCACAAGGTGCATTTCACCATCATCTTGACTAAATTAAAAAAATACTTTTCCAATCCTAAATGGCAGCATAATAAATCTACCATATATTAAATCTGGTTGGTGTTTCATATAAATTCTGTTATTATCCATATGATATATAACCCAATGTCTTTTTTCATCAATTTATTTAAAAATCTGTCCAAACATTTTGTCAGCTAAGATAAGTGATTCAATGAGAATTTAATGTGTATGAAAAATAAATTTCTGGATTGTCTCTTTCTTATTTTTTAATGTTGGTATTTTGATATAGATATAATCCATCTTGTGTTTTTTTTCTTTCTTGATACTTCTCATTTTCTGGATAGAAATCCAGAAGTACCTTGTGTTGGATTTTTACTGTGCCAAATATAGTCTTCTCTAAATATTTTTAAAATATTTACTCCAATTTTTCTCATTTGTTATGCTGTTTAATTTTTTATTTTTTTTATTTTTTTGTCAAATGCAAAAAAAGAAGAAGAAAAAAAAAAGGCACTCATCTGATATTGGCCGAACTGCTCTCTCATTTTTGGTGCCAGTAACAGCCCTTGAAAAAGGTGTACCACTGCTTAATACTGCCCATCATTTTGTGCACAGTTGTGTTAAGTCTCACCTAAATCGGGTCACATGGAAATCTGTCTAACTGGACACATCTGTGACACCAAATAAAACATTAGCAGTTTTATCTGGTGTCCCTGTTTACAGTTTGCTGGAGAAAGTCATGAGCACAGGTCATATAATTGCAGCAAACCACAGCCAGTTTTATATGAATTGTGGGTCTATGCCAGATGACTAATGAGTGGAAAAGCCTTCTTCCTCTCCCAGCCCAAGACTTTGATCTCCCGTGCACAAACACTGAGCGATCCTCAGAGCCCTGTGAGCATACTTAGCCCACAGGCAAACACTCACCAGGCCTTAAACACTGTAACTATTTACTCTGGCTTCCTCAAAAGACAATAGAGACGAAGCATCTCTGGGAATATTAGTAAATTAGAACATACATAGAGATGCAGCTAATGAAGAGTGAGATCTCAGCAGCTTAAAAATGCTAAGTGTTGCTAAGGAAGCCCTCAGCTGTTAACTACTGCCCTCTTTGTAGTAGATGTTTTGTTATCCCCTAAGTTCCCAGGCCTTTTATTTTGGAGGGGTTTACAGAATTGATGTATTTTCCACATGGTGAAATCCAAGTTCTGTTAGAGTTTACTCAGCGGAGTTACATCTCTGACTGATCTATTTTGTCTTGATATCCTTTTCAGTGTAAAGCTTTGAGAATTTGCAGTCTGTCGATGTCCTCAGATCTTGATGTTTTTCTTAACCTTTGAAACTCATAGACAGTGACTACTTCAGAGCCCTTGTGGTGTTACTTGTATGTTTATTCTAACATCAAAGTAAATAATATTACCAGTTTTAGAGTTATAGTCCACCAGTTATGTAGTATTTAAGATGTAGAGAAAAGAAATATGAATCCTTTTACACCAATTTGTCCAATGCCAAAATGTGGTAAGGTGGCTCTTTAGTGTTCATCTCAACTACATGTAATAATGTCATTAACGTTGAAACAAGTGTTAAAAATACATTTATGACTTATAAAGCCCCATATTTTTAAATGTATATACAGTATTTAGTTTGAATTAGGGCTTTGTATTTCCTACACTTCCAAGATACAATGCATATTATTATACAGCGACCATGATACAATATTCGTCATTGCATAGTGTGGCTTTGTTTTGATTCTAAGTGTGTGCATCACATGGTTTGACTTATACATAAACCTGTTGGCTGTACTTCGTGGCACCATGGACTATGTGTCTTTCACCATTTGCTGATGTACAGTTTCTGTAACAAGTGCATCCATGCCTTCATTGTCAGGGAATTCAAGTCAACATGTCGCCATCTCCATTTTTTAAGCACGGCTTTCTCATAAATGAAAAAACATTTCTGGACTAGCGCCAACAAAAGATATTGTATTCTGAGGGCCCTAACTGTCTCTGCCACACAATCAGATTCTGCTGTCGGGTGGATGTAACCACATCAGTAAAACTCTCAGTTCTCATAGTGTTTTATTTGAGCACACAACATTAATTAAAATGGGATTAATTAAAATAATTTACCTGGCCATTGACTGTGGACTGTTTGGTATTAAATCCCTCACAGCGGCTCCAAAGGTTGGAATACAACCTCAATCAACCTCAATTTAATTACTTATCTGAAATCTGTGTCCAATTTCTTCCCTTACACTGTTACAGTCAAGGTCAAAGGAGTTAAGAGGAATTCCCAAATAAAGAGACAAACATGCGATTCTTTTATGGCATACCACTGCTGATGGTGGCTTTGGTTTTTGGTCCACCCCGCCCTTCAACTACATAGTTTCTTACTGGCTTTGGTATCTGCAAAGTTCACTATTCACCTTTCTCTGTTGGTGTTCAGTCCTAAACTTTGTATCCAACCAACCCCACAATTATAAGTGGCGCCATTATCTTTTTTGGTTTCAATCCACTTGTTTCTGATGCCCTCTGAGACTCTGGGCAGTGCTCAGCGGGGCGTTTCGGGCAGCCACAGACCCTCATTTATCAGAGGATTGGCGCTTTAGAGTGAGGGGCAGGCCCATTTACTTTTGGCTCAACAACCATCTCCACTTTTTCATGGGTGTACTCTTGAATTTGATCCCTTAGAAATAGGTTTATATTGTGTGTTTTTGAGGGATTCTTTGCCGAGGCTGGTAGAGTCAGCTGGTGGTGCACTGCAGTGTACTTGATATTGACTTATTTATGTATCATTTCATTAGATTAGCTGATTAAAAATTGGATTCATGCAGATAAGACCTTGGATTGATGTGGATTAGTGTACTATGAGTCAGTGTATTGATAAGCACAGTCATGTTCTGAAGCTGACAGACAGTTGTGGCCAACACTGATGTGAAAGGAAAGGATATTTGCAATCTGGTTTTTCTGATTTGCCTCGTTAGGCCAGATCAACAGTGAGTTATGAGAGACAGAGAGAAAGAAGGAGAAAGAGGGTAAGACACTGCATGGTACCCTAATGAGAGACAGGGAACCAAAGGAGCTGGGCAATGAGATTAGATGCAACTCAATTCAATTACTGCTGAGCCGCCACGGGTGACGCTTCAAAACTCATCCTGTTAAGATCCGGTTCACAGACGAAGGAGAGGGGGACTACAGCCCTTGCTCAGCTGCAGTATGCTGGGCTGCCACAACATCTAATTCGCAACAGCTCTGATTTATAAGCACACAGGGCGTCATTAGGCTCCGTCGGGATTTGATAGCACACTCTGCAATGTTCTGATACAGATTTAAGGGAAAATGCAAAAATAATTGAGTTTTCAGCCATCACAGCTGTTCATACACTGTTGGGTGGACTGCACAGTTTGTGTTGGAGATTAAAGAGAAACTTAACAGCCTGTTTAAACTTGAGCACGCTGCTCAGAAAATGTATTAAGATTCTGTCACACACCCTGGGGACCCTGCCCTCGCTGCTACCCCACAAACATGGAACTCCCTCTGACCGCTCAACTCTCTATGACAGTTTCTCTAGGATAAAATTCACCACACTTCCTTTCTGCAAAGTTTAACCCTTCAGTCTCCAATCGTGGCCTTTAAGACTGAGCCTGTAATCACACACGAGTGGATCCAATACAGAGAAAGTTGTGGTCTGCAGGCTCCAAAACATGCAACTAATACTTTGAACTAGTCTGACAGATGCTTAATGCCAAGCTATTTTAAGTACTTTATTGTGATTGGTCAAAACCCCATTACAGTAATTAACTCTCAATAACATTTGATAACAATGTGACCAGATCCTTCTGCTCTCCAACTGTGTCCTGCAAACACCCTGTCAGAATTTCAATGCTGTTCTTCTACCATACAATGGAACTTTTAAGTTGCAGACAAATTTGGCATTTTCAGCAAGGGTTTTAAGAGCTGCTTCTATTTTTTAATTTTTTTTTATTCTTCACTCCATCATGGTATGGATTTCCACAGTCCACATTATTTTGACTGCATTGCCCCAATTTATCTTTCTAATATTTACATCATTAATGAAATGTAATTTTTATTTTTATTTATTTATTTTACTTTATACTATTATACCAGTGTAAATGTTGGTTTTCTGCTCTAAAATGGTAAATATCTAAAGTCTTTTTAAAGTTTTGGTCTGTGACTAAAAACTTTGTGATTTGTTGTCCTTTTTTTTTTAAGTTGTTGGAGGGAGTCAAACTTCATTTTTTTTGTTTCCTGGTGTACAGAGGGCACAATCCACTTAACCCTCCTCCTGGGTTAAGGTCTGCACTGACCCGTTTTTCATTTTAAATGCTTAAGAGAATATTTTTTGGTGGAGGGTTAAATATTTTTTTTTTGCATCAAGACTTTTTGATTTTGTCAGGAACCTCTATATCAACAAAATAAAAATGAAAAAATTAAATTGACTAAATTATAAAATGCTTTTATTAAAATTATAGCACTTGGCATGTTAGGGTCACTGTTGACCTGGTTAGATCAATATCTAATTATTAGAACAAAAACTAAAATCATATGTACGCTGCCAGGCACCACACTGACAGTCAGATCCTCTTCCAATCATGTGAGATTTAGGAAATTCTCATTTTGCCATGGTTTTCCCTGAACAAAAAAAAAAACAGCCTCTGGCATCTCCAAACATGTGAGATCAGTTCAGTGTGGATGTCTGTCTGAGGGGTACACTGACAAAGAAAGGCCCAGAGGCCCACAACAACAACCAAAAATATTATCAGCAATATTTTCATGGACAATGAAGCCTAACAAGGTAACCTAGAGATGAGAACCAAATTGGATGATAGAGAATTGTTTTTAGTTTAACGTGCAGCTGATTTAAGACACGTATCAAAACCGACCCTTAACATGGTGGGTGCGTAGTAAAAGCTAACACAGGAGGAAGGTTAACCACTTGCTTACCATGTACCATCCCTCACATCTTAACTCACACACAGATTTTAGTAATGCTGCATTATTGAGTCATGTCTTGCATAAATCATGTATTACCTTTGTTAAACTTTTGTCTATAGAAACACTGATATATTGTGTTTTTAAACAGAGACACTACTTTTTACTGCAGTACAACACCACCAGTCTATAAACTGCAGTGTGTGAGTGTGGTAGTGACCATGATGTGGCCTTGTATTTGTGTGGAGAGAAGTACCACTCACAGAATATTGGTTTTGGTCTTCAGGGCAGCATTGCTTCACTTTCTCTGGAACAGTAAGAACACTTTAGCAATAAACAAAATGGACTGGGAAGAGAACAAATAAAACAAAGTTATGCACTTAGGAGAAACTAATTCAAAAGAGAGCATTTAGAGAGAAGACACTTCATAACCATTAACCAAACATCTGCTGTCCTCTTGTGCCAGAACCACCTGGTAACTTAGTGGAAACTATACAAGTGTTGAATTTGTCACAAGTGCTGTCAAATGAACAAAAAATTATATCAGGAACAGTAATACATTCAAATTTAATGCAGGGTAACCACACTCAAGCATGTAATACATTACTGATTACACAGCTGCTCATAGCTGCTTTGTAAATATGCTGAAAACATTTATTTCTGGTATTTTTGTCCATCTGATAGGACCACAACCATTTTGAAATCTACTCTTGACCTCTACTCCTCTCAAGCATGTTACAGGGAGGGTCTACACACATGTTCAACCATAAAACACACCTGAACAGACACATTCAAGTATAAGCTTTTCCTGCACTGATAATTTGCAACCTTGTAAATACTTGTAAGGCTGCCTTTATTTCAAGCAAAGTTCAAATGTCATTCTGAATTCTTCTCAGTCATGATTCATGAGGAGAAAAACTCAATTATTGCGACTGCTAAAGCGTTTTGGTGTAGGTGTTACATCACATATGCAACAATAAATGCTCTTATTTGGTGTGTTGACTAATATACTTCAGGCCACCCCAGCAGTGTCAGTGCCGAGGTTGGGGCACCCCAGTCAAAAAGGTCTAAACGCGCCCCTGCTTGTTAGTGTGTACCCTGCTTTGAGTATATTATTTTAAACAACAGATAGATCGATGTTGAACAGAGGGCTCTGTAGATGGAAAAGAGGGGAGTACAATGACAGACATGAACTCTTCTCTCAGGTGAAAGCTAAACAACCTGTCAAAGACGTCTGTCCACGTAGAGCGCTCGCCAAAATCAATACAGATCACCCATCTGCAACCCTCTCCCTCCCTACTATGAATATAAACAAATACGTGATCAATCTGTCCCTGATATCCAAAAGAGTGGATTTTTTCCAACACAACCAAAACGATAGTGTCGTAAAAATGTATTTTTCTTTACCATCAATAGCAAAATGTGAACAAGAAGTTGTCTCACCGTAAATGTATCACAGGAAAACCTCAAGCAAGATCTTTGAAAGTAGCTTTTACTGATATAGAATAACAAAGAGAAACAGTTTTAACTTGGGCTGTTAACAGGTCTGAACAAATTTTACTCCTGGTGCTGCTGCAGGGTGTGTTTCTATGTGTCAAAGAGGAAAAACAGAGGGCATCCTTCCTGTACTTTTAGTTTGAATTTAGTGACTTCATTTCCAATAACCATGCTGTGCATCTGAAGAAGTCATGTATACCAAATGTATACAAATATCCCTCTACAGCATTGTTTGTTTGTCTCTGTTTACTGTACATCATGTCAGCAGGGAGCATTACAGCATGTTAAACCTCTTCTTGCCTGGATAGCATGATTAACTGAGAAGTATGATCTGCAGAAGCTGCTGCATCTCCACAGCGGGGATTTATAGACAAATCTTGATAAGGAAATCTTGTTGTTGTCTTCTATAATTTATGTGGTGTGTGAGTGTGTTACGTTTTTAGATACAGCACAACTACAGGGCTCCTGAAGGCACAGAGGTGAACTGGATTTATAGCTTTCCTCCTTGTTGGAAATAAATATCATGAACAAAAGCCTTTATGAGTGACTGTGTTGCTGATTAGACGGTTGAATCCAGAGATTGGCTGAAGGACTTTGGTCCAACACAGGTTAACGGCAGAGGTACATCGATGCAGAGAAGCATGGAGTAACAAAGGCATGTATTATTTTAACCCGCAGGCAGATTTGAAAAGAAACTATCAGTCTTGTCGCTGCTGTCGGATTAAGTCGTGCTCAAAAGATTTCATTCATTGGATTCTGAAGTCTAAATCACTAAACACAAACTTTTTTTGCTGACCGCAGGAAAACCAGGAGCAGGAGTAATCCCACTCTGGACAAACTATTTACCACCACCACCAGATTCAATCTCTTAATTTCCATACAAATGTAAAACTAGGCAAGCATGGAATCTTCAGTGAATCTTAAATGAATCCAATTGTTCCAACGCGGTTCAGGGTCTGCAGGCGGCACGAGGAGAAAAAGTGCCACACGATTCAGCAATTTCAAAATAAAAGCCCAGAGTGATTCTAATCTGATTGGCGGGGCATTGTTTCCTTTCTCTTGCATATGAGTTGGCACAATCATGGTGTTCCTGCACATCAGACTTCAGGAATAGAAATTGAAAATGCAAAGATTTTTGCACATACTTGGTTCAAATCCCTCAAACAATCTCCTGTGGGCATTCGTATTTTTTTAACCCTCTGATGCATGTTATTGTGTCTTTGAAGCCGCACAGGAATGAGTGATTGCTCCGTTACTCGCAGCCCCAAAACAAATATCTACTCCTATGCATGGTATGTTTTAGACCTAATGTGATTACTGTGGGTTAAATGGTTCAATGGCATTTTTTTTAACCACTTCCAACTGAATTCCCAACAGTTTCCAAACCAACAGAGACCACTTTGACCCAGTTAATCTGCATGACATCTCTTAATGTGAGAAGCTTTTATTGCTGGGAAGACTGCCATGCTATCCAGCTGGCTTGCGGTTGGTGAGGTTCTGAGCATATGCCTGAGTAAAATGAATAATGCAGCTATGTTATTCCAACCTTCAGTCTGTATTTTTTGCTGTAGGTAGGGGAGATGTACGAAGGTACGGTACATGAGAGAGTTCTTCTTCTTCTGCTGCTGCTGCTGCGCTCATGTAAAAATGACACATCAAAAAAGCGTCAGATGTTTGTGGGAAGAGAAATTTTTCTAGCATTTATCCAGGTAAAAATTCGGGGTATATTTAATTTTTTTGCTTTCAGACTTCACTACCTTTGTATTTTTATTGCCTGTGGTATTAAACTTCCTGTGTACAAGAGTTGCTACTTTTAAGCAGTTCTGCAACCCTGCAGCCACAAGTGAACTACACATGTACCTCTACATGCCCCGAACACAACATCTAAACTCAGTAGCTACAGGTTACATTCATATTCTTTAGGCCCATGTCCTCTGAGATGTGACCTGATAACCCAGTTGCCAGATAACCTTGAGGTCTGATATCTCCCAGCGTTCTGCCACAGCTCCTCTGGACACATGACACATTGCGCGTTGGTGTTTGGTGTCTGTCTGTACAGCTTGTCAAGTGCAGACACACAGCAGCATCAGCTTAACAGCATTAACAAATCGAGGAAAAAAGGCTGTTTGACCATTCAGATGGAATGAAAAAGAAGGGATCTGCAGCAGCAGAAAAACAAAGAGAGAATCACAGAGTGGTTTTCTCATTGGAGCTGTTGTCATCATTGTTGTCTTTGCTTTCAGTGTTGCACTTTGTTGGCTGTCTGCAGCCGGTTCACAGTGATAAGCTTGGAAGGATAAATGGCTCAGTAAAAAAATATATAAAACAAATGTTTACTTTGCAGTTTAGATTGTGTCAGACAATTTGTATGAGCCCAATCACTAACAGTAATAAAAAATGTCATACCGAGTCTGTGAATGTGGGTGAGAATTCGCTGTGGCAGCAGGTTTTTCTTCCCTGTTTTTGTATCAGATAAGCAGATGATGAAGGATGACAAACGAACGAGGATATAGGAAAGAGCTGACCCTATAAACAGTTTGCCAAAGCTTAACGAAAGGCCAGCAGTGCTCTTGATTTTCATTAATAACCTTCATGTTCAGGTTTGCCTCTGTACCCTGCAGAGGAGTTAGGCCATCTTTATTTCAGCTGATGTTATGTTCAATCAAAGCCCACAGAAAAAGAACTATATCATTCATTCTATGGTATGTGATTTGACTGTGGTGTTTCTGAGCGCTCTCTTAAATAAAAATGTTTCACGTGTGAATTAATCATTAAAAGGGCTCGTTCTCCTTTTCTTCTGCTAGCGTAATGATCTCTTTTTACCACTGGCCTGGATGAATCTTTCATTGTCTTTATCTTTAAATGAGTTGGCACGATCCTCCAAGGAGACACTGGCCGCGCTGTGTTTCACCGACTGTCAGTGTTAACATGTGGCTGAGCTAAATGCCGTAATTTAATTGATGCCAAGCGCAATAACATCACCCGCTGATCTTTTAATAATATGGAGATACGATTCCTGTCCTTTCATTTCATTATGATTTTGCCTTCTCAATATGCAAATGAAAATTTGCACACTCCTGCTTGCTGGCACACAAAGTCTGGACTCTAGACAATATTTTAGTGGGCCCTGGACTCTTTGGGAGCTATTTTAGATTGTAATGAGATGGCCTTTAACCTTCAGATTCAAGCAAAAACCTCTCCAGAATAAATTAGCGGCCACTCACTTCTTGCATAACTGTTTCTCTTTGTGTCTAATCCTCTGGGTCTCTCTCTGTCTCTCTCTTTGCATCTCCCCTTCTCTCTAGGTTTCTCTATACTGCAGGCCATCATGGAGGCAGCAGTAGCCAACAACTGGCAGGTGACCGCTCGCTCTGTTAGCGGCACAACAGACGCAGCAGAGTTCAAGCGCATCATTGAGGAAATGGACAGGAGGCAGGAGAAACGCTACGTGATTGACTGTGAGGTGGACAGGATCAACACCATATTAGAGCAGGTGGGTGTCAGACTCACTGTACCTGTAATAATGCTGGTGGGTTATATAAGCAAACACTGCATCCATCCGGCACTTGTGTTGCTTTTTCAGTCATCACATAATTGCCATGCACATCATATTTGCAAAACAACAAGCATTAAAGGGCCACTCAACCAATTTTTCATGGCAAAGTTAATTTGGTAGTCATGTTGAATGCTAATCTGTCAGTGAAAACAGCTGCATCATTTCTTCAGAGGCAATTATTCAAATTATATGACTTGAGTTTTCTTGGATTGAGCAGGAAATACATTTTCTCAAACAGCGGACACACTGGGTATCATAACTGCTTATGCTTTTTCAACAGACAAAGAGAACCTAACAAAAACAAACTTGCGGTTTTCATTTGTAGTCAGGATAAAAGGCATTTTTTTTAAGAGGTTTAGTTTTTACAAAAGATTAAATGAGGTGTTGCCTGTAGGGAAAAACCCACAGTGAATTAACATTCCACTCTGTATTTACTCTCACCCGTGTGGAGTGTTAAAGCTCTTGTGTCAAAAGTTTTGGTTTCAAGGCCCAAAAAGTAACAGTATTTCTCAAAAACTGATGATACCTGGGTGAGCCACCTGAGTGTATATATATATACAGTATATATATATATATATATATATATATATATATATATATATATATATATATATATATATATATATATATATATATATATATATATATATATATATATATAAATATACAGCTGCTATCTTTTTGAAATGTGCGACTGATAAGTTTGGGAACAGATCAGACTCAGGTAGATCGGTGAAGATAAACAGATAGAGGCTAGGCAGGACATGTCACTTGGTGAGACAAGCTGTTGGTGCATTGTGGGTAACAGTAGTGAAAATACGCTGAGCAAATTGAAGTTGTTAACACACACTATAATTAACTATGATCAAAATGATAATTATGAATTTTATTTATATTGCACCTTTCAAGAACAGTTGTGTCTGGCCACAGCAAGAAGTTGTTATTATTACTTATGAAAATTTAAAGCTGCACTTGTTTGTTGTGTACTTTTTGTTTTGAGTCTGCCCTGCTGAGAGCTAGTGTGAGTTTGCCCCTTGACAGTGTTAGTGACAAAAGTGTAGTTTTGCAAACAAATGGAGATGACTGAGACCCAGAATAAAGCAAAAAGAAATGTAGTTGTAGGATTGAAACCTTACTCTGAATCAATATTTATGCCACAAATACTTAATGTGTAAAATAGGTTTGCCAGCTGTTTTGCATGAGTGCGGACTTTGTGAATTTCAAACTGAATTGATTTCTCCCTGACTGAATGCCTTTGAGTTTGTACATTGACCCTACTTCTCAACAAACACTAGACAATGCTTAACTGGTTCTAGATCAGAAATGACACAGAGTAACCAACTCTGCACTAATCACATCCATGTAGCAATACCTGTCAGAGTCCTCTCATATGCATCAGGTTAACCTAGAGCATCAAAATCATCAAATTCCACTGTGAAATATGTTTTGCGTATGTGTGGTTTTGTTTGATCAGCTAGTGGTGCAAAAGTGTTGGTATTTAATTTGGTTAAACAGGAAAAGAAGAGAAAGTGTGAAGATGAGCACGACCTAATGCACAATGCTGCTAAAGAGGTTCAACAGAAGGCCATGCCAGCAAAAGGTGCAAATATTGGTGCAAACACTCAAAAACAATATTTCAATGTAATTCATTTAAATTCAATTCAAAATGTGTTACAGATCAAAATCCAGGTAAAAAAGCAACATGACAGAGAAATACAGAAGGCTACAAAGGCATCTAAGTCTCTTTGCTTATACTGTATTATATTCAGTATATTCATCATTATATGCCACCTGAAATCTCTAAGCTTGCTGTCTTATAGTTTGACCATGAGTGTGCAGTTTTCAGAGGTGTACAATAAGCAGTAAGAAATATCCATAGAAAAGGTGAACTTGATGAGTCAGCATGTTCTTTGGATTCACTGGAGGCTCCAAGTCAGGAGTGGAATCATTGATCTCTATCATAATAATTTAATCTTTAAGTAACAATACAGTTTCAATAAAGTCTGTCTAATCTGAACTTTGCTAAACAAAATGACAGGAGAAACTTTTTTGCCATGGATTTATTTGTTTTCTGTGATAAACATGTCCAAAATGATCCTTATGTGGAGGTCTGCATGATAACTATACATTTCTGACTTATAACTATATATTTAAACACTATACCCACACCTTGGTAGCACTGTGCACCTTACAGAATATTTCCTCTCTCAGCTGGTACTGAAGAAGTTGGCAACACAAGTGTAAATCCACTGGACATTGGTGGCATATCAACTTTTTTAAGTACTATAGGGAATCTGTGGGTGTAGGAGACACAGACTGAAACTGATAATGATGCTTCTTTATGTCCTTCATAAGCAAACAAGACTATCAACAACAATTTTGATATTTCAATGTAGAAATGTTTGATTCTTCAAAATACTGTGAGGCGTGAGGTGAATGATAGACTAGATGATTGACATCAGGCTTTTCGACTTCTAACATAGCAAATACTCACGGTGAGTGGTTAAAATCTATTGTTTCAAGAAAATAGGGGGAGGTTTTGTCTGAAATCACTGCTTTCACATGTGCAGGATAAAAGATAACAGGTGTCTACAGGGGGCACCAATGTCAACGAAAAGCAAAAATTACTCACTGCAGCTTTAAAGTGACATAAGAAAACATGAGAATGAATTATTTTCTTCTTAAGGCAGTGCTCTGTTTTAATGGAGTTACAATTTGAGCTGCAGCAGTGGACCTTTAAATTAAGGAATAATCTGGGAAATTATTGCACAGAGTCCTCAGGTAAATAAAGAATGCTGCTGGGAAATGTAGTGTCTCATATACCAAGATTATGTAGATTTGCTTTATTACTTCCTCCACATTTGACTATTTAAAATAAGCCCACATTTCAAAACAAACTGATTTGTTTTTTGTATACAAGCTGAGTCCATGTGCCCTCATTAAGGTTTTACTATGTGTCGGATGGATGTCAGGAGAACCTGATTCTCACCTCTCTGAGCAGCTCAGTTTGGTGTTATTTGGCTGCAAAGTTCGAGGCTGACCTGTTTTAAAACTGAGTGTGTGTGTGTGTGCGTGTGTGTGTGTGTCTACCGGAAAGCCTGAGGTGAAGACAGGCTGGCGTGAGCAGCCAATTGGGGAGACCAGGATGATGCATCCTTTTTAATCCTCTGCTAACAACCCCAAACCCCTCTGTCCCTCTATCCAGTGCACTGCCTGGAGGAGGAAATGAAAGGTCTACCAGTCCTTGTAGTAGGGAAACACAATTACCATGAATAGATGAGTGGCTATTATACCGTGCATCTCTTGTGTTCGCCTGCCCTGCTCCACCCTGCATCCACCGTCTTCCTGCTGTGGACTGCTGAGGCAATCAGCTCCTGAATTGGATTCTGCTCGTTAACATTCATTTAGATATCGGCTTCTCTCTGCCTCACAATATCCCCTCAACGACTGTTAGTCTTGCTTGTTTTTTTATGAATCTAATTTGATCCCAGAGTCATAGTTTAAAGCAGAATGGCTTTTAGTATTAATTTGCTGTGTCTAATTTAATTCTTGTGTTGCAAATTTCCTCCCTTTACAATCCAGGGCATACACTAAAATCTATTGCCTTTTTTGTTTTGTTTAGAATATACATTAGCTTATAAGAATGGCTTATAATTTTCATTACCCATCAAATGAGGATTATTAATGGTTGTGTCTTTAATTGCTTTTTTCCGCCTCCTGCAAACAAAAATAAGGATATGGGGCAATAATCTGTTTGATGTTTTGGTTAGTGTTTTTGTTCCTGTTAATGAATGGGGTTTTTTTTGTCTTCTAGAGGGAGCTCTTTCCCCTCTGCATGTGCAACTATCTAACATTACACATCTCACCTTCTCTACCTTTGATAAAGCACAGAGGGGTAAAATAAAGCTGGTATAACAGCTAACTTTCAGAGCAGCAGTGTGCTCAGTTTTATCCCTTGTTTCAGTGACAGCCTCAGCATGGATTGTCCTTTTTCTCCTGTTGGAGCTAATTGAAATAATCTGGCGAGCTCTGCCAATATGGATGAGTCACAGGCATTGAGACGAGCTGCTGGACTTCGCTCTGCAGCTGCCCCCTATTGGGCCTAAGCATTATACCCTGAAACAAGGATGGACCGCCTCCCATGAGGGCAATCACATCCCAAAAATGGCACCCAGCTGTCAGCTATGTGGAAACCCACTGCCCAACCTGCTGCCGTGGTTCTATTTACCCATGATTGAGTTTTATCTCTGGAGGACGGGGAGGGAGAGTTTGAACAGAGCCCGTGTGCCGAGGCCAGTGCCCGTGTGTGTGGCAATGTCGACGTGTCGCTTCAATCCGTCAAGGTCAGCGCTGTTGAGAGAGGATCATGAGACAGGACAGATCCAGGCAGCTGATTGCTGGGGGAAATGGGAATCAGCTCAGTGGCTTAGTTTTATGATTTCAGTTGGAGTAATCCCACTGCAAAATGAATGTCTTTATAACAGGCGGGGAGGTTTACGCAGAAAGAGTCATCTTGAAAAGGCAAGTGTAAAGCTCCAAAAGTATAGTACAACTATTTCACACAAAGAATTCTCTATATTGAATCATTTGCTAATGGCACTTTTCTATCTATCTTCTATTTCACTTTATCGGTAATATTATAGATTTAAGTGAAAAGGGTCTGGTATTTATTTACTCAAGTACAATTAAAAAAATAATAATAATAATTTCAAGATACTTTATATGGTATGACTGTCAAACCTATAACCAGTGTGCCAAGGACTGTGGCCTCTGTCCAAAGAGCTCATACTCCAATAACTGAGCTGAATCAGCACCTCAGAACTTCTAACACAGCAGTATTATTTTTTAATGTTGTTGTGCTGGTTTTTAATGTTTTTTTAATATCAAAAATATTTAGAAATAACACTAATAGCAGGCTGGGCCTCGCTGAATGGCCTTAAAGTAAATACATAATAATAATTCACAATGAAGCCCATTCTCAGAGGGGTCATTTTGCATTGGAAGTGTAGGTCATTTTGTTGCTTGAAATATACTTATGGCAGATGTATTAGGAGATTACAAATCTAATAAAGAAATTTTATAATGTTCCCCTTCGTGTACAAGTGAAGGTGCATAATTGAGGTTTTCTAGTACATTTATCGATGTACATGGTACATGGTCGAATGACTATCAACAAATTTAAACAGCACTTTGTGATGTCTCTTTGGTATGAAGAGCAATACATGAACAATTCAGAATGGTTTTAAATTTATTAAAGCAGCAAATCCACACTTCAAAGCCAGACACAGGCTTCTTATTTAGAATATTGGCTCCTGCATTATAGCAAAAAAACCCTGTCTGAACATGTCTGAACAGTGTAGGTTGTTTTGTATAAAAGGTTTCTTGATTTTTGTGATAATTTGGAAGGCTTTGCAGAGAGAAATTAGTTTAAAAAGATGATATCACATAGCTTGGAGGATCAATCAGCATTTGGCAACACTAGAGATATTTGTGTTTTTTGCCTGTTGGTCAAATGCTGTTTAAGGCACTGAGTAGTTTTTTACTGGTTTGAAACAGACTGAAATTGAAAGTGAGGACTCTTTCAGAGCAGATGACTGACAGCAGACTGATGTAGATATTTCACTGTTCAAAGACAACAGGATGAGGTTATTTTTGTCTTGAAAGACAAAAGACAAGAGGTTTTACTTTGTCCACAGGGGGCGCCATAATCGACACAAACCAAAAGTTCCTCACAGCAGCTTTAAACCACATCCAGTGTTAAATTATATCTAATAAAGCTGATAAGATTAAAATTTGATTGACAGACTCTTATGAACTGTTTTTTGTTATGTTTATGTTATTATTGTTATCAAATTTCCTCTCTGGTATAAATAAAATTTCTCTTATCTTATATTACCTAACCTATCTTATCAGTGAAAATACATACTTAATTTTAAATCAGATTTTTGGAGGCTGTGAGTGCCTTTAGTGCTGCGTTGATTCTGGTGACCCCTAAGGACGACATCCGTGGTATTTTCTGGGATAAAAACTGCATTTTGTATGAGTCCCATCACCTGCTGTTGGAAAGATAAGACCCTTGCTAAAGCATGTATTTTTGTGGAAGTAAATGAATGAAATTTAGACATTATTTTAAATACTTTTTTTCTTTAAAAAATGAATAAGTCCATTATTTAGAGTTATGGTGTAGTGCATTAATGTCTGTCAAATAATAAACTTGACAAAACATTGAAAACTCTGATTTAGTACCTTAAGCTATAAAAGTCTGAAAAAGTAACCATGCATATGAGTTGAACATTTCCTTTTATAACCCCAGTGTATTTACATGTTCACTGGTGTCCTGATAACAGTCTAAATGACATTCATGTGTACCCAGTTTAACTCTATTGTCCTCAAGGATCTGTTAAGCACTCAAATGCTATCGTTAAGTTCATAGCTATTGTGATCTTGTCCTCCGCAAAGCCCTGGTTGTAGAGTTGCTCTGTCTTTAACAATATTTCAACAGATCATGTATGTGTTAGTGCAAATCCTGCTTGAGTTTCATGGATGTGTACAAAACATGACCTAGACAGAGAATTATCTCAAGAGAAAGACTTCCCCCTGCATGGCTATTTATTTCTCATCGCCTAACTTTACCACCTGAGTTTTTTATATGGCCACATCATGGTTTTTGTAGAAATCTGAACCAAACTAGAATTTAATTAAATAAAAAGCCAATCTTGAGAATGAAATTCTCATTTAGTTATATAGGCCATGAAGAGCCATCAGTATGGAGGTGATCACAGAATCAGCTAAAAACTGCTCACTGTCTTTGATTCACCGTTCATAATTGTTTTAGCTGTAACTCGTGAGCTGTGGTGTGAGATAGCACTCCCTTTACTCGAACCACATCTCATCACACAAACATGAAAACATTGGTTGAACCTTGTCTGCAGCCATAAGCGCACTCAACTGAATTTCCTTTTTATTGGCTTCATTTATCACTTGACATGATGCAGGAACACGCTTATAGAAGGATTTGCATACTGCTGCATCAGGAGCTGTTTTGTTTGCTCGCATAAGAGCAGAGCGAGTCTCCCCACAAATTTGTTTTGGGTTGCCGAGGAGAATGCTCCACAACGCTATTATCATTTCATGCTGTAACAACCACTCAGAATTTATCGCCCATAGGACTTTTCCATCAATACACTGCACTGCAGATAAATTAACCCAATAGCAGTCCTTCCCTTACGACAAAAAGGAGAGGCCACTGCCAGCCGTGCTCCCTGAATCACATCCAACAAATGTGGTTCATTCACCCAGTGAGGTTTATTATATTACACGCTGAGACGAATGTTTGTGGCATTAGAGAAGGGCAGCATAAAGTAGGAACATTATTAAGTTAAAGATAATCATCTTTGTATTGCTAGCACTTGTCATAATGATGATTTTTCAGTGTAAGTATGCAGGTCCTTGTGAGCGCCTGCATGTGTTCACTGTGCTGAGCTTCGTATCCTCATGTCTAATCTGATCTATCTCTGAGATTTCACATATAGAATCATATCTGCTTTTATGCTCCTTCCTGGCCCTTATTCCCCTCCGGGATTTCAGTGCTGGAGTTTGCTCGAAGGCAACAACCTGTGCTCATCACTAGTGTAAAGAGAAGCAGGGTATGAAAAAAAAAGGAAAGAAAGAGAGAAAGAAAGACAGACAGAGAGAATGGCGTCTGGGACAGGCCCAGGGCATGCAAGCTGTTCAAAGACAGGCAGGCAATGAACGCACTACCAGCCACAAAGATGCATTTTCATGGAGAGAATAAAACACGATACGAAGTGAAAGGATTCAGAGATAGAGACAAGGGAAAAAAGAGAGGTACATCTGGGGATTTGTTAACAACATTCTTCCGCCTGTGGAGGCATGAAGGGCGGCCATATTGGCTCCCAGCGGAGAGCTACAGATCCTCCATATCCCTGTTTCTGCTCTTGAAAGAGGTTCACAGACAAAATCCACAATTGGATGTGTGACTGTAAATGAAATTAAAGAGAGTAGGAGAAATCTAGCCGTGGCTGATAGAGTGCCTTCAATTAATAGATAATTATCAACAAAAAGAGGGTCCAAAGCCATGATTATGTGGAGGACTGAGTTTGCAGAGAAGGAAATAACATTTCAATGAAACATATTTGCAGATACTGATTTAGCCAGAGTTACAAAAACTGGAATTAATTATGAATAAATGTACTCAAAACATTGTGCATTACACCTTTAATACTTTGATTCTACATAGTCTGTGTGACATTAAAAATCTCACATGGCAACACCTTTTCTGGGCCACTGCGATTAGGGCCCAACTGATATGGATTTTTTGGGGCCGATGCTGATACCGATTATTAGGGGGTAAAAAAAATCAGATTTACGATTAATCAGCCGATTTTTTTAAATTTTTATGAAGTTATCGAATATATATATATATATATACTGTAGATATCTACAGTATACTGTATACTGTAGCTATATGGTAGGCTACTGCTCTTCACGCCGACAAGGAGACTGACTGATCAAAGCGTTTTCAACTAACAATTAATTAACTCACTAATTTCAATTAACTCATGTTACACATATCCGATCCGGTCTCATCTGTAGACATGCAGCTGCCTCAGTAAGAGAAGTAGCTTGATCACGTAATGTGTACTGTTGTTTATTCTACAGTTACTGGCACGGCTAACAGTGTAGCAAGGCTAATAGCAGATGGCTAACTCTAACTTTAGCTTGCATATTACATGGTGCTTCACCGTTAACTCGGCGTGACCAAGACCAGTACAGCGGGGAACATCGTGAAGTGGGTTGAACTGAAACTTGTTGACTTATTGTGTATTTCACAAACTGGTTTATTTACCGTTGAGGCGGACCACTCTCCTCTGTGCGTCCCTGAGCTGCCTGCTTCAGATCCGTCACTCTGCTGTGCTGTGAGGTAGTTCGTGGATGAAGATTGTCATGAGGTCACGGCTCCATCTACAGGATAAGTCGGGAACTTTTCAAATGGTGGAACATTTTCAAAGTGAAACCGAATCTTATTCTCTGCATTTTATTTGTAAAAATATCGGCTAAAATCTGCGAGTTTTGGTCGATTACCAATTAGTCTCAAATGGGCCAAAACTGGCCGAATTAATCGGCTCGCCAATAAATCAGTCGAGCCCTAACTGCAATATGAAATAGGAAATTATCATAGACTGTATAAAGCACAGAAACGTAGTCGGTCCTACACTTTTAATAAACTTAAACTCAGTGGTTTCAGATGAGTTACAAACATGAGATCAACTGTCTTTCTAGCAAGTTGTACTTTTGTGAGTTGACAAACAGCAGAATGTTTTTGAAGTCATTCACTATGTGTGTCTCATGATTTCCAGTGTAACAAATCACAACTTAAATGCTTAAATGTTATAATCTGTTTCCCTGCTCTGTATTCTGGCAACACTAACTGGCTTGACTCTAAATTAGTACTTATGGACAGGAGGGGAAAAGAGGCAGGAAAGCAAGCTAATGTCTTCTCTGATATGAACGGTGCTCCCAATCTTAACATCAGTTTATTGTCCCCAGGTTACCGAGAGGAAGGGCTGATGAATATATATATTCCTAAACCCATCCTCTCAATGTAAATCCAGGGATACGTATGGAGCTTTCAAATCCCTGGCACCAACAGTGGCTGTTGAGGGCCATTTACTAACTGAGATTATAGAATTAAACAGGATTAGGGTGTTATCATTGAACTGAATATGACCTGCTGACTCCAATACTGACTAAGGGGCTGAGACCAGTGTGTTTCGACTGACAATACGCACATGTACTTACAACCACATCAAGTATACAGCCTTATAATATGTAAACTGCAGAAGCTATTTCCTTTATCTGTCAGGCAAAATTACCTTGTTCATTTTAGTGAAAGCAGAGAAGGATGTTTTTCCTGTTTCAACGCCAAGTTTCAAATGTCACAGCTGCAGTGTCAGACATTCTTTCCCCTTAAAGTATCAAGTCTCATGGCGTTCCCATATCTCACAGCAATCATAGATATGATCATCTAAGTATAGGCAGGTGATTCTGAAAGGTTCTGCAATTTGAAGAAGGCCAACACATGATGCCCCTGCTATCTAAGAGGGCATGTATCACGACTGCCAAGAAAAGCATCTCTGGCACTGCAGCTACTGGCCATTAATTAGGGAGTGCTCCATGAAGAGCACTTCTACAAAGAGCATCGGAGCAGAAATGGAGACTGAAGAAGTGGAAAATCCTTTCATATCAAAGCTGTATCACCCCTCTGTCTGTGTAAAGTGGAGCACTTTCGCACATCTGCAGCTGTTAAATTGTATGTAGCAGATTTTGCACCTTCATGTTAGTGTTCTGGCGACTGATGGAAATGTATATTGTAGCTCAGGGCCCTGTTTCAATGTGCATCTAAAACAAAGGCTCAGAGCAGTTTTGAGGAAATGTGTCGTTTGTTGAGTTTCAGAGCTTCTAAGGGCTGAGTCTCTTCACCCTTTGTCATCAAGATCTTGATACAGCTCGTTTTGCTTTTATTACCTCATCAGCTAATAAAATTTTAGCCAACATAACATTAGTTGTCAATCAGTACATTTACTGTTTTTTTTATTGCATTAGTCTGACTGAAGCTGGTGTTTTAAAAATATGTAAAAATGCTAGTCTGACTGAAATCACGTTAAATAGACACTAATAAAACTGGATTATACGGTTGGGGATTGCTTTTCATTTCTATGTATTTGGCTCAGTCAGACTGAAACTGGCCTAAGTGTTCTGTGCAAACACTAGAGTTCGTACTCCATAATTTGAAGTGCATCACTTAACAAAATCTCAACAGAAGAAGGGACACAAAAACAAAACACAGCTGTCGTATGGTGCGTATACAAGATACAGACTTGTCACCTGCTACTTGCTAACGTGTTTATTCAGGTATGTAATAGGTTAACTGGGAGACGACCCAGTAGTAACAAGCTGAAAGGAGGTATGTCCCACTACCAGAGTGGAGTCTTGCAACTCTCTTTCAATAATTCTAGTCTTGCCATTGCTTGAAGTGAAATACAAACAGTAGTCCAGTGATATCACCCGATGGATTTGCCATCTGGGCTTGTTTCCATTCATGAAGTCGAGCATTACAGCTGCGTGGAAATAGCCCTGGTGGCTAAACACTACAGTTAAAACTTATGACTGCCAGACTGGCTCCCATTGTAAAAAAGTGGGACAAATACTCATTCAGTGATTAGTTTTGAGCCAAGGTGACCTCAGGAATGATCTGGATAGTGGAGCTTTTACCTTACCACAGAAATTTCTAGTTTAAACCAAGAAGATGCATGCACAATCACCTATACTGCAGCCAGTTATCAAGACCAGCTCTGAAAGTTTTGGCTTCATTTAGGATTTGATTGTGTTGGTTGTACCATCCATCTTTTTTCATACACAGACACCCCAGTGTCATTAAACCTTATAAGAGACAAACATGTAGGTAAGAGTCTAAACAGGTAAAGGTAGAAAAGAAACATACACTGGATCTGATGGAAGAAATACTTGGACATGTAAGTGATGTAGGTGAAAGTAACATGCTGTTTTCATTGTCTTGCTGTTTCTTAGCTTGTTATATTTCACTTTCAGGACTTTGAAGCATGATAGTGAAGTTGCATTAAATGTCGAATAACCACTAGCCAAGCTTACTTCATTTATCCTCATTTACTAATGAGTGGTAATCAGAAAAAACAAGAATTTTACAGAGAATTGGTGGGAGTTTATGATTATGAAAATGATCATTTATTATAAATGATGTTTAAATGTTGGTTGCTGTTGTTATTATTGTCAAATAACTGTAAAAAGGGCTTCCACACCAGTGTAATTGGCAGACTACATGTCCTCAGTTGGAGTTTTTATCGGTAAGGAAGAGTCTCAAAGTAATTGCATTATTTTCTCCTCTTTCTGTGCCTTGGTGAATGGTTTGTTATACATGTACAAACTCTGGGGAAGCTGTCATTTTCAGTCTGCTTCTGCCTGTGCTGTGGCAAACTTTGCAGTGGAAAGGTCAAACCTGGAGGAAAACGGTCTGGCGTTTATTGAAAATGTGTAGCTTTAGTTTTACATTTCGGGCTGAGGCAGAGCGAGTCTGGATGAGGGGGAAGTCAAGGTCATTCCTGTTGTCCGTCCCCATCAGGCTTAAAAGAAAACTGCTCCCTGCAGAATACTGGCTTTTCTTTAAGCAGCAGAACAAAAGGTGGAGGAGCCAGCTCGTGGATCGATGCGAAAGACAGCACAATGTATGAAAAAGAGGAACTGCAGCATTGAAGAGGAAGCACACTAATATCATTTCTTGTTTTTAATGTCTCTTGAAGGGAGAGTAATTACTAAGTAGGCACATGTTTGTTTTGTTTGTCCTTTGAAGGGAATTAACAACAACGGAAATCAGTTCCAGGAGACTGGGAGGTAGAAGAAAACAAAAGTTGTCTAGAGAAAGTTAATGCATAAGGATGTGGGCTTGTTAATTACCAATTTTAACATGAAGTTGATTTGCTGTGCCATCTTAGCAAAGTTAAAATGTGCTGATACTCTCAATTCATTCTTCCTCTCTCAGGTGATTCTGCCTTAAAATTTAAACAGTAAGTCTGAGTATGACTACAAGGGCTAACCTCAGACATAAACAATATTCATCACACACAGTATCCACTAAAAATGGCCTTGAGGATCTTCAGCATTTTTTGAATTCATCAAACAAACAATGCATGGCTAATGAGCTGGGGTATATCCATGTTTTTTAGTTCTGGGGTGGCCAAAATAGGGCACTGACTTATACAGACATGGCATAACAAGTGAGTGTGAGTGCAAACATAACTTATTAACATTGATTTACCCTTTTAGTCTTCAGGTCAAATCTACTTCCACTATGCATATGGAGGATCAAAAGGGAGTGCCAATTGGATTTTTAAGGGAGCATAGACTGTACATAAAATTGATGCCATGAGTATCCCTCCGGCTTGAAGCCAAAAGATTTAGTGCTCCCCCTGGTGACTGGCTGCAGTAAAGGTCTTCAACCTCACCTACTTAGTCTTAACAGACAGGCAAATATCAGTGCTCATGAAGGGGATGTTTCAGCTTCAAAGCTCACAAAGGGCAAAAATTAAGAGTCTATTCTCTGTACAGTCGGTGCAAGGTTGGCTTAGCTGGCCATGCCTCTGGACCTGCCTCTGCTAAAGGGGGTCATGAATAATAAGGGTGCTGTGATGATTTTGGAGTCTTTTGTGAATCATGTAAACATGCCTGTCATGAAGACACTGCATGGTAAGATAAATATTAAGCTTGTTAGCTTAGCTGTAGCTAATGTATATCATGGACACCTTTCAAGCTTACAAAATAGCAATCATCACTGTGACGGTCTAATTTGTCAACATAGCGTCGGTAATACTAAGACAGAATAATCACTCCCGGCTCTAGCTTTATACACTTCAAATTAGCATGGCTGTTCTGTTGCCATTTTAAAGACATAATAATAAATTAGCATATTTCAAAAAAATAAAAAATAAAAAACTCTGCCCTCATCAGTCTGTAATTTATCACCACTACAGTCTGTAGCACTGCTGACTAATTAAAAGGGTTGAGAGGAGCGGTTAGTGTGATCTGGCCAGAGGATTTGTGCCTCTGTGTCATGAGTGTCTCGCTGTGCTTCATCCCAAGGTTGCTGCTGGTATCTGCTGCCAGAAAGGCTGTGAGCTGCGAGGTGCTGGTGGGGGTGGTGAGGCCCTCCCTCTGCCCAGCTCCGGGGCAGGTGAGGAGGCTTACAGCCAGAGTCAAGGTTAGCTCATGGTGAAAGAGAGCAGAGCTGTGGGGTTTGTCCAAGAAAATGCAGCGGGGCTCAAAGTCTGAGAGTCAGACTTGTGAACAATGACGGAGGGAGTAGATGTGATTCAGCTAGCTTTGTAGTTTCTTCTCATGGAGCTTTCTGTCACTTTCACATTGGATCAGTTGGCTCTAAAAGCCAGCTCCTGCTATTTCTGCATTAATAAGATGGTTGTTCATTTCCTTTTTGTTTTCAAAGTCTTTGCTTTATGCTCCCAGTGTTAGAAATACAATGGGGAAAAATGACCCATCCATGCAGCTTGACAGTATGAGAAAATGCCGTACTGCTTGGTGCTACTGTTCAGAGGTACACCCAGGTCAGTTTGAGTTCAGCATAGCTGATCTGAAACAATGTAACTGTATTCGAAATGAGTGAAACGAAAAACCTCCCTCCTCCAAAGATTTCTTCAACAACAGACTAGTTCATTTCTCATCGCTCTCTCATACTCAGCAGGAATGTCAAACGATCCCCGGTAACAAATATCCGCGCCCTGACATGCACACACAGAAAAATGATAAACTGACAGTTTGTTTTGTTGCCAGAGCCAGAAACAGAACATGTGCAAACATGCTGATTTTGCTGTAAACTTGTGTTGCCGTGTTTGTAGAGCGCAGATGAAAACCGAGACATGGCTGACAGGTTTGTGTGAGGCAGCCACTCAGAAGTCCATCTACGGCACACTACAAACTCATATATAACAGACCTCACCATGAAGGCCCTGCTGGAGAAAAACAACTCTTCCTGGCATATAATGCGCAAAAGAGCCAGGAAAATTCAGAGTTCCACTGTAGGATTTATCTTTAGACAAAGGAAAAGGAAGGAGAAAATCTGGAATAAAAGGCAGCATATGGTGTGTACCACCGTGATGGAACGGCTTAGAACACCACTTACTATTTTCAGTCAGGCTGCGTGGGTTGAAACATGCTGTTATGCTCCAAAGGTGTGATATTTTCAAAGCAGAGCGAGATCCACATCTCATTGTCTCACTGTAAATTCCTTTGAAACACTTTTTTTTTCTATCTTCTGTCCAACAGTTGCAGAGGACTCCAATCCCTGCAACTGTTGGAGGACTTCAAAGCCAGGAGGATCCTCCACGTTGTTTGTTTCCTTCTCATTATCAGCTCCTGCTTAATGAACACCCTCTCTGACTGATTCCCAGTGACCGCTTTGCTTTGTCTTAACTTAACATGACTGCATTCACAGAGACTGCTGTTGTAGCCACTTATACACGTCCTGTTCTCAGCTCTCATCTCATGGGTGGTTTACTGTCTCTGTGTTTTTTTTTTTTCTCCCACAGGTTGTGACCCTGGGGAAGAACAGCCGTGGTTACCACTACATTCTGGCCAATCTTGTGAGTAATAAGTGAGAAATCTGTGTGTGCATGCTCAATAAATGGATTACAGGCTTTTATATGAAATCAGAGAGAACAAACCCACATGTTTGTCTTATGCTGTAAAATAAGGGGGTATAATTTTTGTTGCTTATGCTGTATCAATCTAAATTTTGCAGCCAGCACGCAATGCGTATCAAACTCAATGAATATATTTACGTCAGGGTTTAAATTCATGTCCGAAGCAATAAATAAACTGCATTTAACCTTTCTAAACATCTTTGGAGGGCAGCCATCTTTTTCCTCTGGGTCCACAGAGAGAAATGTTCATTTAGCCTTGATATTTGCATGAGCATTTAAAAGCAGAGGCCGGCCCCGCTCATTCTGCAGGATCCCCCACTGCTGCTTCCCTGACTTTTGAGGATGTGATTATGCAGCAGTCAGACACATGTCCTTGCACGCCATGACACAAAATCGCACTTAAAAAAAACAGCAATTTGTCCATAAAAAGAAATAACTTTGTGTCATGGCTCGAGGGTGGAGATGGGAAATTTGAAGGCAGCTGGAGCAGCTGAGTTTTTTTCTAAAATGCATTAGAATTTTTTATTTCTCAACACCGAAAGTTATGGGAATGAAAGTAGGCCAGCTGGTTCAAGTAAAAAATTTAGTCTTGTGCGTGATCTGACACAAACTCAGACAAAAAGCATCTCCTGGCTGGTTATTTGTCTATAAATGAAGTCAGGTTACACAGCGAAGTGTGAAGAGAAACATTCACCACAGCATAATGGCAAACACATGTTGTTCTTGTGTACTTCAGAGTTCATAATAAAGTGCACCTTGTACACCGCCAAAATAAAAGCAGATATTTTATAGAGCTCAAGCCAAGTTTATATTGAAAAAAATTTACTAAAAAGGAGGAGAAATGACTCAGGTCCTCATGTCTGTTCTTTCTGTCTCATCTCAGGGTTTCACTAATGTCAGCCTGGATAAAGTCTTCGCTGGTGGAGCCAACATTTCAGGGTTCCAGATCGTCAACCCTGAGAACCCGATTGTACAGCAGTTTATGCAGCGCTGGGAGCGGCTAGATGAAAGAGAATTCCCAGAAGCCCGTAACACTCCTCTGAAGGTACTCTGCTTGCAAGGCCCTTTCATTGCACATGCAGAACACAGCGATCGCCCCGTCTGAAGTGCTCTCTATCCCTCCTTCTCCTCCTCTCATCCTCCTGTTTGCCTTTGTCATTACCTCCTCTTACTCCCACCCCTCGCTTCCTCTTCGTTTTCTCACATCTCTCTCTTAGCGATCGATATATTGATAGGCGGTGCAAGGCAAGGTTATATCGCCGCTTCAATTTACATCTAATTAAACAATGATCAAGGAAGAAATGGATTTTGAATGGCATTTAATTAGATTTTGTCATGGTGCAGTGGTCAACAAACAAGTGGCTCAGCCCTCAGCGGTGGAAAGGTCAGGCAAAGTTGGAAGGGAAGTGTGTGGGAGATAAAATCGTGCATTAATGCTCTGTATTTCCCTAACTCTGCACGAAAAGTTTTTCAAGTCTTGACTTCTTAAATCAAATCTGATTAATCAAAGTAGCTTTTATTAGATTGTCAGTGTCAGAGTTTGCTCCAAACACAGCAACACTGACCTCGTGTGTCTGCATTTTTCTTTGAGCCTTAACAGTCTGAAGCTTATAGTGATCATATAGTGATGAGACATAATTCTACTTTTAGAAATAGGTGAGATGAAAAAGTAATGGCAATACCTTTTTAAAAAGCAAGGGGGCGCCCTCTGTCTAATAAGCCAACACAACGATGTTAAATCAGCTAGTTTCCCAATGAATGCATTTCCTCATTTCTAACCATTTTAGCATTTTCCTATTCCATCCTTGTAAGATTGCTATGAGCTGTAATCAAGCTAGCTGGTGATGTGATCTCTGTCACGTCGTGCTTCAAGAAAGTGTCACAAGAAGTATCTCCACACCTGCTCTGTTGGTTTTGATGTGTTTCTTTTCCAAAAGTGAACAGACATATTAGAAAATTCACCTCCAGCAACTGTCTGACTGCCATAAGCATGCTGGGTTACCTCATTCAGCCTATAAGGCTTTTGGTGACATTGAATCCATATGGGAAATTCTCATTTCACTCCTGGGTATTTTTACTTACTGGTCATTAACAGCTCCCCGACTGATAAGCAGTGACAAAGACAACAGATAGTTAGAATCAGAAGCGGGATGGGGTCATATTTTAGCTTAAAAATCACAGTCAACTGTTCAGTAGCTGATATCAGAGCACAGCTAATGTTAGCATTCAGCTGTTTTTTGGTTAACAATGACATATAGAAATAGATAGATTTGTCTTGGCAAAATGATTCTTTTATACTTGTTAAAGATGATCTGATATAATGTGGGACAAAGGTTAATCAAAAGTGCTCTTCACAACGAGGCGTTAATTTATGACACAATGAACGGGGGGAAATTTTCAGACACAGTACAGTACCAGAAGGAGTAGCTGAATGCTAACTTTAGCTGTGCTATGTTGATGCTTCTGATGTGGGGGACTGTGAAAAGACCACAACCTGTCAGTTTTTGAGGTTTAAAGGACTAATGCCTTGTAACAAAATAATAATAAAACATGAAGATGATATGAGTTTGAGCGTGACACCGTAGAAAGATGGCGGCAGTGGGTATATGGTTTACTGACTTGTATCACGAGTCAAGTGAGTCGTATGCCCTCACTACAGAAGCATAATATCCCTGCACTCTGGTGTCTCCTTATCTTCAGCTTCCACTCCTCTGTTTTCTGCTGTTTTATTCATCATCCTTTCTTTATTTTGTACAGTACACTTCAGCTCTGACCCATGATGCCATCTTGGTGATAGCAGAAGCCTTCCGGTACCTGCGGCGCCAACGTGTGGATGTCTCTCGCCGTGGCAGCGCTGGAGACTGTCTCGCCAATCCCGCCGTACCTTGGAGCCAAGGCATCGACATTGAGAGAGCTCTCAAAACGGTAGGAGGGGGTAGAGAGGGGAGTAGAGGAGAGAGAGAGAGAGAGAGAGAGAGAGGGAGCAGAGGAAGAGAGAGTGGCAAGCTGATAACCAAAGAAAAGGCTGGGAGAAGTGAAGCAAAGATAGCAAGTGAGAGTGTGATAAAGATGGAAAGTGACAGAGAGAAGGGGAGAGAGTGCAGAGCCATTCTCCTCCCTCTGCCCCCAGATATCTGTGCACAGAGCTCACTCAAATCCAGGCCCTCATTACCATAAAACTACATCTTTTATTAAAGCGTATCCAGTTCATCATTTGATTAACAGACTGCAAGCACTCTACGAGCTCCACGGACATGAGCACCTTAATACCAGCTATATATGCAAAATGATGGCTATCCCCTGTGTCTATGTGTCCCCCTGTGTGTCTGTCTATACCTCATGACAGGTCCAAGTGCAGGGTATGACAGGCAACATTCAGTTTGACAACTATGGCCGCAGGACCAACTACACCATTGATGTTTATGAGATGAAAACAGGTGGGCCGAGGAAGGTAAGTCACAGCTCTGACTTCTGTCAGCTTATTCATCAATTGACAAAAACAGACCTGATCGAAAATCCCACTCTTTTTGAAAACACAGATGGCACGAATTAAGGTTTGGTTCATTGCGTGGCAGAAGCATGGATCTTGGCCAACATACAATTTTAAATGAGTCATTGATGAACTGTTCGAAACTGAAGAGCTCAGTGAATGTGGGCCACATGTTCAGGGATGCAAAAATGTGCCTAGAGCGGCTTTTAAAGAATCCATGATTAGGTGAAAGTAGAAACATTTTCTACATTTTGTCAAAGCATTTTTGCAGCCTTATGGGACCAGCATAGTGTAGAAGTACACTGATTGTCTTTTTCTCTCCTCCCCTGTTTGTTAGTAGCACTGATGAGCTCTGCCGAGCGCCACAAGCCCCACAAATCATACACAGCCTGCAATCTGATAGCTAAAACCGTCCTATCAAAAGAATGATATAAGACTATTTCTGAGCTGCAGGAGAGCACAGATCTGATTTGACAGTAATTACCATTTAAATAACCAATTACTATAAAGAGGATTCAAGAATTCCTCCGGTTGCTCTTCAAAATGGTAATTCCCCACGGTGTGTTCGCATTATAACCGGTACCACAAGATGACCTCTGGTTTTATTTCATAACCTCAGACAGCTGTAAATTCCTCGTTAGCTGGATAAGTGTGGGCTCTGTCCGATTGTGACGTGTGATTATGCCGCCTGCCTCTCAGACCTTCTGAAGCCCACACTTCAGTATCGGGCTGTCCTTACTGCCATCCCTCAAAGCAGCCAATCAGAGGCAGAGAGAGCAGGGAGAAAAAGAGGTCAGGGGAAGAGAGAGAGAGAGAGAGAAAGAGAAAGAGAGTGAGGGATGGAGGGAAGATGAGACAAGCCGGGCAGCAGTTTGTCAGGACCTGGAGCCCCGCTCACCCCGCTGACAGTTAGAGGATGAAGGTTCTTAGCTGTGACTGTCACGAGTGATGTATGGGCTGATATCTGTCCCAGCTGCTCAGGGTGAGATCAGGACTTTGCCTCTGGAGCAGCACTCCATGACACAGCCTCCCCACAGTCCCATCCCTGGAGCAGCTCTTCTCAAATATCACTCTCGGACATGAGCCAGAAATAAATATTTAGTACCCTCTCCAGCCTGGCGAGTGCACTAACGACATCCACAAACTGTAAGCTCAGTTATAAAAGTTGCATTCGAGGAGTTTGCGGCTTTCTAGCGCCTCCACTTGGCTGTCTTCAAACTCTGCACTGTTGTACACCTGTCTGGGCCCAAACACTCAAAGATCTAAGACAAAAAAATGCAGACCAGATGTGACGGGGGGAAACCTTCGCCAGCAACAGTTAGACTATTGGCAGCAACATATGCAACACGTTTCATCATGAGCCAGAGAAGCCATTATTTCAGATGGGCAAACAAACACTTGACACTGGTTTGACTTAAGCATCTGTACAGCAGAATGGAGACTAACAGCAATGGCAGGACTGTGCAGAAGAAACGGCAGAGCTGCTGGAATATTATGCTAAATTATTAAACATGTATGCAGTTCACAGGCCTGAGTATCAATTATTTACCATTAAACCTGGGAAGCTGAAGGTGGGAGAGATTGAAGTTGTCTGCCGTATGCTCATGCATTCCAAGCTCCTGCACATTTGGCTATTTGAGTGGAGGAAAACATGAATATTTCCTGAATATCTTTGATCACAACGGTTACTGAATGTTAAATGTAGAATTACAACTTATTTTAAACATGCTTAGCTTTCCAAGCTCCTCCTGCTGCTTTAGTATTCTGCCCATTTACTGTTATTTTGGTCAAACTTAAGGGCAGAAGAGGAAGGCCTCTGGGAAATGTGGTGTTTTAATGAGCCCTGCATCCCGGCAGTTCCCATTAAAATTTCCACCACTATACCATCCTTACATATCATAAATTTGTTATGGTGCATAACTGATCTGAGCATGCTTTGAATAAACATTATCATTGTTGTTGTTTTCATTATTATAATCAAATTACAATTTTCAAGGTTTTTAATTTCCTCTAAATGTCAAATGTTAAAGCTCGTGTTTGGAGTTTTTTCTTTCTTACTATAGAACAGCCAAGAAAAGATCCAGATGCCTCAGTGTGCAGGGATGTGACCAGAGGAGGGACAAGGGGGCGGCATGTGCCCCCGTTACAATTTGATTGGCCACCCAAAGTCCTTCACTAGATTAAATATATGCAATAAATGTAACGGGTAAATGTATTAAATAATCTGATATAAACAAATACAATGACTTTCATATTCATTCTTTTCTAAGCCTATAGAGTGAAAATGTTGTCAGGTTGTTGTTTTTGTGTCTCAGAGTTTGAAAAGTCTCAAAAAAGGAAGACAACATCAGCAAGATTTTTAAATGTTCACAGATACAAAAAAAGAAAAGATAGATTCAGTGGAAACAGAAAGGGTAAATAAATGTCTGTCATTCATGGCTGTGTGTTCATACTTAAGGCCACCTCAGACACGCCCCTGTCTATGTGAGCAAAAGTAAAATGACAACAGGATGAGATTATCTGACAGAAAACAGTTCTGATACACGTAAAGGACACAATAAGCAAAGATTTTAGGGGTACTGCTCTGACCACAGGGGGCGCCTCTATTGGTACAACCTGTAAGCTTCTTACTGGAGCTTTAAGGGAAAAGGATTTTCATGAATGTCGGTGTACAGTTTGTATCACTGCATGTTCTTCTGATAGCTAAAAACAGTTTTAAAAATGTGGAAATAAAACAGCTAATCCCTGCTTTTTCTTCACAGATCGGGTACTGGAACGAGTACACTCGATTTGTAAATATTATGGACCCGCAGGTCTCCAACGACTCCTCAGTGGAAAATCGAACGATTGTGGTCACTACTATTATGGTACACTTTCCATGCAGTTTTAAATGTTTCACGTATTCTGCCACTCAAGGTCATGGTGTTGATTCCAATGAGTGATACATTCTGTCCTGGGCGGGTAGAACCACATCTTTTTTGTGTTGCTTTCCATCCACTCACTACATGTTGAAACAGTCGATCCCAAATGGGGGAGTGTTTCAACTGTATCCGTGTGGGTGTCAAAGCATTTTGATTTTCCATACTTCAGTGGCCTGTCGTAGCAGTGACATCACAATAATGGTATAAATGGTAATGGTTGACTTCATCAATTATAAAAAAAAAAAAACGCATACAAACGCATACGTAAGTAGACCTGTCTGTCCTCATCAAGTAAATGTTCACTGACACTCGGGATAGACTTGCCGAAGAATGACTAGAGGATCATACTGCAATGGTTGCACAAGCTGGGCAAGGCAAAATAAGCAGTATTGGAGGAGGGATACAAAGGTGTGGGATATTTCCTGGTTATCGCTTCTCCAATCTATTTTGTATTGCTCCTACATGTGTTCTGTGTTGAAGTATAACTTCCAGGCAGTGGTTTAAGGAGGATAACATCCCCCGGACTATATGCTAAACGAACAAACAAAAGACCTCAGATTTATTGATTTCTAACTAGATGTTCTCCACTAAATGTTTCAGGCCATTGGATAGCCTTCATTACGATGTATTACGGCAATATACTCGCCTGATGCAGGGCGTCATTCTCTGCAAACAAACATGTTAAAATAATAAAGAGAAACATAATGAGGATATCTGGTATTTATGCACAGTTAGCTTTCATTTGTATTCCAAGGCGTGATCCAGCGTCACTCGATATCAAGAGGAAGCATGTTGAGCTGAGAATTACAGTCAGGAGTAAACATGTGTAACTGGAGGGAAATGCACAGCAGATCCGAGGTGAGGGGATACGTTCAGCACAGAACAAACAAACCATTGCTCTCCTACTTGCACTCTAATTGTATGTGGCTGTAATGACAATGCCTGCTCTCCTGAGCAGCCCTTTTGTTTGTTAATGATGATGTGCTCAGAAAGAGAAAAGACGAGCTGCACCGGTGTTTTTGAAAAGGAGAGGGAAACTAGCACGCTCCTGCTCTCCCCATTTAATTATTTTATTTATGAAGAATTTCTTTTTGCATTTTTATGGTAAGAAAAAAAACATCTCTTTATTATTTTTTTTCTCTCTCTCTCTCCGGAATGAAGCAGCCTTTAAGTGCGCATTGGTGCTTGAATATGTTGAGATACTCTGGGCACTATCTGATCCCTCTCCTGTCACTGGCATTTACTTATGACACCCATCCCCATTCCCATCCCCACCCACCTCTGAGCTGACCCACACCTTGCCCACCAATGACTCCCAGCCCTGCTAAAACTCATTCAGGCCTCTTCTCCTGTCTTTTCCTGCAGACATGAACAAATTTTGCTCTTCCTCAACCTTGACCTTTTTTTGTGCCACAGAGTCGCACCCTTAGGCTTGAATGGGTTGGGTGCATTGGTGCTCGGTGTCTGCTGGCTGCCACGGCTTGATAAAAGCAGTGTGACCTCATGATCTCGCTGCTGTTATCATTGTATATTTGTGCATTTGCGGGGCGTCATCTGTGTATGCATGATTGCATGGATGTGATCACAGCAGCTTCAAATGTTTTCAATTTCTTGGTCTGTGTGGATGAGTGTGTGTGTATGTGTGTGTGAGAGAGAAAGAGAGAGAGAGAGAGCACGGGCACATATGGGTGCATGTAAGCATATTTCTAGATGACTGATTGTGTGTGCCAGGGCATGGGGGTGAATAAACCAGCGTGTGTTTGAATCAACAGGAAGCTCCTTATGTGATGTACAAGAAAAATTATATGCATCTGGATGGGAATGACAGATATGAAGGCTACTGCGTCGATTTAGCATCTGAGATTGCCAAACATGTTGGAATTAAGTACAAACTGTCTATAGTAATGGATGGGAAGTACGGAGCCCGAGACCCCGAGACCAAGGCGTGGAACGGGATGGTGGGTGAACTGGTCTATGGGGTGAGTACTGGGAGCCTCGATTTCGCTGATTACATGACAGTTTGCAAGGAACTTCAACATGAGAGGAGATCTCATTTTTCTGTCTTAAGGTTATCACCAACCCATTGTGAGCTGATCAGCTTTTGCCCAGTTCAAAGTCTAACACTGCCTGTCTCAGCTGTGCGTGAATTTGTCGAATGCAGCCGTGAGCATTGGGAGGGAGTTGGTGATCATCTTGAGACGGAGAAAATGAAATCATTTCTCAGTGCTGTTCATTGCAATTAATCCTTTTGTGCTTAGCCTAGAAAAACTCTCCCTCTCTTTTACAGTCAAAGCAGAGGTAGGTACATAAAAAAAACAATGAGTCCATATGGCAAGCACACTGTAATCACTTTGATGAATGAAAGATTGTAGGCCTTTGAAGTGATTGTGTAATTATGTCCAATGTTTGATGTGTATGATGAATATGCCACGTTGTAAATTCACAGCTGAGAAAATCGGCTTTAGAATCAACTGCTAAATGGAGGCTTGCGGTCCTGAAACAACAAGATCCATATGTGTCGAGCCCCACAAAGGTTGAACCTCACACATTAGGGAAGGGTCACGCCATGTTTTACACCTGATGGAGCGCTGCGCTCCAAGCTCTCGCAACACCTTAAGCATTCGAAAAATTAAGCCCCTCTACCCTCCTCCACCTCCACCTCCTCTACTCTGTGCCGCTGTTCTCTCCATTATCAGAAGCCACAATAGTTGAACAGGGGCCAAATACAAAATGCATGAGGGTTAGGCTTCCTCATCTGTTCAATTTCCCAACTATCAGCCTGAGTGATTGCTCGGTTTGATGTGCTATCACCACCTAAATTATCTCTCAAATGGGAAAGTCCACTCCCTGTAGATGGAAGGTGAAAAAATACCTCACCCCACCCCCCCTTTGCATCACCCTTCAAGTTTTTCCAATCCTGTAATTTTACAGCAGGTGGGCCGAGACTAATAGTTTTGTACATTCTGACCTTTTGACCAGTAAATTAATTTGATTTTAGTTGTCTTTTAAAAGGTTAGGCCTGAGGCGGCTCTTTATTGCTTTGTTTCCCTCACCATTGATTGAGCGCTGCTTACGCCTGCGCCAGGATTAAATGGTTATAGCTGTCCACACTGTTGTGTTGACAGGGTAAAGAAAACAGTCATGTTTATTGGGTCTATTTGTGTTGCACCCAGTTTGACCTTGTAAGAAGCATTTTCTGCCCTGTGCTGCTTCAATCTTTTTTTCCCTGGATTCGGACATAAAAAAGTCAACACACAGAATTGTCCTTCATGGAGCGTCTGCTTTGAAGAGGAGCAGTTATTTAATTAATCACACACGCAAGCGGCAGTAACACTGTCTAATGTGATTAATTATTTTCTTCTGCCTTTACAAAGAAACCCATTGTGATTTCCAAAAAGGGCAGCACCACCTCCATGGATGTGTTTTGATAGCATAATGTGATTGAAGCAGCAGAGCAAAGGCGGGAGATAAAGAGAAACAGCTTGGAAAATTAAACAAATAAAGCTAATGCCAGAGTAAGCCATGTTTGGGAAATCCAGCCGAGTGAATGCCGGGAAGGCAACACAGCCTGGGCCTGCTGATCTTTTGAGTACAGCGACCTTTTAACTGTACCTTCAATTACAGACGTTTTAATGACAAAGTTACACTTGTCAAGACGTCAGACAAACCTCGACTTCCTTTTCTTATGCAATTTTAATGACACAATTACATTTTTGAAACAGCCAGTGTCTCATAGCAAGACAGGGTATGAAATTGCCTCTTTTAAAGAAGTGTGCCATTGAAGATCCTTCTGTCTGAGTTGTCTCCTTAGGTCCTGACTAAGGAAGCATTTGGTAAAACATGACTCAAACACCCATCTGCTGTGGTGGATTTTTTCCAAGCTGTCTCTCTGAAAGTCTTGCAGTGGCATTGTGAGCTTTTACTCCCTCTTCACCTCTCAATGTGTCGACATTTCAGCAGAATATTGGAGTAATTTTACAGTTTCAAACTCTGATTTATTAACTAAAAACCCAGATTGTAACATTGCGCAAATGCTGCGTGTATGAATGTGTTTTCATTTTGCTTGTTTCCTGTAATTACGTGTAAAATGTGTGATAACATTGTTTTATTCTGCCTCTGCAGCTCCAGTTTTTCACACACACTTTAAAAATGACCCGCTTGTTTATGCAGGTCTTGACTAATGCTCGCTGTGCATGTCCCTGTTTCCAGAGAGCAGATATAGCTGTTGCACCTCTCACCATAACTCTGGTTCGAGAGGAGGTGATAGACTTTTCCAAGCCCTTTATGAGCTTGGGCATCTCCATTATGATAAAGAAGCCGCAAAAGTCCAAGCCCGGCGTGTTCTCCTTCCTGGATCCGCTGGCCTATGAGATCTGGATGTGTATAGTGTTTGCCTATATCGGGGTGAGCGTTGTCCTGTTCCTGGTCAGTCGGTTCAGTCCATATGAGTGGAACCTTGAGGAGCAGGACGAGACCAAAGACCCCCAGACACCGCCTGATCCTCCAAATGACTTTGGCATCTTCAACTCCCTCTGGTTCTCACTGGGGGCCTTCATGCAGCAGGGCTGTGACATCTCCCCAAGGTGGGTCAGCTCCAGTAGCACGAGGAGGAGAAAACAAAAAGTAGACTCCTTCTGCATGAGTTTTTTTTAAAGCTGGGACTAATGTGATGCACCTCTGATAGGGATGTATTCCTGTCTTTTTTCCTTTAGGTGTTTATTAATTGAAGCTTATTTCACAAGGGCTGCAGCTATTATATGTGTAATTGACTTTGAGCAAATTGAGCTGAAATCACAAAATGATTTAATCAATACTTTCTTCAGGCTATGAAATGAACTTTGACCTCGTTTGAGAGCCAATTAAAGACCTGGATTAGAGCAGATTTTAAATAACATGTACTACTTTCCTTGGAAACATGCTGTTCAAAAGAGCAACAGCAGCACTAAGATGGTTTACAAGGGAATTCTGATGATCAGTTAAATTACGTACATTGAACACACATTGTAGATCAGAGGACGCTGATAGGCACCACATGGCACTTTGTAATTACATTTGGTGTTTTCCTGTCATCAACCTCCCTTTCGCAGGTCTCTATCAGGGCGCATCGTTGGCGGTGTGTGGTGGTTCTTCACCCTCATCATCATCTCTTCCTACACAGCCAACCTGGCTGCCTTCCTAACAGTGGAGAGGATGGTCTCTCCTATAGAAAGTGCCGAAGATTTAGCGAAGCAGACAGAGATAGCATACGGCACTCTGGACTCAGGCTCCACAAAGGAGTTTTTTAGGGTGAGTAGACGAAAACTGGTGAAAAATACACACAGACAGCACATCACAAATCAGCTACAAGTTTCTCTGCCCTCAGCTCAACAGCAAATAATGCAAGATCCTCACCGTTTTGCACTCAGACTGAGTGCAACATAAATACTACTTTGTATAAATGTCCTTGATAAACTCCTCCTTGCAGTTTTTCCATTTTGTACCTTTAGTGCAGCACTTTTGACCTGCCCAAGATTGCTCCAAATGAGGCATGTTGACAGAGAAGCAGTTCTTGAACTCTTATGACACCGACGTGAAATTTATGCGGCAGTACTGCAGTGTGCAACCTTGAGGCGCAGGGGCTGTCAGCAGAAAGTGTGATAACAACGTGGAAGACTCAGAGGTGATAAAAACAGGAGGCTAATCAAAGCACCCGCATCAGGCTCAAACTCTGAAGGGTCAGCTCATGAAATATAATTAGCCAGCCGGCCATGGCTGGCAAATTGGACCTGATGATGAAGAGCCCTGCAGGTCAAACAGCACGGTCTGAAAGACGGTTCAGAAGGAATAAGCAATATGTCCATCGGCATGAAGGACTTGCCCGGCAATTAAGACGTAAATTAACTAAAATCTGAAGCCAGAGTGTATTAGTATCTGATAGGCAGCCACATGCTCTCTACGCAGGAGTTAAACAGCGATGTATATCTTGAGTGAAATCAACCCTCGACTGGAAATTTAAAAGGGGTTTTAGCTTGTGGCACAGCAACTGCAGCATTTAAGACCTATGCATTTGCAGAGCAATAAGTGAAAAAAGGATTAATGAAACAGCACTCTCTGTTACTGTGTGATGACGAGAAGGCAATATGACAGTCTTTTATCCTACGCTCCCTCATTACTCATCAGCAGGAGAGGAACAATTCATATGTTCCACAGCTGCAGCCTGCTGGCAGGAAGAACTATTCATTTGTATTACCCCTGGGTTGAATTGTTCAGAACAACAAATGCAAAATCAAATCCATGTTTTCTTTTTTCAGATAAAAGAGGAGAAGATAGTGTCTGTGGGTTGATATTTAAAGACTGTAGTTGTAAGAGGTGTGAAGATGGTATATCTCAGGAAACACAGCGCATGACATGCATGACGGTAGCTCTTTATTCCCAGTGGAGCGCTTTACAAAGCCTGTCATCACTGCTCCTTTCATCAGGGAGGAGAATCAGGTGTATGTACAGTAAAATGTCTTTGTGCTGAGGACATGATGGATGCCAATTATGGATTAGGTTTGCAGCCTGACAATGAGGCCACCGCAGGTCTGCTAGTAAAACAATGAGGAAGGTGGTTGCGGAGTCACAGTTTTCCTGTGTTCTGCATAATGAGTGTCCTAGTTACATCCTTAAGTCTTCAGATATGAAATGACATGTGTGAGCTGCCATTTCAAGGGACTTTTAATTAAAGCTGTGCAGAGCTGACAAGCAAAAAAAAAGAACCCACCACACTGATTAATAGGAGTTAAAGTTCTATTTTAGATCTGTTTCTCTGGAAATACATTCAGGCTTAATTAGACGCATACGGCATCAGCCAGCTGGAAATTTTAAATCAAGAGCAGTGTTTCAGAGGAGACATATGTCACCATCCCTGCAACCCCCAAAACTTCCATTTTTAATGACTTCACCTGGCTCGTCGAAGTTTCCTGAGCAAACTTACAAATGTTGCGTGTTTGTAAAATGTTGTGACTACTTGCTTTCTCAGTTAAAATTTCGTTGTGGTATCATTGATAGGTCCAGCTTTGAAAACTACCCTGGTGCGTTTGTCTTAGTGTCCTTAAAACAGATAAATTATCTCATCTTTGTGGTGTTTGATTTCTCCAAGGCTGTTATTTCGCAGCTCCTGATAAACTGACAGTTTTGACGTGCGTCTTATTATCTGACAGTGACAGTTTTCACATTACCTCAAGTGTCTTCATCAGTGAGGGGAGAAAAGAGACACTGAAGACGAACTTTTAAAAGAGAGAGAGGTGTTAGAGAAGATCCCCTGAAAGCCTCAATTCCATTTCTCCCAACCAAGTACGACAGCTGGCCTGGGAGTCCGTTGACATGCCCACTGAAAGCCTCGGTGGCTCCAGGCGCTTTGGCAGTGCAACTCCACCCGCAACTTGGCTCCACTCTCCTCAGACTCCCCTGAACATTTGGGCGCCCTCTCCCTCTCTGTTATCCGACTTTTTCTTGCTTTACCTTGAGACAAAGCAAGAATAGCTCCAAGCTTTGTGCTGCTCTCCCTCAGCAAAACAGCTGTCATGTGCCACTGCACCATTGTGGTTTGTTTCATTATTTTAATTCCTTCCATGGATCTTCTCATGCACTCAGTTGAGTATTTGTATTTGGGGTGATTAGAAAATGATGAGTTGTACCATCAGGGTTGTGTTTATCCTCTTGATGAGGTTTTATTCCACCAGAGAGCTTGGCTCACTTACATTCCTGAAATGTACATTGAAGTAGAAGCTGCATGGTGATTATGGCTGAGATGATAAAATGAGCTGATGTGGCTGTTTAATTACGTGTAAAGACCGGGGTGAGACCATCAAAGACAACCACACTGCTGTCCCATCATGCACCTCATTAAACAGTGTAACAATGAAAGAATGATAATTGCATAGAGGAATGAGACCACGGCATTGTTTTTGGTTCCCTTCAAAAGATTATACATTACCCAAAGCCTTGGCGCCGAGCATCATGCATCTTACTGATGTGCAGGTGTGCGGGAGATGGGAACAACAGCTTGAGTGCAGTCGCTAATGCATTTTACCAAGTATGGAAATCAATTTCACATCTCAGCCATTGTAACACAGACACTATAGCTTCTTCATGGTCTAATATAATGTTTAATGAGTAGCACTTTTTGCAAAGCAGACCTGCATTAGGACAGGGTTGCATGGATAGATTTACTCGGGGAATCTTTAGGTCGCCCTGCAATCACATGCAGCTCATTGTTGCACAATTCCCTCAGCTCTTGTCACTATGTGGTTCACATCAGTACTGAGTGAGTGGGGGAAGGCTCCCATAAAGATTAGAGGCTGTTTGCATGAAAGGGAAAGCTGACAAAAGTGATGATAGACTAGAATGAGATAGGCGCAGCCTCTGAGGGAAGGCGCTGTCCTCAGAGGGCCTTGTCGAACTTTAGATGAGCGGCAACAGCAGGCGCCAGAGCAGCCAACGGAGTCCAACTACAAGCATCAAAGACGAGCAATCTGTATTCGGGGCACGGCACGTGGCACTTCAGTGACAAAGTGCTCCCCCAGAGCCCCAACTTTCATTTCTGCATACTTGAGATACAGGTAGACCTGACTAACAGGATATTGGGGGAAAGTGGTGATGTCCACAGACAGAGCAGCAGGGAGGAAAAGGTGAAGAAAATGTAGAGACATGTAATAGAAGATGGTTAAGAGACATACGTGATGTCGCTTGTGGGGAAGGTAGTAATGAAATAAGCAAAGAGAATAAGAAAGCAGGCTGCAGGTGGAGGGGCAGTGGACAGAGGATTGGAAACGTTCCATAACTCTGGATCAATATAGATTAAGAGGTTGTTTAAATAGAGTGGGCAATTTCTTTGACTTTTGACTTTAATCACTTGCCCGTCCTGAGACGTTTTAATGACATCATTGAGGGACTTCTTAACAAGATCTCTTCTCTTTATATATACTCAATTTTTAAACCACAGAATCAACATTTGCCTGTCCTTGTGATGGCTTTGCCTTTGCCCATGTGCACCGCAGAAAAGTTTAAAGCAAAAAAGTTATTTGTCTCTAGTCTGTTAGGAGAAAAACAAGCTACCAGTAAGCCTGTTCATATCTTTGGTGACAGAGAGGGCTTTTTGTCCAGGGCAACAATAGGCAGATAGCAACATGGCCCCGCAATTTAAAAAAAAAAAACTGATCAGGATTCAAGTTTGATCACACACAAACTTTTACATCTCAGCGTGGGCTGATGGAAACACAACCTTGTGGAAAATGATAAGAAAGAAAATGACATTAAAACTATCACCTCTTGTACTGTAAATGGAAGACTGTACTGTGATTTATAACACAGTTTTCAAAGTATGCCTTCAGCCTGTGCAACTGCAGATTTATATCACACAAACATTAATAGGTGGCAGTGAAAAAAATGGTGCCAGGAGTTTTATTCATTTATCCTTTTTCAGAAGGCAACAACAACAACAACCAGAGCAGTTCTAAACAATTACAGCTGAAGCAGGCTGCTGTTTACAGTGGATTCACAAGCTAGGCTGTCTTACAACACACACAGCAGACATTACGATGAGAAGAAGTATGTTTACAAAGTTTTTAAAAGGAAACATTACATTTGACCCACAACATAGTCATAAAACATAAAGGAAGTGTCTGTGTGGGAAAAACTTGGCGCTTAAAGGCATGGCTGACAATCTGAGAAGCAGTTGAAAAAAACAGATTTGAAAAAAGCGTCCCACGCCCACACACAAACCTCTCCACTCTGTGCTCCACGATAACTTCCCCCCCAAACCTGTATCGCCTTCCCCACGACACACCCCTTCTGGCAGAGCAAGAAGCCGGCCGGCAGAAGATCGTGCGCTAGCTTTAAATAGGATTTACCATGTCAGATTGTTCGGGACTTGCGGCAGTGAACACCAGCTCTGCTAGCGAGCACCGTCTGCAGCTGCCTGGACAGCTATCGTGTTGACATTGCAGAGACTAATAAGAGTTATTCATGTAACATGTGCCACAATAAAAGGCAAAAATTACCTGTTCAACTAAAACTCTGCCGTCTCTGCATCTGTTTTCAGGCCCAAATCCTAGCGGAGCTTTCTCCACCGCTCGAAGGATGACCCGATGTTTATTCGCGTTAGATTCCTTGCTTGGTCATATTTCATCTTCAACTCTGACCCTTTTACTGTCGGCTTGCATTTTCTTAGCACTTTTGGGGGCAAGCAGAAGTGTTTTCTTAGCGTCCTTTTCCATTACAGCTCCAGTAGCTAAGCTGCTACGCTTCTTTTAGCCGCGACGGATGGCTCCCATTGGTCGATGTTTTTGCAGCCCTGCGCCTGCTAAGATGAACAGATTTTTCCATTCTTTTTTCTCTTCACTTTGTGGAGATCGCACTATAGGACCATGATCGCCATATAAACAAGGTTCATAATAATTACCGATCCCTCCAATCATCAACCATGCCTTTAAGATGTGTGATTTTTTTAACAAAAAGAGTGATATACTCAATTATGTCATGTAGCACACCATTGAAAGAAATTGAGATATTATCTCACTTAGACGGTTTATATGTTCCAAACCTCATTGGAGGCCTGCATCTTCGCAACCCCATGAAAAGTGCTAAAAATACAGATACATGTGCAGGTCCTTGCTCTTAGATAACCTTCATTTGTATGAGTAAACACTAGAAAGCCTGACTGCAGGCCTGAATGTGATTCAGTCGCAGTGATACGGAGGCCTCTCCACCACCAGTTTTCCCCTTGCTTCTCTCTAACCTTATTTTGCCAGAGGCAAGTCCTGTTCTCTTTATTCCTCATCTTCGGTCAACAGTCTGGATAAACAGAGCAGATTTTTTTCCCTCAATATCTGTTGTAAGAAAGTAGAAAATTTATTGCTTCAGACGAATTTGCGGGGGGGAACATCGACACAGATGATGTAACAGTGTCGCTAAGGTAGGAGGACTGGCTGACATCCACCATTTAGGTGCGTCATTATGAAACAAGCAGCACTAAGCGCGCTCTGGTCTAATTTGGAGACATTTACAGGATGAGGATTAAACAGTTTGCACCAACATGGGCGCGTCATATTCTCTATTACTTTCTGTATAAGCTATCAAATGCAGCCCCTCCCTGTTAGCTCATTGGCACAGAGTCTTCTTACAGGGTCATTATATGGTGTGATGGAGAGCCACATGTATAAGGCTGTATTTATGGCAGCATATAATTGCTCAACAAATTGTCTGTTCATTGATGATGGACTTGTGCAGTCATTATTCTGTAATTGAATTTTAAATGACCGTCGTACACCAGAATGTGAATGATTACATTTAAAAGAGATGGGAGCAGACCTCCAATGCACAATGGAATGCTTGTGTATGTGTACTGTATGAGTGTGTGAGAGTCTTTCCTTTGAGCTTGCATATTTATGTGCCAGCAGTCAATAATCAAATATCTCTCTTTCCCCGCTGGGCTTACTCACTGTGTCTTGTTTTTCTCCCCTCTATATCAGAATCTGCCTTAAGCATCTTGCTGCTGACTTTAGTTGCAATGGAATCGGCCTATTTAGGTTTTGGTTGCACTCCGTCTGCGCTCTGATATTGATGAATTGACTTCATAAAGCACTGAGGCAGCACACTCTGTCGTCAGTAATCAATGGCCTGATCCATTCTTTTCTCTTCATTTGAGGAGGCGTGTGGAGCTTTCCCCTCACCAAGCAGATGAGCCCCGAGTCTTTGGGGAAATTGTCCTCTAAACTAGTGTCCTTTCCATGAGGTCTGACACATGCAAATTGAACACAATTAACAAGATGGTCGACAAAAACATCACATCTAAGCCTGGCTGTCCTCCCCCTGCTCCTCCTGTCCACTGTACTGCATTAGAACAAAATGACCATTGTCCAAACCTCACAGCTTTTTATCTGGGCAGAGAACATTCATCGTGCAGACTTTTAATTTGTGATGTTGCTGTCTCATCTCATCCTCACACAGTCGGCCTGATACTCTGTGACAGATGCCCACAAACTAATTGTATATGCTTACATGACGCAAGTGAAGCACTTTTGCTGGGTCAAGGTTAATGCTTTTTGCTTATTAATAGAAGTGCATTAGAGATGGATTTGTTTTTGTTAGGGGGCTTTTACCATTTAGGACAGCGATGAGTCTGCCATCTGATCAGTATGTCTGGACATGCTTGGTACAGAGCCTCAGTATTCATGAGCAGCAATCCAAGTGCACTTAATGTAAAACTTCCAATCACAGCCTTGCAGTTTGAAGTCTTTACTTTTTTGTCATGTGTCTGGTTAATATTTTAAATGTTTACAAGCACAACAACTACTACCTACTTACATAATCCATAAACCAATGCAGTACTCTTACTTTGAAACATGTTAAGTCCTTACAAATCCTCACACATTCAGGCCAAGTGCATATGCTTTTCCAAAAGCAAGAGGAAAAGCAGGTTTTAGAAGCTGTTAAAGCCATCCTGACTAGCTACAAATGTTTCAACACAGCTAAAAACTTCATCAGGTAAGTTTTTAGTTCGGTTATTTCGAAATAACTGGAAACACTTTAAAATGTGAATGATATTAGTTAGCATAAAGGATACCAATGCTAGCTTGAGCTTCAACTTGCAAAGCTTTATCTAGATGTATCAAGAGTCAGTAATAGCAGTTATTAGATAAGATTTTTAGTCATCCTGGTTACATCTGCATGTTAGCATGGTATGTTAGCATTGTTTGGTGCCCACATTAGTGCCAGTGTTAGCCTTTAGCTGCAAATTTCTATGAACTATGCTTACGTACTTTTAAAAGACAAAAGTAAAAACAATGAAAAGGAAGCAAGTTTTAACGTAAAGCAAAGTTTAAGTGGTGCTGTAGCTTAAAAGCTAACTGCAAAAGCTATGTCACCAGATCAGTTTTGTCATTTCTATCTTTTAGTTTGGTTTTGGAGTAAAATCAAACATAACCATTGACATAATAATACAGTCACAACTGTACCTGATGATTAAATGATAATTTTTATGAGTCTGTTTGCATATTTGGAGCATTTTGTTTTGTACAACTGCCTCATGGGTTCAGTGTTAGGGTAGTATTTCATGTTGCTTCTGGTTAAATTAATCTAACGTTAAGATGTTTTCTCTGTATTTTTCTGTCAGGAGCAAATGAATTAATTGGCTTGAATTAAAACGTTACTACTGCTAAACTGAAGACACATGGCCTTATGAGGTAAACAAACACCCGCAGGGAAGTAACTCTGACAGATGTTGGTGTATCAGCAGCTTGTCCATATTCCATGCCCACAGCAGATATTTTGAATCAGCCGTCTCACAGAGAACCAATCCAACCGTTCTGTTTTTCTGTGGCCTTCACTAAAAGAAGACAGTCTGTGGTAGCCTACTCACAGTACCACTCGGGAACTGGCTCATCGCTGCTTGGACTGGGATCCGTTCAGAGTGTGAAATGCTATGCCAAAATAAATCCAGCGGTATTGAATAATTTAATTGATGCTTATTATAGATAGCGCTCAACTCCCACAGATTTTACAGGCTCGCTAAGCCTGACCCCAGGCGCTGGGAAAATGCTCATCTATGTCACTTTGTGATGGGTTGTCTTGTGTCTGTGTAACCCGTTTTCTTTTTCTTTCCTCTTGCTTCTTCTGCACATTGCCTCTGAGTCACAGTGGAGATGTTACATTGAGGGCAGTGTTGTAGAAATGAATGACTGTAATAAGTTCTGCAAGCTAAGGACTGTATCCCAAGGCTCAAATTCACCAATAGATATTCCTCTCAAAGTTTATCAAGTTTCTGAATCAATCATTATTACCCACAATTCATTTTTTTCAAAAGTTATATTATTGAATGTTTTTTTATTACCAAGTGAACAAATGGCAATTGTTCTGCTCTAAACAAATTTGTGTGATGTTAAATTCAATGCAGATAATGTGTGATCCACTGCAAACCCAGTGAATTTGACCCTCAAGATAATTAAATAGTATATTAATGCTTATGAAGAAAATGGATTTTGTAAATTCTTGTACTTCATGATCTTGCAAAAGTCCACCAGATATATTTCCTGGAAGTATTTGGAGATATCGCACTGTCTTTGTCCTAAGGTGTCTCTCAATACTTCATGATGCAAGTTTAAATGAAGTGATCATTAAGCACAACAATCCTGCAAATTCCATCAACATCACATGAACTTCAATTTCTAAACTACTTCTTCTTTTCTTCCTGCACAGCGATCCAAAATAGCAGTGTATGAGAAGATGTGGTCATACATGAAATCTGCTGAGCCCTCAGTGTTTGTTAAGACCACACCCGATGGCGTAGCCCGGGTACGAAAGTCAAAGGGCAAGTTCGCCTTCCTCCTTGAGTCCACCATGAACGAGTACATCGAGCAGCGGAAGCCATGCGACACCATGAAAGTGGGCGGGAATCTGGACTCGAAAGGCTATGGTGTGGCGACACCCAAAGGCTCAGCATTAAGGTGGGTGGAATAATATAACAATATTGTCCATGTTGTTATAGTATTCCACCTACCCTGATGTCCTCCTGTTGTCATTCTTTTCTCTCCCCCGCCCTCATCCCCACCCCCCACCCCACCTTCCCATCCCCCCTTTTTTTAATGGACATCAAGGTAATGGTAGTATGAAAAGGTTTTCTAGCGATAATCAATGTTTTTCAGTATTTTCATAGATGTGATAAGAGATGTTAATTTCTATCAGAGGATTCAAACAGATAATAAGGCTAAAGCTAACAGTCATTTCGTATTTATGTCTCTCTTACTGCTTTTCTCTTTCCTTCGATCTCTCCTTCTGTCCCGTATGCTGTCCTACCTGACTGTTGTGTTGTCACTTTTAATTTAACAGTTCAATGGTTTTTCAATTTAGCCTTAAAAGCTGCGCTGTCACTTGTGACGAATGTTAATTGCATGATGTTTGTTGTTGTTACTTTTCTTCTCAATGACAAGTGTCCCCATCCCGCACACTTCAGTTCTAAACTACGTAACCCTTCATGCCACCTTTTCCAAGATTTAACACTGTCTTTACCTTTTATGAGCCTTTCTTATCTTTCTATATTCCTTAAAATTCTTCACCAATTTGTCCTTTCCTAGACCTAATGATTAACAGTACTCAGTGCATAAGCCCCCTTGCTTTGATGGTGGTAGTCTCACTACCATTATACCTATCATTATGATGCTTATTACAGCTCTAACTTCTGCATTAGATTTCTCACGGACCTGTGCATTTTCTTACAAGTTATGTTTTATCGTTTCAAGAAATGCTGTTAACCTGGCAGTTTTAAAACTGAATGAGCAAGGCCTCTTGGACAAATTGAAAAACAAATGGTGGTACGACAAGGGAGAGTGCGGCAGCGGGGGAGGTGACTCCAAGGTCAGCCTCGATGTCACCACAATCGGGTACCATAGTTCAGAGTAATCGGCAAGGCTGTTACATCAATCCAACCAAAACCAAACCAACTGTCTGCCCCATCCAACCTGCTGCTGCCCCATGGCAGATTACCAAATTAACTGCTGGTATGACCAGACAGATAAACAGCTCAGATCCAACTAAAGAGATGTTTCTTAACCAACAGAAAGCTTTATCATAAATTGCGTGCACCATATCTGCTGCAGTTTAAAAATGTATGAGTTTTCTCTAGTCATGACAACTTGAAAAAAATCCAAAAATAGAGAGATTATCGGTTGATGTGGCTGCCCTGCAATCTGTGGAAGGTTGAGCTTTATTTATTCACCTTTGCACAGGTGGAGGGCAGACCACCGTTATCTGGCCAGTTGAAGTCTAAACTCAAGAAGAGCCTTTGAAGTTTTGCTATGATAGACTATTTTAAAGGCCACCCCTCCCCAAAGTAAAGCTCACTAATCCTGTTTAATACACAGCTTTGCAGTACTTCACTGCACAGCTGCTTCATGTCCATGATACTGGCACAGATCAGCTTTAGAGTAGGAAAAATCCCACTCAATGAAAAAAGAAGACAAAACTCAAAATGGCTGCTCAGCTTAGGCCAACAATAAAGCAAGGGGAACAGCGGCGTCTTGAGGGGACTAAGCATTACAGGCAAACGTGAGAAGTCTAATTAAAACAGACTTTTTTTTCCCTTCTAGTGAACCACCTGATGATCCATATAATTCCACTTTATAGTGCCTCTACCCCAACTCATTAATAACCCAGCTGTGAACCTCTTGACCATCAGATTTCTCCCTCTTCGTCTTTGTTCTATGATGGATGGGGGTTCCCATTATGGAGGCTAATGGTGCAAAGTGTGGAACTCCACTCAACCAGGACAGCTCAGTGTAATGTTGCTGTGATGATGTGCCATAAAGCATTGTGCTATTTTTACTAGACTACCTGTAAGGTGATAACGGTAATCATTTATTCACAATGCAGGTCAATTTAATGAAAAATGATGCTGTCACATGTGATGATTTAGGTCAGCTAATGGCTTGATGACACATAAACCGCAAGGACACAAGGTCTCTTGGACTGGATTGTGTCATTATGCTCTTTATGTCATTCGTCATTGACTGGCCTTGATCACGATGCACAATGAACAGTTAAGCCGCAGTGAGTCATTTTTAAGAGACTGCTCAGGGTAGAGATCAAACAACGTCTTGTGGTTTATTTCTGAATGATATCTTTTAATAACTGTACAGTCACATTTTTCAATGTTTGCACTGCTAACATTGCTATGTTCTGTAGTCACTGAGCTCAGGAGGCCTCCGTCTGCTACTGAGAGCCATTTGAAAGCAACTGTCTGTCTCTTGTGCTGTCTTCAGTCTGTGACCATGCACAGGTATGTACTCTCTGTGTGTGTCCTGGCTGGTTTTGGCTTCAAGAGTCAGTGGAAAGGCCCAGTTAGCTGGAGTAAAGCTGCCCGACGCGCCCTGTTCCAAACAGTGTGGCACTTGGCTCCATCAGTCTCACAGCTCCATGTTCAAACAGACATGAGAGGATGCACATAACTGTGCACATTGCTGCATACACACCCACTCACTCACACACACACACACACACGGTTAACACAACTCTACTCAGGCCTGAGGCACAACACAGTGCAGCCTTGATTGAGTTTCAGACACAAAGCATGTTACAGGGTAATTGCATTGTTAATCAATGTCTCTTCCGAGCCAAGACAATGGTCTGGTCTCCACAGTCCGTTTCTCCAGATTGGCTATGAGGGATATACAGTGGTGTAATCTTCTCCCAGTGCACTATGCATTGCACAGATCCCCTCTAGGGACATTGTTCCCAGGGAGTAGTCAGGTCACACATTAATCAATGAACTATTTTTCTTTGCTTCATTTTTTTTCCCTTTGATACAAAAGTAAAGATCAAAACCACAAACACTCGAACATTAACACTTCCAAATGGGATCTCTATGCAGCTTTTTCTTTTGTCTTGAAGTTATTTTACAATGAATTTCATAGTCTTTAACTATTGCATACAGTATTTTGACTCCTTGATATCATCCAGAGAGATATCAAACTGCCAGAAACAGCTGTGTCAAGCATTAGATTATGCAGCTACGGGCAAATATGAGAGGAATTACTCCACGGATACTTCTGAGCTCAGTCCTGCAGCTCTGTGCAATTTGGTTGGGACACACTTCATCTGACACTAATCTGGTGTAATTGGGAGATAAGGTTTCTCAGCGATATGTCCGGATAAAACACGTAAGAATTAATTACGCTTACACTTTTGGGCATAGTTGCCTAGATATGAAATTGGTTGTAATACCTCCAGAATTGATCATTGTCATGCTGGTGACAGTAGCATTAGCTGTTAAAGGATTAGGCTGATATTGTGGGAATAGAAAGGCAGTGGGTATCAGTCAGATTTTTCTGTTTGTGAAGACAAAGCTCCTGTTGGACTGAACTTGTTCAACTCTGTCAAGAAAGCCCCTGTGATCCAGTACCAGCCCCCCAAACAATCTACCCAATGATTTTTAATAACTTTAGACTTGCAGATCGTACTCTCAGTACCTGCTGGTCGCCCTGTTAACAGCGTCTGCCGATTACTCAAAGCGATACGGGCAGGTCCTGGCTTTAGACTAGGGGTTATCAAGGTAATAGTTAGAATGCCTGCTCTCTGTGATGTTGACATAGCCAGGAGCCCTGCTTTATCGCTTTGTAAAGTATGTAGTAGTTTAAAAGTTGAATAACATAAAATAACATAATATAATGTTATTTATGTTATTTCCCACGTGAAGAACTCCTGTAAACCTTGCAGTATTGAAACTCAGTGAACAAGGCATCTTAGACAAGCTGAAAAACAAATGGTGGTACGATAAGGGTGAATGTGGAACCAAGGACTCTGGAAGTAAGGTCAGTCGCTGCAGGTCTTTTGTACTGATTCCAAATTGCATTTTGACCTACTGTTCATATGCAAGACAAGACTTCTCTAACATCTTTAGTGTACATTTTGTTCATTTGCTACACACATTTTTTTCTTTTTTTAGTATTCCAGCTTCTTTGCCACAAACTGTAGCACAGTTTACGAGTGGCTTAAACAAAAGGCACTGCTTTTCCCAAACTCATTTTTTCTTTTATTGCCTTAGAGATTAGACTCCTTTTTTTCAAATGTAGAGGCTCTTTTTTTTTTTTTTTAAACGTAATGCTAATGCTGTGGGAAGCCTTTCAAATACACTATTTGGATTGAATCACTGCAGTTAAAAGTTGTTGAATAAATGCTATTTTTTGCTCATTTTCACTCTTGACATTCATGATACTTTGACCATTATGCTGCTGTTTCTATTTACCAAACTGTTAATGAAAATTTGATTTATTTGTGTTGTTACTAGTTTGCATGGAGATGTGTCTATTAGATTCTCCGGCCTCCTGCAGTGTGACGAACAAGCAAAGCCTCTTATTGTGACGATTTTCTCAGATTCAACTTCTGTAAGCGGCGAGAGCACCGCGGGGCGTCCTCTAAATCTTTTTTTTTTTGCTGCTTAGAGTTGAGGTTGGAGGCTCTGTTTGCACATTACAAGAGGCTGAGGAATGTAATAAACCCACTATTTAACCCTCTGAGACACAGTCGCAGCTTTTAGATGATAGGTTAGGGTGGCTAGATAGCGTAATAATATCCCCATGCTCATAGGGTTAAACTGCAAATAGTAAAACTCTAATGAACAAATTTTTAATGAATATGTTTGGTAGGTAAGCAGCAGCAAAATGGTTTGATCTTTAGTGTTTTTTTGACTTTATCCGAGCTTTCATTCATCTACTTTGAATTTGACTGTACTGTATGACAATGTTGCCATGAGAGTTATACGTACATGTCGCTAACAAGATTTAAAAAGACAGGGATTTTCAGAGATATCGACCTATGCGATACTGACAAGCTTCCTAACATGGTCAAGAGCAGAAGCCATTTTTTTGCTGCAGTGTAGGAGAGAGTAAGCTCTACATTCACCAGCAGATAAAGCTATAAAGTTTGTGTCTTTCTCCCCAGTGGTTTAGATATGGCAGTATAAAGTTTCTTACAGTTTTGTGACAGCTACAGGAAAGTCAGTACAGATTGAAAATCTAGCCTTAGCACCTCATTAAATCTGCAATTTTTGGTTGCTTGTAGCAATAAGCATCCATAATCTGTCGTTTGTAGCACCAGTGAGATACAGTAAAATGATTTACTAAAGCACTTAGTGGTGAAGGCAATATGAGGCTCAGTTTGAATGATACAGGCTGTTTTTTCTTTTTGTTCTGCTGTCCTTCCTCCACGGCAAAACTCTTAACTATGTTCTTCACTTTCCCCCAGGACAAGACAAGTGCTCTCAGCCTAAGCAATGTGGCTGGTGTCTTCTATATTCTGGTCGGAGGGCTGGGGCTGGCCATGATGGTGGCTCTGATAGAGTTCTGTTATAAATCACGACAAGAAACCAAACGGCTGAAATTGGCCAAGAATGCCCAGAATTTTAAGCCAACTCCCCCGACCAACACCCAGAACTTTGCCACATACAGAGAAGGCTACAACGTATACGGAACCGAGAGCGTTAAGATCTAGAGGTAAGTTGCCTCTCCTTACTGTCCACACAGCCCCAGAGCATCATGGGAGATGAATCATTTAGCTTCCTGTCATATCGCTTAGAGTAAATAATTCATCTGTGTGTGTGTTGCCGAGAGGAAATTGTTTAGGTTTGTCATGTTCTGTTGGGCACAACAGCACACGCATGCCTACTTAAATACAAAACTGCAGGAAACTGTTCACACTTGTATTTTATGGCTGCGTGGATTGTGCCTCAGGCTGTATGACTACTTCTGCTGTAATATCACCAAGTTACCAGATACACAACCTCTAGTCACACAAGAACTGCTCTCTGGTGACTGTATGTAGCATCTGATGTGAGCTGACTTTATGATGCATTTTATTTTATAACTGGGGGATCTTGTCAACGCTTAATGACAATTTCTTGACAAAAACAAAAACAGATCTCCCCCCAGCTTCTTGCTTATACAAAGCTATGCACATATATTTGTTATTTGTTTACCTGGTACAAAATTTGAGGTTTTGGCTCTGGAGTGTGATTCTAACACAATTACAAAACGTATTCACAGCATGATATGTTGATTTCTTTGTGGCCACTAGAGGGCACTAGAAAATCCTGTAAACACAACATTGACAAATTATTACCGCACGAACTTAATACCACAAAAATGTTGGCAAACAGTCACCAAGCATACATGGGTGTCATTTGGGTTTAATTGGGAGCCTTGAATAAGCTGGCTCGACAAAGCCTGAAGGCCCATTTACAGATAACAGTAATAACAAAGCTGGTTTCAAACTTTTTATGTTAATTCAGGCTTTCTGCCCCTAGCTCTGAGTGTGCACACATGAAAAAGCACATTTGAATACAACTTGATGCAACTTATGCAACTACTACAGCACTACTGCGTTTTATTTTGAAACTGTAAAAACTGTCCTCTGAATAATCCACAGAATTCTTTATGAACAGCTTCTTGTTATTTCCTCTAAAGACGCCTAGTAGCACTAGTTCACTGAGAGCTCTCTCCTTTTTTAATACCTCAAGAGAGGAGGAGAAATTTGCAGGATATGTACAGCGGTTCTGCAGCGTTACGCTAGCAGAATGGTAGCATACTGTAATGAGGAGACACTTGAAATAAACTGTTATTTTTTATTTGATTGGTATTTGATTGAACTGAGAGCATGTGTGTTCTGATAAGTATGTCTGTTTGCAGAAGAACAGCTGCACAACAGACTAACATCATTAACAGGCCTTGAAAACATATTCTAGCAATTAACTTGACATTTTCTGCACATACACACCCCAACGCTCCGTGTTTCAGTGAGAAATATTAAAAAGTTTGTGTAGATTATTTACACATGAGTAGGGGTGTAACAATATAATTTAACCACAATGGAATACAACACAAGGACTGGAGTTGGTGACTTGAAAAATTATCCATCAATACCTTTGCGACTTTATTTCAATGTGTGTGAAAGAAATACTTGAAGTTAGAGTCACTTTATCAGGATAGCAATCATTATCTTTCCATACAGAGCTGGTATGCATTGTTTTGAGAGGTGTAGGCAGCTTGGTGTGCTTCATTTTGGCTCTCAAGTTTGGATCATTTTATGGATACTGTGATTTTCAACAACACTGTGATATAAATCTGGCAATGAATGCTGGGATAGCTTTAGCCCTCGGTGAGTTTTGGCCAAGTGTGTGAGTAAAGACACTGGTGATGCCAGAGACCTTTTCCAGGGATGCTGGCTCGACTGTTGCATGCTAATTTAGCTGGTAGCTCGGCCTTCAATGCCACTACCATGCTGCCTTAATAGGCAAGCAGAAATATTAGTCTCACTTTAATGTCACCTTTGCATTCACTGCAAACAGCTACTGATTTATGAAAGACCTCCCTTCCCATTTCACAAAAGCCAAAATGAGGCCATACTTGAGACCTGAGACCAGATGGCTTAATGATCTGTCATTTGGCTTCAGCCATCAATACACTGTATACAGGGGTGTTGTGCAGCTGTTTATGAATCAATACAGGGGAATTGTTGGAATTAAAGTCAATGCATCAATGTAGTGAATTGTTCCACCCCCACATGAGATAAATATGTATTTGTTTTGTTATTTGTTGTATGTTTTTGCTTGATAAGAAAAAGGCACAATCAATTAAATGAATAACAGTTGAGGATGAATTACATTCAGTTGTTAATTAAATTCTTATTAGTTATTAGCAATTTTTTTTTTTTTTTTTGGGGGGGGGGCTAAATAAGCCTACAGAGTTTTTAAAAATTAAACCCTCTTAATGATGAAGTTGACAAGCACACATTTTGACCCAACATGGGTCAACACACAGATGCACGTTTCCCCCAACAATCACATAAACCTCATGTCTCCCTTTGTTTGTTCATGCTCTATCTTGTCGCAGGTTTAGGAAACATTTCCATTTCCCCTTACAACTGTGACTAAACATCTAAAAAGGTCGGGATCACATGGATGGAGCTCTGAGCCAAGTCCTCCTGGGTGGAAACGGCATGATAATCTGCAATGACGACACGACTGGACTGGATTTGACTGGTCACGGGAAGAGCCGAGGCGGTTCCCCTCCTCTCAGTGCCTTATGGAACTCTGAGTCCAATCAATGCAACTCATTCACAATGATATTGCTTTTTGCTTGAAAACTCATACAAAACAGAAGAATGGTGCAGTGATGAATATGTATATATCTATAGGTGTATAGATATATATGTATATATAATACATTTGACACATTATTTTGAATGAGAAAACTAAAGCCATCAATTGCAACCCTAAGCACATTTTGAAGTGCCACAAAGAGGACGAATCTTCTCTAACGAGTGTCTAATTGGTTTCTTGTAATCAATATGATCAGATTACTCTTCATCGTTCTGCTGCCAGATTTTCACTGGTTCTGTGTATTCAAATACTTTTATTAGATCTACTCAGTGCACTGTAAGACACTGGATATTAGACTCTAGCTTTTATACTGCTGTAAGTCACTTGTAGTGACATTGTACTTGTTTTAAAGACAGATTGACCTTATTGGAGCGATGCCATTCAGCCCAAAATAATTACGGGAGTGTTGTTTGTACTCTAAACTCTGGTGCTGCTGCCACTGTCTTCTGAACGTTTGACGGGACTCATGAAGATGAGAAGATGATCTGGTTTACACACCTCTAGAACCAGGTCATGATTCCCACTTCCAATACTGCCAAGAGTGTGTTTTGTATGACAAAGAGTGTGTAAAGCAAAGAGTTCACGCTTGAGTTTAAAAAAAAAAAAGTTTGTGATTTACAGTTTGTAAAATATCAAAAGAGCACCGAGTCACTGAGGCTCGCCGCTCTGAGCAGTCTTTCCCCTGAAGAGTCATTCAAGTCTTCTGTACATGAAAGTAAAACCAAACAAAAAGGGTAATTCAGTTGTAGATTAACTGCAATCCAATTAAAGGATAACAGTAATGGCTTTTAAACTGTAGTATTTTGGATTACCTAACCGTTTTCTTTGACAATTGCACATTTTACAAATGAGCTGTGGTTCGCTTTTCATTTGATTTCCTTTGAAGAGCATTACAGTGTTTGGTGACTTCACTTAGTAAATGAAAAATATATGGATACAACAGAAAAATAGATTTATACAAGGTTATACCAGGGAGAGTCCTGAAGCTTAGCACATTTCCATATTGCTGTAACAATTTCTGTTCTTTCAAAAAGACTGTGACTCCATAGGATTTAGGAAGATAAATATCTAATCACCTGAAACTATGGGCCGATAGTTTTATATATAAAAAAGAAACTGATAATGTGAGGAAAAATAAAGAATGAGCTGAGAAGATGTGTACATTTAGATAAATGAGATTATTTATATTACATGACAGATAACTGGTTTCTCTTTCCCCTTTTGTTTGACTTTTTTTCTAAGAAACTGCATGTGAATCAGTGATGCTTGACCAGCTCTGCTACTCACAGACTGACCCCAGGTGAACATTAGAAATTCAGCCCCGGTTTCTTCTTTTGTAAATCACTTTCACCTTTTTCCTTTTTTGTACACCTCACCTTCTGCAAAAACAAAAGTTGCCAGGCCTAGTAGCGGGTACAAAAGAGCAAGAGATGCATGCATAATTTGCTGAACCTCATTAGTGAGGCGCTGTACAGAGAATTTTAATACATTTTGTAAATAAAATGTACAGAAAGGGGTCCTGTGGTCTGTGTCCATGTCATTTCACAACACTGTTTGAACCTCTCTATGCTGAATTAAACACCAACGATGGGTTTTATGGCCTGCAGGGATCCTGGCGAAGGTTAAACATGCTGAATACTTAAACTCAAGCGTGGTGCCGGTGGACCATCAGAAGCCCGAGCAGCCCTCCTGTAGACAAATACACAAAGAGAGGAGTTTTTTTCCTGTAATGGTCTGATATTGAGCCGTTAGTCAGTGGAAATGCGTGTGCATGTTTTGGATCAATAGTAAGCACCATCTGCCTCACTTTCGCTCTCCTGCCTTGCATCCCGTCCCTGATTGAGGGCTCCATTGACAGCTTCATCTGCCATGTGATCTTCCTCGCTCTCCCTGTCTCTCGCTTTATAAAATGCTTTGTGACACAATCAATAATGTATTATTATAACCACCAACTGCTTACAAAACACGCTGCAAAAGGATGCTGTGTGGCATATAATTCCAGCACTGGCTTTAAACTGTTAGAAGTTTATTTTAGGAGGGACGTTTTCATCAGGATTTACTTGAATAAACACAGCAAAGGGACAGCTAATCATTTAAACCCGGCTTTTTCCAACAGTGCTAAATCTCGCACATACAGTAAATCAGCACAATGCTCAATAGATTGCCCAGACAGTCTGTGTCATTTTAACGCTCTTTCGGTCTTCATTGTGTGGTTAAAAATGAATTCCTTCTTCCAGAGATCCAGACTGCCACATGCAGCTCAAATAGCAAATCCAACAAACATGGCAAAACACCAGCGCTTTTTTTTTTTCCCCCCTTCATTTTTTGGATGCAGACACTGTGATTCAGGATTTATTCACTGCACCAGTCCTGTGGAACAGACTCAGGCTAAATAAAATGCTACTGTATGATCCAAACAACCCATTTCTGACAAAGCATGAAAGGATACTGCTTTTTTGTTCTTCCTTTGCTTCGCTGCCTCTCCCTTTTTTCCCCTCTGTTATGCCTGGACTGCTTTCAAACAGGAACAAGACAACGTGGGGGAGTGGTGCGTGAGGATGGCACTGCACTGCAGTACATGATGCTCATGAGACTATTCTGTGGAATGAGTTTACTCACCTATCAAAGGGGGCGACACAGTGGCCGTGTTTGTCCTGCAAGAATAGGGGGGGTGGAGGGGGAGACAAAGGCAGCAAGCAATTACGGTGAAGCCTTTCATTCGGAAAGTAATAAAAGGAAAGGAACTGTTCGTGTAATCACAAGAGCAGGAGAGCACATTTCCTTCCACCAGAGGACAACTAATCATCCCCCACTGTGCCGTCGCACACTTCCAGCACATGTCGGCTGTAGCCTGGCCTGCCTCTTTGGGCCTGTGTGGCTGTGAGAGTTAATCTGATCTAACAGGGGGTCTGCCACTGAAGGGAACATGTTTATGTGTGTGTGTGTGTATGTGTGTATTAAAAGAAAGAAAGCGTGCATGAGAAAGAAAAAGGAAAAGACAAAGCAGAAGGAGGACGTGTCATGAAGAGGATACTCTGATTACAGCCACACAAAAAGAGGCTTTCTGGTTCACTAGCCCCCTCACTTTGCAGCATCAGTCCTCACCCTCTCTCTCTCTCTCTCCCCCTCTCTCTTTTCCTCTCTTCCTCTCTGCAAGGACACAATGAATAAATCAGATTCTGACTCAGTTGTTCCATTTCCCTCTTTTCGCCACTTAAGCTCCTCGCCTATCTTCAAGTGCACCTGAACAGAACTGCACTTGACTTTCAAGCTCGCCTGACATTGATCAGCTTCCAAAGGGTTTACTTCCTAGAGAAGAAAAAAAAAAGGAATCTGTTTCAAAGGCATTGTCATGAATTGAATACTTTTGGTCTGGGTTTTGGCAGAAAGAGCATCTCTAATTTATTTTGCAGATTTCCAAGTTCTGTTTTCTGTCATGTACTGCTACTTTTTCTCTGGAATTGATTTTAAGACTTCACTTAAAATTGTCTATGACCTTTCAACAGCTGTATACCAGTCACGCACAAAGAGGTACTCAGGAAGAGGACAATTGTCTGACCACAATAACAGACAGGAGACTAAAGAATACAGGGTGTTCGCTGTTGCTGCTCCAAAATTCTGGAACAACCTGCATTTCAAGATAGCAAGGATTTCGCCAATATTAGCATTCACTAGCATAAGAAATGGAGTGCTGCACATACATTAGCAGACACACAACCATCTTTGAAAACTTTACGTACTGGATAAGTTTGGTGAAAAGAACCCCAAGCCGTCTTATGATGTGCATTCCTTCTTCCTTGTGTGCGTTAACATAGCAACGCAACCGTGTAATTTCATTAAAATTCGCGAGCTAATTTGCTAACAAGTGCTAACGTTAGCTGAACGAAACATTATTGTCGCTCCCCAGTGTTGAGTTTTCGACAGGTGGTCTTGTGCTGTAAGGTTAGTGTTTGTTTCAAGATGTTCAGTTTCGTCCTAACAACACAGTCGGGGACCAGATGTTGTCTAGAGATAGCAGTTAGCCGCTTCTTACACACAGAGTACTTAAAAGGGCCTGTATGATTTATTGCTCGTAGTCTGCCTTAACTGTTAAATAGCTATTGTGAATATCCTTTTTTTTCTAGAGTAGGAAAACTTTATACTAAATATTGTTAACAAAGAAAGTACAGCATAAATCCTGCTACTCCTGATAATGAGAAAGATAAAGAGCAAAACCTGTCATGGCAATCAGCCAATAACAAAAAGATAAAATGGAGAAAAGGCATTTATTAGACTGACTCAGAAGTGACACTAACACAATCTTTTCTGAGGAAATTGCAAACAAAAGCATCTCTTGTCTCTGTACTGTCTAAGCCTTTGTCAAACACTAGCAGTGGTAGTGATGGTCGGCAGTAGAAAAACTGCAGGAAAACTCTGTTTCCTGGTGGACGTGATCAGCGCTGATTCTAGTCTGTTTCATTATTCGCTGCAAACTTGTCACACTTTGTTAAAATGAAGGTGTGCTAACATTAGAGGCACTTTTCTTTGTATACATCCCTAAATAAATGTGCACTTAGGAGAAAGAGAGAATGAATTCAAGAGGACCACTGCAAAGTCACTGAATCTGATGTAGCCTACTCAGTCTGTCTTATGCACAGCTGTGAATACAGCTGCTTTGTGTCACACAGGAGCATTGTAAACACTGATTCATATAAGAGACAGACTCTCAGAAACTGATATTTTGTAAACAACACCCATAACCTCATGCTGAAACTTAGACCCTGAACCTGCACAATGATGTCAGGTTATCTGAGTTGTTGATACTTTTTAAGTCCCTTTACTGAGAGTGTGTCTTGATTTCACCTGAATCTTAATTTTTTTTTTGCATTAATTTTGAAAACTGCATGTGAATTTAGGTCTTTAGAAAATAGTCGTATGTCTTTTAAAAAGGTTTATTTCTTACTCTTTGCTAATCCTCATAATTGTATGACCTGCCTGTTTTATTTCGCTGTCTTTGTAACTTGGATTTAAGACTTGCTTTCGAGATACGGGTTATTGTTGTGTTTATATCAGTGACCACAAAGAGATGTGGTGTGCAAACACTTGAACCTCGTGTGTGCAGCCTTTAGGGCATGACTGACACAAACAAGAAGGAAAACAAATATTAGCATAGAAGCACAAACAACATTCAACAAATAAGAGACTATGATTGACATGAACTGTTGCCCACCCTTCACTTTCTAACGTCCTCGCTGTTATATAAAAATTTACATTTGCCATGTCTCCCAGTCATCCAAAGGCCAACTTCTCCAGACTGTGAGTAATGCAGGTGTGACTCACAGAGAGCATGCAGATAGCAAGAGGAGATCCGGTTACTGTTTGACTAAACCTGAAGGGGCAAGACTCCTGATTCAACTCTGAGCACGTAGGGATCGCTGACAGTATATGTGCCAGGTCTGGTATCTGCAGAGATAGTTGTCCTCAAGGTAGTTTTGTGCAACACATACTCAAGAGGTATGACAACAGAGCAAAATGGTAAAAAATGCAACATGTATAAAGCAGCACTGACACGTTACAGCTCTTTATCAAACAACACTGCATGCTCATATAGAATTAAAACTTGATCAGGTGTTTTTTAAATTTATTTTGCAGATGGATTTCGTCATGGCTATATTCTGCCTTTGTTCATAATAACAAACACAGCAAGGTCCTGTGAGGCCCCTTTTTCAGAAATGTAGCACTTCATTAAAGACACGGTTCACTTTCAGGCACTCCAGCTCTGCAACATGTTGTCAGTGCTTTCATTTTCTCTCACCCTGTCTGAGTGATACCCCAGGTTGTGATTTTCTACATTTTTCTCATTTTCATCCACAAAAAAAGGTGAAAGTTGTTGTCAGGGAGGCTTTATAAACTGTGTTGAAACTCCTGCTCAAAACACAAAATATCTCGCGGCTGCATTACATTATTGATTGTTGAGGCTCTGTGGAGAATTAGTGCCTCTTCCACCACTGAGAGAAGCAATCATTGTAGAGGAAGAGGTGCAAGAAGATTTGTGTGAGGAGCCTTTCTGGCTTGAATCAGGAAAACTGTGCTATGAGATCCTTTATATTTTTCACATATTATTTATGCAGAATTCCAAATACTGAGAGTGTAAAGGCAACACATATACACTAAACAAACCATACTGCCAATTATATTAATTATATCATTGCTGATTGTTTTTATTTTGAATTTATTAGTTATTTATAAACTGCTTTAAGTGCAAATCAAGAAGGTTTAACAGCCCTGTTACTCATGGGTTCTGGGTTGAGTTTTACTATGTTTACTTTGTTTAATTAATTGTTTAATTAATTGTATAATTTGTTGTATAGTTGTATAATCACACTTTAATGGAATAGTTCAACATTTCAGGAAATGGAAAAAGGAAATTATGGATGAGTTCTTTCAAAAGATAAAATCTCTTCTCATGATGATTTGACATTTGGCTTTACTTAGCCTACCGAGTATTATTTCCATTTTATGAGAGTTTTACTGACCCCCTGTGTTTGAA